TGAAATGAGCTTATTAAGAGACCATTTATCCTTCTGACAGTTGTAAGATATCATAAATTGATTAAACGTTGCAGGAAGAGAAATCAACACCAAATGAATGAGCAAGTCTTCTGAGAGTTCAAGCTTTAGTGCCTTGAGTTTAAAAACAATATTAGACATGCTCATAATGTACTCCCTGATATTTCCTTTGCCTTGATATTTCATGGAGATCAAGTTCTGAAGAAGAGTGCTTGCCTCCGCCTTATCGCTTTTTGCAAAGCGCTGCTCAATTTCAGCAAGAAATTCTTTAGCACTTATGATGTTTTCAGAAATAGTGCCCCTAAACACCTCCGGGATGCCGCGCTTAATGATCATTAGACTCATGCGATTTGAGCGATCACATTTCTCATAATCTATTTTATGTTCAGAGGTACTTGAATCCGTAGGAGTAGGGGGTTGCTCAGTCCTTAACGCAATATCCATATCCATGCAACCAAGATCCATATCCATGCAACCAAGAACAATATCAATGTTCTCTTTCCAGTCCTTAAAATTTGTTCCATTGAGGACCGAAACAAAATTTAAATTGGCGGATACAGAAGCAATTGTAAGTTGAATTTAGAACACGAGAAATAAACTAATTATGCTCACATTATATAAAAAATAAATAATATATATTCAAATAGTGGTTTAACCCATCTCAAGACACCCAATACACCATCAATATCAAGTCTTTGAACGAGTAATATTAATTGCTAAAGGTATCTTGTTGTAATAATCAAACATTGACAATAAAGCACGTCCAACAACAAACCAAGTATTTGGATTGATTTATCATCGACAAAGCAAATCCTTATAATTATCACATGTTTATCATTACAAGTGTGTATGCAATTCGGCCAAATATTAATCTTCCTTTAGGTCGACTAATACTCGCATGAATATACACAAACACTAACATTCAATATTTTTCATGAACTCGCCAAATTCAAGAGAAGTTACTTTGGTGACTTCTTGACTCAATTTGCTCAAAAAAAATATTAAACTACCAAAAATTGAACATTTTATTTATATAACAAAACCAAATATTTAATATTTGCAAACTAATTCAAAAGAGAATCACCTCATTAGAATTCTACTAAGGATGAACACCTCCCTAAAATCTCATTAGGGATGAATGCCTCATTTGAATAAATTAAAGGTTGAAAAAATGCTTCATTTTCCATCAATACATAAAGGATGAACATCTCCCTAAAATCACACTAGGGATGAAACAGAGATAGTTCTGAGTCTCTTTAGCATACTGTTCTAAACCCTAAAAGGGAATTAAACAGTAATCACTTAAACCCTAATTTAACATCAAATTTTCCTTAAATTCCTAGGGGATAGATGCAATAAAATAATAACAGCCACACATGTGGAAACATTCACCAGTTGCCTAAGATCCTCTATGTTGGGAATTACCCAAACACCACTCCCAATTCCAAACCCATAAAATTAAATAAAAACAAAAGATTCAAAAAAGAACAGAGAACCCAATAAAAAAAATTGAAATTTGAAACACGGTTTCTTTCTCAGTAAAACTTGAAACTTAAACTGAAACAAAAGGGAAAAACGAAGAAGAAGAAGAAGAGGAATCCATAGTTTCCTCCACGGTTCCATCAGCAAGTAGAATCAGATTGGGGATGTTACCCCCAAATTTAAATTTTAGGGTTCACAAAAATTAGAGATTATCCTCCACTTAGGGTTCATAAAATTGGGTAATTTGAATTGTTTAAAGCAAAATTAATCCTAATTTTCATAATTAGGGTTCTATAAATTAAACAGACATGAATCAAATATGGGCGGTTCGATACCAATTGTTGGAAAAACAATAATAATAATAATAATAATAATAATAATAATAATAATAATAATAATAATAATAATAATAATAATAATAATAATAATAATAATCCTGATTTTGATTCTAACGATCAAACATAAACATAATCTCATACTGATAAACATGTTGTAAACTAAATGTGAAAGCGTACTCGAATTAGCCATAATGATGATGTCTTTGTAGAACACTATATTGATCTTATGGTCTTCCACCTGAAGAACACCTGTATTTCCTCTTGATTTTCTCTCTTGATGGGGATAGAAAAAAAGGAACGGGACTGATACTTACGTTCTGTGTGTGCTCCCAGAAGGGGACCACGACCCTTTAAAATAACCAGAATTAGGTTAATTATTTAAGTTTTTGTATTTCCAATTTGGCCCCTCATCAAATTAGAAATTGTTCTATGATCTCTACACAATTTTATTTTGATGACATATGCCTTTAGTCAAAACTTTAATTTAGTCAGATCACTTGCTTAATAAATAATGGCTCTAACACATTTAAATTATGTATCATATATATACATGACCCAAATTTTGCCAACAATAATTTCATTAATTAAAATACCATTATATATTTTTAATTACAAAATTCATTCATAACATCTATCATATAAATTATTTTTATATTATATATATAAATTAATTAATGCAACATATATTCCTTATAATATATAAAATAAATTATTTTGTTATTATCTGGTAAAAATATTAATATATAAAATTATAACTTATAATTGAATTATTATATAAATTAAAATTATAGTTCTTAGTTATTAAATATATCATATATTTGGTAGTTTATATTTTTTTAAGTTGATGCGTAAGATTATATATATATATATATATATATATATATATATATATATATATAATTTTATGTTAATTTATTAAAATGTATTAAAAAAATAATCTTTAACTACTCATAAGGATATACTCAAAACATGTAAACGTGTGGCTGTTTTTATTCTGTCAGAATCTGGTTGATAGAAATGGGAGAAGGAAGCTTTTAACCATCACGGCAATGGAAATTACACCTTGTGACTTTTACATTTAATTTGGTTTCATCAGTCTCTCAAAAATTGATATATAAATTACATTTATATGAAATTATTATTGTTTTAAAATTTGGATCGGATTGAACAAGAGAATGCTGTTATTTTTAAATAATTAAGTTTTAATTAATTTTAGATAAAATTTTAAAAAACAAACAAAATCAAAAATCGATTTTAATAAAAAATATTTAAATCAAATTTTTTAACATAATTTTTTATAAAAAATATAAGATATTTTCTTTATATTAAATTTAAATAATAATTATTTTATTGTATTTTTATCTTATTTAATAGTTATTTATATTTTATATTTATAATTTTTATTGTAAATTTTTTATTATAATAATTTTTATTATTTTTTATAAAAAATACTATTATTAATATTAAATTTAATTCATTATTTTAAAACTTAAATTTATATTTTTTCGAATAATCAGTCCAATTTTTAAAATATTAATAATTTAAATTTGAAGTAAATGGTTTAGTTGATAAGTATTATTTTTAAATGCGTATTTTAATTATTTTTTGTTTTTAATCAATTATTTATTATTGTTTAATTCATTCAGTTTTAAACATACTAATACAACCTAATATTTATGAGAGTACAGATTAAGACGTGTTGTTTCTCTTTTTGTGAAAACTCTGCTGCAGTCAACCCTTAACATAACTATCAGTTTTTTGACTGGCTTGTGACAGTGTTTTTCCTTTTTTCATAACAAATGGATCAGTTTTTTTTTTTTTTCAGCCTTTCCACACTTAACTAAAGTAATAGTATTTAGATATCAATTTTAGTTTGATTTTTAAAAAACATATATATAAATAAACCAATTAAATCTGTTCAGAACATTTTTTGTTTATGTTTAAATCTGAAAAAATTAGGGTATTTTTTGTATTAATTATATTAAATATTATAAAAAAGTTTTTTTTAAGTTATATACCAAATTAAAAGTAATTTATATTTTTTTTAATCCATCAAAATAACTTTTAAAAATAAGATTACTATGGATTAGAGTTTAAGACATAATTTTTTAGATTTGATATAAGAATATTCTTTTATTTTTGGATTAAATATTTGTATAAATTTATGTGATAATTTTTTAGTTAAAGTACATGTGAAGATATAAGAAAAAAAGGAATAAACAGAATGTAAGATATATTAATTAACAAGAAAGCTGTATAACTTTTTTTCAATTCATCACACGTTTTGGTGGGTGGTTTTCAAGCAGTGATTTATGAAATTATAACTGCGACATGAGTTGTTGATTTTTTTTTATTTTTTTTAAACTCTCAAATCGCTTTTTCTATATTTTTTTCTTTTTGATTTTATAATAATATTTATTTCGATAAAATCAATTTTATATTTATCCATTTTTCATAAACATTAAATTTCATATCGTTAAAATAAAATAAGAGACACATGTCAGAAGAATATATATGTTTTTGCTAATTTTTATTAATAATTATTATTATTATTGGTTTGAATGTACTTAGCATTGGGCAATTGACTCTCAAGAAGCATAGAAAGTATTTTACGGGAAATAAAACAAAACCGTCTTTTCACTTTTTTTTTTTTTTTTTCATTGTTATTTGAGCGAACGACGATGCTCGCACGGAGGAGGTTCTCCTCAACCTGAACTTCAACCTCCATTCACTGCACCACTCTCTCTCATCGCCACGAAACCCTTTCTGTTACAATCAATCAATCCATTCCACCATCCTTTTCGATCCTTTCATTCTCCTCTGGATTCCATCGCTTGCATTTCGGTATGAATAATACGATTCATGATTCCGTAGCTTTTATTAATTTTTTTCTTCGATATTTTCATTGTTTATCGCATTCTCTCTTACGCGTATTTTTCTGACTGTCGATTATTGTTCGTACTGTCTTTGCAAAAGAAGGAATATTCTGTCGTCATCACTTGCACTGTTTGTTGATCGAATTTTAAAATTGAAACGATGATAATGATAATAATGTAACACTGTAGGTATTCGTTTGGCATGCAATTAGGGGTTTATTATGTGTTTAGTTAGTTATTGACATTGCTGTTGATTGGTGATTGTGGTGGAAGTTTTCCGAGTGTGATGTATTGTGGTGAGGAAGACAAAAAATGGAAATGTGGAAAAGCCGGGGCTGTCAATTTGCGAAAAGTGAGTTCCATCGTGCGCGACATTGGGGATCCCTGTCTTTCTCACTCGCCTGTAAAGGTTGTTGTAACTGTAAGACTACAACTCTACTGCGTTTAATAACTGCTTTGCTTATGTTCTAGTTCAGTCGTTCATTACCGCATGCTGCACTATTTATTATTTTTTATTTTATCTAAGGCTAATGGTTGGCAGGATGCTGTTAGTTGTTGTTAGGTTTCTTTCCCAACAGTTTATATTGTTAAGTATTGGTATCAGGGTCTTTTGAACGTTTTCCTTTGTATAAAATGGGCCTAGGATAATCAGTCCAAGGCATCTTCTGTAAGTTGGTGCTAGTTCATCAATTGACAATGCCCTAGAACCTCAGGGTTGATTGCACTTTTACATGATTTTTTATAGCATAATACATGTTGCATTTTGAGATCCCTTAAACTCCCCCTTTGCAGTTATATATGTATATTTATGTGTGTATGTATACATGTATTGGTGGAGGTTCCTTTATCTTTTTTTATTTGAACTGTCTGGCATCTAAGGAGATCTTCTTGTTTATTGTAGATATAGAACCATGTAATAAGGTGATTTTTTTTTTTAATGATTAAATCTTCATGAAGCAGGTAAAGAGAATGCTTAAGCCAGACAAATGGAAAGCCATGTCAGATAGTGAAGGAAAGGTGTCTGGTTTCCGGAAGGCTCTAAAATTGATTGTGTTGGGGGTATGCTGTCATTTATGCTGTGATTATTTTACTTCTTTATTTGTCTACACCATTATCTTTGAAATCATCTGTTCACCTTAATTATCTTCTTCCAGTTTAGAATGATGCATGCTCATATACTTTGGTGCGCCTTGTCATGATTTTTTGGACAAAAATGATTGTGCGTAGAGTAATGGATTTGAACAACCTGCCTAACTTTGTAATATCATATGTAATTACTTTTACTGTCTGTAAGGTTGTTGGTGCTTTAGGTTGAGGGTGTTATTTTTCAGTGATTGTCATTGACTTGTTTTTCTTGAATTTTAATTCCAAAGGTGCAAATTGCCAATTTGGCTTTAGAGATTGATTTACAATAGGGTGCAAAAGTAAGAGAGTATGGATATATTTTAGGCACGGCATGAAGTAGAGTGACTTTTTGATGCCCTATCCTTGGGAATAGGCCTCAAATTAAGGGAGGTTTATTTATTTATTAATCTTGGATGTTGCCCACAACTCAAAGGTGGGGTATTATCAGGTTTCATGATGCCAAGCCTTGTTAATTTATTAGATGTTAAAGTCGCTTTGGTATATATAATATAATAATAATGGAAAAATAAACTACAGGCATTTGTGTTTGGTATTTTGTAAATGCGATAAAGAAGGCATTTTCCTTAACTTTTTACCTTCAAATTGCTAATGAACTTGATGGATTGAACCTAGTCAACATTCACCCTGCTGTATTCAGTCACTAAAATTTTGTTTTCTCCAAGGCATTATAGGCAAGACTCGTTTTCCCTTTAATACTAAATTTATGCACACAGCAAAATAGATATTCATATGACCATAATAACTAACACCTATGTTCACCGTAGGCTTGAAACAGTTTTGCTTTTAAGATCCTATTCAGCCACTCTGCAGCTTTCTGATGATATGATCATGATGAAAGAACCCTGGCTGTTTTAATTTATATGCTCAAAGCCTACTAAAATGATCTCTGTTTATCATATTCACAAAACATTATATACAATGGCTTTTATTTATTTTTCTCATTAGGATGTAATGCACATCAGTGGGTTGCACATGTACTATTTAACAAATAGTTCATCAGTAATTCACAATTTCATTAAAATAGAAAAAAAAAACTCCCTTATGACGTGGCCTAGTGGCACAACTAAAATGAATCCTATGCCCATGTCCACAACTGAGTCCATTCATCATTCATTTTACATCACATTAGGAATTAATCTTAAATTTATACCAAACTGTTAATATGCAAATCATTTTGCATCTATGGGATAACAAAGTTGTTTTTCTTCTATAATATTATTCCCATATATATGCGGTTTTATTCATCAATTCCATCAGAAAAGAACTTCAAGTTTTATTTTCTGGGTCAGCCAATCTGGGTGTTCTGAATATATTCACTGTATTTGATGTTTACTTAAATTTGTAAGTTTAATTTCTTTTTTATGAATGTATAAATCTGTTCTCTATAAGCATCAAATATGTGGGCTTCAAATTTCTAAAATTTAAGCTAATAAATGAATTGTTGTCTTCCTGATTTGTTACAGTTTTTTACCCATTTTTGTTAGGGTGTAGATCCATCAATAAGACCTGAAGTTTGGGAGTTTTTACTAGGTTGTTATACACTGAGCAGCACTGCTGAGTATCGGAGAACGTTGAGAGCAGCTAGGAGGTGTGGATACTCCCACTTCCTTTGATTTTTTTTCACCTATTTCTGGATCCTATATGATATTTTTCGCATAATGAATATTGAATCTATGATTTTTAGCCAGGAAGGTCACAACTTTGAACTTGCTAAATTCAATATTTCTATCATGGATGCTTGTAACCATATGACAATGCATGCATAGCTACCTTCCTTTGGCATCGTTACTATTTGTATAATTGTGTCAGTGATCGGAAGTGTTATTTGTACAATGAACTTGCAGGGAGCATTATAGTAACCTGATTAAGCAATGCCAAAGAATGCATTCAAGTGTAGGAACTGGTTCATTGGCATATGTTGTTGGATCCAAAGTAATGGATGTGAGGACTTTATCCAAAGATGGACGGAAATTACAAGATAATATAAAAGAATCAAATTATAATGTTGAAGTAGGAAAATGTTATGATAGGAGCAATGTCTGTACAGAGGAAGCAAAAGCAAGCCATTGGGAAAGCTCCAATAATGGGGTTGACCTAGTTAATTTGAGAGTAAGCACTGATAATGCAGAGTGTGATTCTTCTGGGCAAGGAAACTCCAGTTTCCCAAAGTTAGGGAGAGAAGAAGAGCAATCAGACTGTGTAACTGACAGTAGTTTTGATTTTCCTCCTTTATCTGTCACTAATATTTTTCAGAATAGTGGTAAAGATAAACAGTCAGGCACAGAGCACAGGGATAAACATCCTGCGCCAGACCAATCAAGATTTGAAGATGATAGTATGCATAGCTTTCGAATTGATTACAATGATGAGTTAGTTATTGAATCAAATAGCAAACAACCACTTGCTAGCTTACATCCTTTGGACACCGAAATAGGAATTGCTTCACCTGATGAGGAAGAACCAGAACTTCTGTCTAAGAATAAAGTTTATGAAGCACAGATGGTAAATCAACTGAAAATATCAGATGAACCTCTGCCAGCAATGATAAGATCCTCAGTTTCTCAAGCATGGCCTGTTAGTGAAGAGAGAGTATCAGAGTGGCTTTGGACCTTGCATAGGATAGGTACCTAAGTTGAATAGTGTGTCTCCCTCTTCCCCCCTAGTTTAACACAGAGAGAGCGAGAGTTTATCTTCTCTTTTTGGTGACAGCTTATATTTTGTCCTAATCTTTCTAGCTAACGAGATTACTCCTTTTCAGTTGTTGATGTTGTTAGGACTGATAGTCATCTTGAATTCTACGAGGACACAAGAAATTTAGCTAGAATGTCAGATATTCTTGCTGTCTATGCTTGGGTTGATCCTGCTACGGGGTATTGCCAAGGTTATGTTTTTTCCTTGGTATTTCTTGACTTCTTACTGATGATTGTGTTCTATTAAGAGTCCTATAACACTGACTCTGGATGTCAAAACTTATGTTTTCACTGAATATTGGATTTTAGGTATGAGCGATTTGCTGTCTCCCTTTGTTGTAATCTTTGAGGATAATGCAGATGCATTTTGGTGTTTTGAAATGCTTTTAAGGAGAATGGTATTTTCAAATTTTGCTAAATTAAACAATGTAACTTAGTTTGTGGTGACTGACTTGTTTTGTTTCAATATCTCCAGAGAGAGAATTTTCAAATGGAAGGCCCAACTAGAGTGTTGAAGCAGTTACGAGCATTATGGCATATTCTTGAATTGTTAGACAAAGAAATGTTTGCCCACCTATCCAAAATTGGAGCAGAAAGCCTTCATTTTGCATTTCGAATGTTGCTAGTTCTCTTTCGAAGGGAGTTGTCTTTCAATGAGGCTCTTTCCATGTGGGAGGTTTGTGCTTCATTCTTTCAGTCCCCCACCCCACATAAAAAAAAAACGATTTAATTCATTCTCACGAGTCATCTTCTGTTTAAACAGAAAATCTACAGATTATTGGATTACTGGAAAACATTGAAATGAACTTTTTTTAAGAGTCAATAACAATATATTTATGGGAAGGGGTTAATTTACGTTGGTATATGTTAAACTCAGTTTTATATCATTCAACAATTTTTTTATTGGATAATTATATCTAAAGAAAAAATCGAATGTTGGATTGAATGTTCTTGTCATATATAGATTTTATTTATAAAAATCTTATATTGTTCTTGTTGAAAGTCCCACATCGCCTACCTCGTATCATTTGGTATGGTTTAAATACATGTTAGGCTACTCCACATATTGCCAATTGGTTTTATGTTGGAACCTTAACATGGTATCAGAGCCAAAGCCTAACATCTTTCCGGTTATTGTCATGGGCCAAAAGTTGCCCTTTAGTTGGGTCAAAAGTACCCTTTGCCTGGTCCGGCGGGCTTCGTTGGAGGGGTGTGTTGAAAGTCCCACATCGCCTACCTCGTATCATTTGGTATGGTTTAAATATATGTTAGGCTATGTTTTATGTTGGAACCTTAACAGTTCTAAAATTATTTAATACTCTATTAATATACATTAGAATTAAGGTAATATATATTTTTAAAATATATAAAGAAAAAACTCTTTGATTATATGCTTATAGTTGTGCAACTTTGAGAAAATTTGACAAAAACAATTTAAATAAGAGGAAATAGACGAATGCAGTGGCAATGTAAAGTAGTTTTAGAAAGGCATCCAATCATAAATCATCATGTATAGTAAATTTGTTAACTTTTGCTTGAACTTCTTTAAAAATCAAATCATCAGTGATTTTTTATTGATTGACTGTGAAACCGTTCTACATTGATATTGCATAAAATATTAATCTCTTGAAATAATATATAATTACAACTCAATGGTTGGATCAATGAAAACCATATTGTTTTTAAAGTTACTGATAGTATAATAGTTGGTCTTATAACAATGTAATTTGATCTGCTCTCTCATATGGATACAGGAAAGGGTATTTAATATGAATTATTTCATTAGATCATATTTGAATGGTAAAAATTAACAGATAAATGCAATGACTTTTTTTAAAGTTTCATGTGCTTAGGAACTCACTTTTAATCTTGAGCTTCATGTATGATTGTATCACACAAATTTAGTTCCCATTTGTCATAATAACCAAGAGTTCTCTGTTGATACATCCTTTCTGTGTGTGTGAGTTTATAAGAATGTTGCCTATAACTTTAAAAGTGACAATATTTTGTCCCATTTAATGAGCCCTTTTAATACATTAATGATTTTAGTCTGTCAATATGCGATCACAATATTCTTGTGTAGTGCAGATGATGTGGGCAGCGGATTTTGATGAATCCATGGCTTATGACTTAGAACAGAATTGCCTGGAAGCATTGGAATTACATCTTCGTAGAGACTCAAGCAATGATCCCAGAGAGGAAATTACAGATAGTGACGATGGTAGCGTGAAGAGTGGTTCACAGTCAAATCATGATGAAAATGACAACAGAAAAGCCAGTCCACAGTTGAATCATGGAAGAACTTATAACACTGTATATGGCATCAAATTGAAGTCATTCTCATCCCATTCCTTTTGTGGTTTGGCAAGGAATATCTGGCCAAGAAATGATCGAGCCCAAATGAGGAGAATTTCCTCAGCAATGAAAGGAAATAATGAGTTGGCCATATTCTGTGTTGCAGCAATTTTAGTTTTAAACCGCCAGAAGATCATCCGAGAAACTCACTCCTTTGATGATATAATAAAGGCAGGTGCATTAATCTTTTTGTTTTTATTTTTAATTCATCATTTTATTGCTGTTTCGAAAGTCATAACTATTTTACTATTTTTACATTACCTTTTATTTGTATGTTTAGAATGTTTAATTTTGGGTACATTTGTTTGGATTATGTTTTTTAAAATGAAAGTTGATATTGCTCAAACTTCTTTTTCTGGAAACTTGTATTTTTCCATGGACTATGTACCTTCATGATGTTTTCAAACTAATTTGTTCAATAATTACATATCAGTGTTATTATTTGTTGAGGTCCGGTGTACTCTATTTGATAACTTTCTTTTAGGGCATCAACTTATATTTGGTTTTGATGTCACTGTATATGACTAAAATCCCATTGTAAATATTTTTTTAGGCTTAAAAAGATTTTTAGTCTCCATGACTATTTGGTTGCTTTTGTTTTAATTCTGTTTATTTTATTTTTGTTTTGGTCCCGGTATTTCTTAAGTGATGTGGCTAACATAGATTATAGTACATGCCTGATGATTCCTAAATAATAGGGATGAAAAAGAAAATTTTCAACATAATATTTCAAAAGTTTATGATTTTATAGGAAATGAAACAATAACACTAGGGACTAAAATGAATTATTATTTTTAAAGGGACCCAAGAACGAAAAAAGTTAAGAGGGCCAACAGAAAATCAACCTTATATTATAGGGACCAAAAATTTATTCAAGTTTATTTTTTCATTCTTTCTCATTTGATCATGCTTCGTTTATCTTATTATATCGTATCCAATTTTAAGTTTTTCTTTAGTGATTTTCCAGAATAATTTCTTGAAAGTTGAAACCAATTTCCTGACAATCTTAATGAGATCTGTTTTTCACTTAGTTTTTCCTTCCTTTGACCAATTTCTTTACATTCTTAATGAGATCTGTGTTCAAGTTTCAACTTGGTTTTAATTATATACCAAATTGAGGGATTATTGTTCATTTTCTAACTTTGTATACCAAATTTATATTTCATAGATCTTCAATGACAAGATGTTAAAGATCAATGTGAAAAGATGCATAACAACGGCAATCAAACTCCAAAAGAAATATTTTAAAAAGGTAAATCCTAAATTAGTTATGTTCCTCGATATGCTATCATAAAAAAGGTATTAACTACTTTTGCTAACCTTGTTCATTTTTTATTTAGTGAGTGCTAATTCATGTTTTAGTTTGTTGGATTTCATATTGACTAGTGGTAGTATAACTGAAATAATGTATTTAAGTGGAAGATAACTCTGACCTCATAAGCTAACTTTTAGAGTTGAGTTAGGTGTAAGTCTTAATCGTAAGATGGTATCTTTTGTGTATCCGTAGTTTGTTAGGTCTATTAGATTGTCAGTTATAGAACCACTTGTATTGTTCGATTTCACACTTGTAATGTTCAATCGGGATTGTGAAGAGTATGAGTTGGAGATCTTATATTGATTATTGATATGGAGAAAATAGTATATATATATATATATATATATATATATATATATATATATATTATTTTCTTTTGTGTATCCGAGTAGTTTGTTAGGTCTATTAGATTGTCAGTTATAGAACCGCTTGTATTGTTCGATTTCACACTTGTAATGTTCAATCGGGATTGTGAAGAGTATGAGTTGGAGATCTTATATTGATTATTGATATGGAGAAAATAGTATATATATATATATATATATATAGTAGTGGACAACTATCATCTTTTGAACTTACTTTTTGGGTTGAGTCTTAAACCTGAATTCAAAGATAATCCTTTATGGATAAAATATTGGGGAAAGACAGCTGGAGTTTACTAGTCTAGTTCATTTCATTTTTGATGCACTGTGATTATTGATTTACTTAATACAAGACACATTAAGGAGTACTTAAAAAATGTATTATTCCTTTTGTATTTCTAATATGTTGTGTTTGAAATAAAAATCTCATCTCTCAATAGGTAATCAAGAAAATGAACTATAGTGCAGAGAGAGTGGACTAAGGTAATGTCATTGCTAATATAATTGAGACCGAAGCTCTGCATGACAATGGCTATCTCACTTGTATGGCTCTGCATTTCAAAACGGGAGTTTGGTGTTAAAACTTTAGTCATTACTTATCCACTCTGGATGGAAGACTTTGCAGCTTGAGGTGGATTTATTTTTGGAGATTCATTCAGTTGCTGTATGTCCATTGTCTTTATTACTCTTATTATTGAGGTATATCATTTTTTCTGCTTTGCATTTTATTAGTTTGCTTGACTTTTAATGGTGTCTCTATGGATTCCTAGATGGACTTTACCAAGGCATTTCTGTTGTGTTACTCAAAATTCAGTTCCCTTCCAGTTCTTAGAAATTTGATGCAAGGATTATTAATGACCTAATGGAATGTTTTGTCGGGTAGCATTGAATGCTTGGGGAATGAACAAAAAGAGTAGTTAACTGTCGCAGTTGTCATCAAAAGAAACAAATACTTAGGGAATCAAATATAGGAGCAATGCCCTATTTTTTTTATTTTTTTTTTTGTGTCTGTTGGTGTGTCTGTATGTTCTTGCTTCTATTTCTTTAAAATTCATCCGAGAAATTAAAACTAAACCATGTAGAAGGTTCTGTTGTCGCTTGTAGTTTGTACATATGAAGGAAATTGTGCAGAATTACATCCCTGCTAAATGAATACTATGACTTAATTTACACATTTCATACCTTGTAAGGGATTGGTCTATTTTTCCGCACAATTGTGTGCTTTTTTTGTTTGGAAATAATTTTTTGTTATTGATTAACACATGCAATATCATTTAAGGATGCATGGGCTTCTTTTCATTAGTAATTTTGATTGTATCAGGAATGATTTCAGATGATTTTTCAGTAATGTATATGGTTTTCTGAAGATCATTTTAATGATTGTTTCTCTTTACTTTTCTCCTCTTGAAGGTCAGTGAAAATAGTGAAAATAAATTTTTCATCGCTGGTTGCTCCCAGGTTGATCAATTTACATCATGGATAAGTGCACAGGTTATGCAAACAATTTATTTCTTTGAATTTTTGGTTTAGCTCATTTCTGGAGAAAATTGTACAAAAGTTATGAGTACTCAGAATTTGGATTCAGGAAAAAGTACACGCATAGAAGTAGAAATAGAAGGTGGATATATGTTATAGGAGGAATTGTTGTAAGATATGGAAACATGTAGTCAATTTTTGTGGTGGTTTTAATTGACAGAAAGGATTTATGTTTTATACATGTTATAACAAGAAGAGTTTTTTAGTGATTTGAATTGCTGAAACTCAACAGTTATAAAAGACAAAGAGGGTTTTATTCATGTATTATTCTTTACCTTCAAAACACAAACAAATCTGTTTAAACTGGGATATCTTAGTCCACTATAAACATCTGATTGGCCTCCTACTTATTTGTATATCGGCAATTTTTGCGTATCTCGCCTTGGTTTCCTGTTAAAACCTTGAAATTCCCCATCTGGTACATTGATTCGGCAAAAGATCTCCGAAAATCTTCAAATCCAACAGCAAACTCCTCGGTGATCTGTTTAGTGTCATTACCATTTAGTAATTGTTGATCAACTCCTAGAACAGCTTCGTGGGATAGGATCCTTCTGTAGTACGAGTCCGTGAACTTGTAATTTGATCCAGATTCTGGGTTTAGGTATACTAGAGGGTCTGGTTGTCCCTTCTTCCTTGGTGGGCAAAGTTTTCTCAGTGACTCTAGTAAAGTGGCACTCATGCTTGGGTCTGGTTTTCCGGACCCACTGTAGTTGTACAGACGATCAACAATGTAGCTACAATGTGTTCGGCCCATTGTGTGTGCTCCTGTGTTGATATGAGGCAAACAAACACATTCATTTCGACCAAAAGATTATATTAGTATGTAATTTCTACTGGAATGTTAGTTTTCCTTACCTAAAAGTGTTGTCATGTGTACTTCATTCAAGTTCCTCGATTTGAAATATTCTAGAACACTCTGCAGTGAGATGGATGGGGATGGAAGGTCTACTGATGCAGCATCCGATATTTTGCCATCCTTTCTTCCAGTTAAAACTGGGTAAGCTGGTCCACCTGCCTGTTGACATCAGTCCTCAAATTGGTTACTGTTTTTCCCCCTTTTAAATCTTAGCCCTTCCTTAATTTGATATATGAAGGGACCAGTGGAAAGTATTATGCTTCAATATATAAGTGGGTGTTGAGAGGGTACCAGGTGAACAGCATCTCTGGTGGCTAGGTGAAGTATGTCAGCACAGGAGACTTTTCCAGGGCATCGTGATTCCAGAACATATTTGATCTTGTCAATCGCTACAAATCCTTCAAGCCCCCGGTTTTGTGGTGCATTTTTCTCTGGATTTGGTCCTTCGTCAAGCAGAATGGACGCATCACATCCCTAGGTACAGATATGATTTAAAGTTTAGGGGGGAAAGGAACAAAATCATCCTTTTTCGTTTTGAAGGTAAGAAAAAACAAATCACGCATCGCGTAACTGTCATCCTATCCTTTAAACTCTAATTTATTAAAGTCCAACTACCTAAATGAACAAAGTGATTTGAATATGGTAGTGTTTTGACAACACTATTTTTCTGTGCCTCCTAAATGTATTAGTCATGGTCTGGATATTTTGTTATCCCTGCCTTAGTTGTACCTACTGCCTAAATAGTCAGTATTCAACAACTAAACTAGCAGGGTCTCCCTTGTGTTGCACAGTTAAGAACCGAGTAGAAAAGAAAATTTACCAGTACCAGAATAAATACAGTAGAAAGTTAAGAGTACAACATACAGTGACAAAACAGTCGGAATAAACCAAGCGGAGGAGCTTTGCCGTAATGCTTTTGTCACTATCCCAAAACAGTTTAACTTCGTGCCGGACATACTCCTCCGCATCGTGGCATGTATTGGTGGTCTTATAATAATGCCACTTCAAATATGTTGACGGAGGTTTCGCCGCCGCTGCATCTGCCATCCCATAACATATGCTCGCCACTGAAAGAGCTACTAGTGGTAAAGCCACACTCATAATTCTCCCCATTTTGGGTCACTACTTCCAACTCACTCTTGATCTCTGTAGAACACTATCTTTTTTGTTTATAGTACTGCCAATAACATATTCCCTCTTCCCTGCTTATATAGCAGTGTCCTGGTGGTATAACCGACCACAACATCATAGTGGAATATAAATAATAAATAAAATGAAAGAACTCAGAATAATAATTTTCTAATTCGATTTACTCACATATTTGAAATATAATCCAAGCATTGCGGCACCGTGTGGCGGAAGAGTGAGGCATGGAGCTGTTCACATGCACCAAGGCCTTTTCAACATCCTTCATTCCTTCTGAAGCTATTTAATGCTGTGACGTGGGTAGTAAGGAACGTGCTTTGCATGTGACCACGACTTCGATTTGGGACCAATCCTATGCCCACGATAATGGTTCTTTTGTTGATCCAATATTTCCTTCAAATCGAGAAATCTAGAGTATTCTAAGTGAACGATGAGTATTATTATGGATTCAAGGGGCGGCATGTGCAATCTGGGTCTTATCTCGTTGCAGTGAGGGTGGATCTGGTTAGTTATTTGCTTTTCCTAATGTTTAAACCACAAGCATATGCACTGAATAAATTCTCAATGATCTCTGAAACAAATCAATAGGCAAATTTTTGTAGTCTCCGCAGAGAAAAATAATCTATCGTTCCTAGTCAAATGGAAACATAGAGAACGTAAACGTAGCTTAGTTATTTCTTTCTTTAAACATACTTTATGATGCTTGCCTTAACGCAACTTAAATATAAAGCTTTTGACTGTTTAATATGGAAAACACTTCCAGTTGGATCACACATTGGCAGGTGATAAAAGTAGACATGACGAGGGGAAACACGTTAACATGTGAATTGGGCTATAATCCTCGTCGTTTAAGCAAAATAAGCATGGTTGGAGCTTATTTATTGTCGGCAGGAAAAGAAAAGTTTATTAAATTTTCACATTAGGGGATCTAGAAATTATAAAACGAGCTTAATTGCATTTTAACAAGAGAAAGCAAGCTTGGTTAAAGAGGCTTTTAATTTATATGTCAAGTAAGTACTACTTCATCCTATAACATTTCCATTGCAAAAATGTTTAGCTGAGCATGCAATCATTCGTTGTGAATGTGCTCTAAACACCGTGTTATGACGGTGATGAGTAGCATTAAAGCGTGGTCACAACTTGCAATCTGCAATGCAAGAGGCCAAAGAAAACTGCGCTAAACAAACACGTTGTCTTTTAGTTGAAGTCAGAAGTCTGCCTGAGTGAACATGAAGCTAATTACTTCGTAATAAAGGTTCGTAAATTTTGCTGTAAAGTTTTTCATCTTCAAATCTCTTTTATTCCATTTATTCATTTCCAATTTTGATATATATATATATATATAAAGTAAGATTTGAAGATTTTTTTTTCGTTCCTCTATTATTTTTTATACTACACTGTTTTAATCTCTCAAAATTTAAAATATATCTGTTTACCCAAACATTTTTTGTCTGTTATCTAGTAATATTATTATTTAATGATGCAATAATGATATCAAACATAGTCCACTCGTCACAAAAATATAAAAGCACAATTTAAATAAAATGCACATGATTATTTGTCAAACTCCAGATCATCATTAATTAACGTTGTTACAGCAGTCCAAAATACAAAAAGAAAAAAAAATCTCAGAAATTAAAACCGGTTAAAAATTTGATTAGGTCTAAAAAACAAAAATCGCAGGAAAAATTAGGTACCAAACATATACATTCATTGAACCCATTTCCTACAAAATGGTGTTGTTCACAGTGATGGGTCTTAGGCCACGTGAACCTTTCCTTGAACAGACTTCAATATTAACAATGACCCATTGATATTATTGTCATCTCTTGGGCCAACTTGTGTTACTTTTGCTTGGAAATGTTTGGGTTGTTTTTGTCCTCTGCGTAGGAGCATGACTGTAACCACCGCTACAATTGTGGACACAGCATAATATTTGGGCATCCGAAGAACATTATTGTATATAGTTTTAGTTTTTGGATTTAATTTTAATAATTTTATATTTTCATACAATCATATATCATTAAAATCATGTAGCTGAACTCGGTTATTTAAGTAAAGTTTAAGTGAAAAGGTGTGATCGAAGGGAAAAACCTCATTAATGTTTTTTTAGGTTTCGATTTAATATTATTATAATATATAAATATTAGAGGGTATTGATGTAAATTTATCCTTGTTCATTTTTCCTTGAACCATCACCATAACCTTTGATTGCACACATAATCAATCATGTGGGAATCACATAATGGATTATGTAGCTTATTAAACATAATTATGCCAAAACACATAAACATTAAGCATCCTTTCTTTGCAAGCATAGACCTTATGGAGTGTTTCTTAATGTATTTGAACTTTATTATTTCTACGTGTGATTTTATTTTTTTTATTTGGATACATAAGTTTTATGTATTTTTTAATTGTCCCATGGGTTATTGCTTGAGGATAACGCGGAACGAGGTATTATTCATAATTAATGAGGTATAATTAATTATGCACTAATATGTCCATTGTGTATTTATCGACATTGCCAAATAATTAATTTTGTTTATGTCATAATAGGTATTTTATTTGAAAATTAAAATTAAAAGAATAAGTAATTGAAGAGTATAGTGGTCTTCTAAAAATATCACTTTCATCTATCTTTTCTTTTTTTTCAATCAAATAAGTATACATCAAAATTATTCACCGAATTTTATATATTTTTAATATCTTTAACTATCTCATTTTTCACTTTAATTCTTTTTGTTTTCTTTTATTTTTTTACTCACTCGTTCTCCTTTATGTAATCCAAACAATTAAAACCGATGGATACTTCATATAATAACATAAATATTAAAAAACAATTGAAATTATTAGCCCTCAAAGTTATTAATTTAATTGTTATTTCTAAAATATTATCTAATTGATCGAATCGAAACTATCACTCACACTATTAAATTATAAATTTGTTTTATTTTCACTCTCAAATAACATTAAAGGGATATTTAAAGTTTAAAACATTTTTTTTATCGTAGTTCATTTATTTGTCTTCAATTTCCTTTACTCTTTTCTTCACTCTGTCTCTTGTCTGCGTATCAAAATTTCTCACGAATTCGATGGGAAACTGTGATTCATTTGCAGATCAAAACTCATTCAATTCAAATACGAAACTAAATCTTAAATAAACTCCAAATATAATATTTTTGTTAATTTTTAATTTCATCACTTTCTTCAATAATAATGAAAAATATTATTATATATCATATTAAAAAATTATTTTAATATAAATTAAAATATCAATTATATTTCCCCTCAAATCTGATATGATGTTAATCAAGTTGTCAACTTTGGAATTTTGTAATAATATAAGCCATATATTTTATTAATTACTACAAATACCTTTTCTTAACTTTATAAATATATTTTTTAATTATGAAAAACACTCTGTACCTAACCAAAATCTTTATAATTTATATTTTTTCAATAATTGTGAAGAAAATGACTTCTTTTATTTTTTTATTCAAATAGACTCAAAAGCGCCTTTAGTTCTGTAATTTTGTTAATTATTACGTTGAAAAAAAAAACAAGGGTTTTGCTATTCAAAGCACTATGTCCCAATAAAAGAAACACAAATTACGTAAGCTTATTCGTATGAAACTTTTATTTTAATTGACAGTGATTAATTTTAATAGTTCATTTTCCTATAATTTTTTTTAACATTATAAATTAAGTAATATAAATATAATTTGATCAACAAATTTCGGTATACATATTTTTTAAATTAACAATGTTTATTATTTATCGTGTAATACTTAAATGACAAATGTATTTTTTAGAAAAAAAAAACAAATAAAATTCATTTCTGAGAGTGGTAAAAACCTCAATGTTTATTAATTTATTTATTTGAAGCGCAAGTTTGTGATTCAAACTTAGTTTTAACTATCACTAATGTGAGATAAACACTTACAATTACCTTAGTTATTTTATTTGATGGAATGTAAAAAAAAAAAAAGTTCTAAAATTATATTACACTTATCTTAGTTCAAACATTAACTTAATTTTTTACCAATACAAATAGTAACTTATTTTGTTTTTAATTAAAAGTTGGATCAAGAGATATATTTTTTAATAAACAGTTCTAAAAGATATTTCTACAGTCAGAAGGCATGAAACTAAGATTTCTTTGATGAATTTTCCTATCTGGATATAGAGACCAATTTTAAAAGTAAAAGTTAGATTTGACAGAAGTTTCATTAAATTACAATATCTTTCATTTTCACCATGCCCCAACTAAGGTGAGTCATTTGGTTTTATTATGGTGACAAGCTGATAACTTTTGAAGATACTCATCCTGAAGAATATTTTAGGGATTGAATTGATGAATGCAAAGTAATAGTCTCTCTGTCTTGTTTTGTGTTCTTATTTGAATGCATTTTTGTGTTTATTTTGTCTGAGGTTAGCATGTAATAAAGTTTGTATTTTTATATAAAAATTAAATGAATAATAAAAGATGAAGTGTATTTCTAATTAATGGAGACAAAGCTTCTTCTGGCAATGTTAAAGTGATTAAAAATCTTAGAGAGAAAGATTGGAAAATAGGAGGGTAAAAGTGTCATTTTGGCGTAGCATGAGAAGTTCTTTCTGTACAAATTCTATGTATAGTGGCCCAGTGGGTAAGGAGTTGCAGAAAATCTTAATTCCATAAAAGGCAACTTTTTTTCTTTTTTTCTTCATTTTTTCCAAAAAAGAAATTAATACCCTTTTTTTTCTCTCTCTGCAGTTTCATTCAATTCCACCTTCAATCAAAGCCCCTCTGCTTTCGCTCTCTTATCTCTCTCTTCCATTTCCTTCTTTCACTCCTACCACTGTCGCTTTCGCCTCTTTCTCTCTCTTCGATTTTAATTTTGGGTTTTTTTTCCCCTTTTCGTTTGAGTTGATGGTGTTGGGCGTTTGACGGTAATTGGCGGGAAGTAACCGTCAATTCCGATAGGCCTTCGGTGGAAAGTTTGAAACTTGAGGCGTTTGAAGAAAAGGGGTTATCGTTTCGTCGTCCATGGCGAACCCATCTGGGAACCATCAAGAGCACGCGCACGTGTCGTCTTCTGCGCCCGAGACTTCGGGTGCGGCTCTCGCCATGAAGCACAACCCTGGCATCTCCCTCGATTGGACCGCCGAAGAACAAGCCATTCTCGAAGATGGACTCGTCAAGTGAGTATCTTTATTCGTTTTGTGTTTTGTTTTTTGGATTGTTTGATTTGAGTCTTTTTGTTTTTTTTGGAGATTGGGGATTTTTTGTTTGGTCTTCTCCATATGCAATTGGCAAATCTTATCTGTGTGGTTTCGTGTGATTGGAAGTGGGTTTTGATGGCTTTCTATGCTGAATTATGCTTTCTAGGCTAGCTCAAGTTTATTAAGAATTGAACTCATTTTCCTTTTGTAAAACGAGTTTAATTATCTAATTACTACCCTTAGTTTAAACATTAATTGAATTTAATATTCTTCAATTTGTTTCTTCAATTAATTAAGATATTCTTCTTTAATATTCAGTCAAATTCAAAAGTTAAGTACTAAATTAAAACTATCATTGCTATTATGATTGTTGCTGTTATTATTATTATTAATGATAAAAAATGCAAATTGAGCCGTCTAGCTAACGAGTCTGATGTGAACTGAAAAGCTCAAGCTTGTTTGCAACTAATCAAAATGCAAGGGATCTTATGTATTCAGTAAACTAACTTCCAATTTGACCCATGGATGACTCTTTCAAGCTATGTTTTCAGTTTGAGTCTGAGAGTATAAGGAAGTCCTAAATCAATTTGGGATTTGGGTGTTCATCAGAGCTTTATTCGAAACACGTCAATGTTTTTTTTTTTGTCATCATCTTGTAAATGCGTGCTTACTTCTGTTTCCACAAAGAGTTACTAGAAACTAGGACAATCCTAAACTGAATTAGTGGAGATATATTCTTTATGTGGATCCTTGTCTCGTTGATTGTGATGGAAGTTTGAAATCAATAAACATAGGAAGCTGAAGTTTTGAAATGATTATCATTATCAAAACCTTTATCAGTAGTGAAATTTATTTAATTGTTTAGATGTCAGGCTTGATTCGCTTTCTGTACTTAGATTTCATGGTAAGTTCATTTTTGTTGTCGTACTGTTTGATTCCTGTCTTTTGATGAGCATTGTGTATTTATGAAGTTCTATATGGGTAGTGTTAGTCATTAAATTAATGAAAATTTCATATTTCTCCTCTTAGGTATGCCTCAGAATCCAACATAGTACGCTATGCAAAGATTGCCCTACAGTTACAGCATAAAACAGTTCGTGATGTAGCACTGCGAGTCAGGTGGATGAATGTAAGTTACATACTTGTTGGTTGCTGTCTTAAGTTGTTTTTGTCATTCTGAAAACCTATTTCCCCTAAGTTGATAAGGGTGCTGTTACATCCGTTATAAGTGTAGCTCTGTATGCCCATTGATTTTTGAAATATTTGGATTATATATCTATAAGGTTGGAGGCTATCACTTATCTCTTCTTAGATATGTTTTTGCATGGTATATATCAACCTAATATTGGAACTATACATTTATAAATTTGATAAGGTTTTGGCCTCTTATACTCAGCAAAATAATTTTGCTTTCATAAAAGAAAAAAGTGATGACTGGATCCACCATTATATGATGTAAGACACCTTTTTTGACAAGTTCTTAAAGACTGATTGCTCCCCACCCTTTATATATAATGCAAAAGAAATAAAGAAACTTACTGTTATTTTTGGGATTGCTTTATACTTAGTTTCTGTGATCACTTATTATAATGATTTTTTTTAAATTGTTTTTTCATTTTCTTGCAGAAGAAAGAAAATAGCAAGAGAAGGAAGGATGATAATTTAACTCGGAAAAGTAAAGATAAAAAGGTACTGCTTCCATTAATTGGATATTCTTATAACTTTGTATTAATTTTGGGATTGTTTTAAGTTCCTCTCTTATGCATGCCTATAGAGAGATGTCCTTTTAAATGTCTTCTTCTAATCTATGAATGTCGATTGTGTTTAAACCTATCTATGTGGGTGAATATATCGAATACTCTGTTTCTCTTGCTTGCTCATGCTTGGACTCTGGGACTCTTAACTTAAAGTTTCAACATATACACATTTAAGTAAGAAATTTGTCTTCAATAACCTACTTCTGTGGTAAATACTCTTGATCATCTTCAGATTGTTGTATCCTTTTTTTATGTGGATCAAGAGCTGACCTCTGGACATGTGCTTCTGTAGATTGCTTCTGACTGTGGAGAATCCCTTTCCTTAGTTCATATAATACATCAAACAAATCATCTCTTCTCCTATCTTTCTAGCCTTCTGTTTTCATTTAGCATTTGTTATTATTTTTTTCCTAAAAGCAAATGATGACATCAGCTTTCAGAATTCATATGTTAACATATACACGTCATTACAAATTATTAGCTATTACCTATAGATCACCGATACGTCAATTTGCTTCACGTATTCGTGTGTCGGATACTTCACTAATACGTATATCCAAACCTATGAAGCATCAATACATTTATTTGTTTTATAAATAATATTTTTAGATAGTTTACCGAAGTATATGTTAATTAAATGACAAAACTTTTAAATCATTTATATTCAATAAAAGTTTAAGAAACATATATAATAGAAGCATATAAATATTATTTTTCATAAACCAAAGAAAAAAATTGTTCTTATAAAGTATTTTAAGAAATTAATGAGAATAATAGTCTTATTTCTATATGTAAATAACAGAAAATATTTTATAACGACATTTATTTATATTTTTTATTTTCACAATATCTAAGAAATGTGATTTGAAATCTGGATTTGCACGATTGTAACTTTATAGTTATTATGTTTCATGATTTTTTTTATATTTTTAAAAACATTTCTTATACGTATCGTAACCTACTTAAGATAAACTAATAGTCATATCGGATACGAATATGATACTATGGTATCCATGCATCATAATCTACTGGGTTGGCTGCTGGCTATATTATTTTGCGTTGCAAAATATTATTGACTGAACGTTATGATTTAATATCTTTTTGTTATTCCTTGTTCACATCTTTTTCTTTTATTTGGTGTTGAGGCAATTATCAGGCTTTTGAAATTAGTAAAGCTTATAAATTTATCTAGATGCTCGTTTTTCGAAAACGCCAAAGAGAACAAAATGAAGCTTTGCTGTATGGCGTTCTATCCCCTCATTTCTTTTGACTTGTTAAATTAAGTGATGGTTTAGCATCTTGGCTGTTTGAAATACTTGGAAAGTGGAACCAAAGAAAAGTATAAAGGAAGACAGATAACTAAGTATTAGTGTATTTTTGAAATAATGGAAACTCTAGTTTCTTTCTTTGATGTTTCTATTTGTGTTCAATTAGGCTTTAGATGCTTAGCAAGTCTTTTCTGGTTTCCAGGAAAGGGTTTCTGATCCTGTAGTAAAGTCATCTAACTTTGCTGCTCGGTCCAATGTCTCTCCATATGCTCCACCGATGATTACAATGGACAATGATGATGGCATCTCTTATACAGGTTCAGTAACTTAGTTTCAAACCTTGTGAATTTTTTCATAGCTTTGGATGTGGTGATTTTCACTTTGCCAACATGACAATGCAGGCTTCTGTCTCAATGACGCATAGGCACTTCTTTCACCTTTGACACATTTAGTGTACTTGCATGACTTTTTTAAACGTTCAAGCTTCTGTTTTTTAATTTGAATTGTTTTGCAGCAATTGGTGGTCCCACTGGTGAGCTATTAGAGCAAAATGCACAGACCTTGAATCAAATCTCCACAAATCTTTCTGCTTTCCAGGTGAGCTGACAACAATTTTAACTTATTTCCCTATTATGTGTGGATAAGACCAATTGCCATAAATTGAATTTCTGAATAAGACTTCTCATTTAAGTTTTTGTATTAACTGTGTGTGGCTCTCAGTGTTAACCATTTTATTTTTTCGTAGTTTTCTCTTGACATTTTTCTCTATTGTTCTTCTTTTATATTCATTTCATTTCAATCTGGTTAACAATATATATGCTTATTATTGACATGCCTATAATTCAGCTTTTATGTATTCTTGTATTTGTCAAGAGTTCACAGATGTAGGATGTTGTTAGAGGTACTGGAACATATTTGAGGTTTTGGTATGACTAGTGAGGCGAGAAACCAGTGCTCAGGTTATAATAGAATAGAAGTACTGTCCAGAGTGGGGTTTCTTGAATTATAACTTATTTGAAAGCAAAAAAAAAAACCAAAACAAAGAGAAAGTAGATGTGACGAGTGTATACTCTATTTATTTTTCTAATTATGATAATTTATATTTTCTTCATGTGTTTATGTCCGAACAAATCAATAACCAAAGCAACATTTATAGACCTGCCTTCATTCTGAAGGCAAGAGCACATAATTAAGTTAAAATACCAATACAGAGAATGATGTATCAATATCTTATTAAGCAGAGTCAGAATAACGTTTCTATGCTCATGGTAATTATACCCTGAGTATGTTTGTTGATACATAATTGTCTGAACATTCCTCTTATGCTTTTGTTGTTTTATATCTTGTGTTAACTTAATAAAAAATCTTGCATGATTAGTGTTCAAGCTTTTTTGGATCTATTTTTGGATCCTTAAGTGTTTCTAGTTTGTTGTTGTTGGTATCGATTCCATTCTAAGAGCTATTTTTTGTGGTTTTAAAGCTAACCTGCTATTGTTTTTGTTTCCAGGTACAGGAGAACATCAATCTTTTCTGCCAAACTAGAGATAACATCCTTAAAATTATGAACGAGTGAGTTGTATTCTTTTGGTTCTTTTCTACGGTCACTCAATTGGTGTGATTTGTTTGTTTCTCTTTTTATATTGGGGTGTATGAATGCTAGCTTGACTTTTGTATTTGAGTATAAAGGAGATATAATTTAGTAAAAGGAATAAAGAATTATGTGTGAATGTGATTGTTGTTTTAAGCCAATTTGATTTGATTGATGCAAAAAGCTTACTATTTTTGTCCTCTTTATTTATGTTTGAAGGTTAAATGATTCACCAGAGGTGATGAAGCAAATGCCACCTCTTCCTGTGAAGGTGAATGAAGAGCTGGCCAATTCCATACTTCCAAGAACAACTCTGCCTCCACAATCATGATAAACACATTCATTGCCTTCTCATGCACTGATCTGGAGAATAACTTCCAAACGCCAATCAAGTTGACCCAAACATTTACTTTTGGAAAAAAAGAAAGCAAGAATGAATAATTGTTGATAATCATCAAGTTGAATTAGTTTCAATAATTTTATTTTATTTTATTTTATTTTTCTAATGCTGGTTTTCCTGCTTTTTGTTCCCTTGTTGGCCTAACTTAGCTGTACTATAGGAATTATTTAGTATTCTTGGTATTAATTGAGTTAAATTTAGGGAATTAGGTCAATAAGTTGTGCTATAATTTTATTTATCGTTTTACATTTCATTATGCATATTTTTATCATATTCTTGTTAATAATGGTCTTTCTGAGTATCGGTTATGAAATTAATAAATATAGGACTTGAGGAGTGCATTATGAACATTTTTAATATGTATATTTATTTATACTCTTGAGATTGTTTTGTCACATAGTGTACAGGTGTAAGGGTGTAAAATGTAAGTGTGGTTTTGTGGAGGTAATAATGAAGACATGGGACATGGCAGAAAGTTGAATTCTCCATTGCTATTTGTTATTTGTGTTGGTGGTGCTCGATGGTGAAACATTAATGAATCACCTTTTTTGACACCCACTATTTGTTTGAAAGGAGATTGGAAATAATCCAAATGAACAGAAAAAATGTATTTTTCTTATTTATATCATTATATTTGTATTTGATTATGACTTTTGTAATAAACTATTTTAATTATACATTTTTTAATAAGATTATTGAAGAAATGAATTTTTATTTGTTACAACTTTCATGAAAATATTTCAATTTTTTAAAATTCTCTTCATCTAAATTTTGTAACAAATAATCAGATAAATTATTTTTGTTTTCCACGTCTTTAGCATATTCGGAATAACTTGTCATCTCCTCCTATCTTATAATAAATTTTATTGTTAATGATCTTTTTAAATATGAAAATGCTCTCGTAACTAAATATCATATTTGATCTTGTGATAGTGAGATGCATTAAACTACCAATCATAATTTTCATGGAGAAAGTTTCTTTTTCCATTTGTATTATTTTTTAACCCTAAAACTATTGGATTGCCCACTGATTTATTTTTCATCCCTTCTTTGACTCAAACATACCACTAACCTTTTGCAGCACCTCAATCCCATGACAATCTCATTTTCCCAAGTTACACATGACTCAAACACCCTGATTTCCCAGGTTACAACTTTGAGTACCTTTTTAATTTTCTTCTTTGAAATTGTATCACGAGTATGCAGATCATGCGTCGTGGATTGTGGGCACATATATCAGTAACACGTATATTGTAGCTATGAGGTTTGCACGACTTAATGAAGACTCGCGGTCAACAGAAGAAGGGCTTAGGTAGACGAGAATTGCATTATATGATTACTATTTATTAATATATCAAACTTTGTGTTATACTTCTCACTAAATGTCGAAATGCCTTTGAAGGCACATCCACAATACCTTAATATATGAAAAATGATATCCAATATACTTGAGAGTAACTTGTCGGGCAAAACATATCCATGAATAATATTGTAGGAGATTTTGGCCTTACAATAACAAATCTACACGTTATTTCCTTATGAAACAATGGGTGCATCTGACAATTGTGAAAGAGGATCCAGGAAAATCATATATCATATTCATTTGATGTGAAAAGTGAGATATATTATAAAAATGAGTGATTATCGAATGTACGTATTAAAATTGTTTGTTGATATTGTGTCTGTAAGAAATAAATTATTGAGCGTGTGTTGATTATCAAAGACTTGAATGAGTATTTAACATACATGACATGTTTGCTAACATTATGTCAAGCGTGAGAGAAAAGTTAGTGAACATGTATTAATGTGATATCAAATATGAAGAGAGATTTATTAAAGTTATCGAACATGTATCGATGTGATATCGAACATTAAGGGAGACAAAAATTAGAGAATGTGTATCGATAGAAAATCGAACATAGAAATCGAAGAACATAAAAGTGGAATGAGAGAAAAAAAGACAATAAATCTAAAAATAGATTTTTTTCTTATTATGTTTCAATCAAAAGAACATACACATGTTTATAAAAAAGAGAAAAAATGACCTAATCGGTAAAATGATTAAACTGAATAATTTTAACAAGGTAGATTTTGAGTTTTTGTGTATAAAGCATTAATTAAATTATGCTTGAGATATTATTTGAGATTGAGTTTGTAAGAAAACATCTTCTTTACTCTTAGTTTAAATTATTCTCCTTTAATCAAAATGGTTAAACATTTTTCTTGTACTTGTCTTATAATTAAAACCGTATTTCTTAACTTAGAGTTATAGTATATCTTAAAAATGATAAGGTATATGATTCAATCTTATAAAATTGACTCAATAAGGTGAAAATTGTACTCAACTATCATATTGAAAAGAATTTTTTCAACACACCCTCTCATATTAAGGATGAGTGATCAATAATAAGATGTTAAGTCCACCACTATTAACTATCATTATTCATCGTAATTAATTTTGATATTATTTTACAAATAGTGAGTATCTAACTCAATCCTAAAAAAACAGTTTAATAAAGTAAAAATTATATTCATCTTTTATATACCAATGTTATCAAATCTTTACTCACTATCACCATATTTACTTCCCTTAATAACAATTCAAAGTAAATAGATTATTTTTTTCAATTTTATAAAATATTAAATTTTTTCATCAGATTTACTAACCTTGCTTTACTAACCTTGCTTGATCATTACGTGGTTCCAACAATCATATTCATCATAAAAAAATAAATAGAATAGAATGATAATAGTTAAAGTGAATTTTCATCTTTTGCAATTTTAAAGCAAATTTTAAACTATATATACTTTTATTATAAACAAAATTTAAAGCCTATTTAATTTTATTATTTAAAACATATTCATTTGTTTGAACCTTTGCACTATTCTCACATTATTATTTATTTTTAACTTAATTTTAGCGTATGTAGGTAATAAGATAGGTTGAGTAGTTGAATTTGAATTCGTTTAATAAAATTTAGGATTTGAGTTTTTAATTATTTGAGTTTTTGAAAATTATATTACAATTTCTTTATTTTAAATAATTATATTATCACTTTTTTCATGTTACATATGTATTTTCTTAAGTTTTAAAAATATTATATTTACACTTTTTAGAGTAAACAAAGTGTAAATATAATTTTTAAAAAAATACATCACGGTCTCATTATATAATTTATTCTCAATTTAAATTTCATTAAACATAACCTTGTAATTGCTTATTTGCTAAAATCCATAAAGTTTTTTTTTTAACTTTAGTTTTCGCTGTGTGTGATTCTTAATTTAGAAACGAAACCCAATTTTTATTTTTTTCTTTTCATTTGTTTTGTATCTCTAAACCTGGGATTATGGAAACAAAAAGGTTATTCCAATAAAAGTTTCTTAGTATGTGAAGAAAGAAAAGAAAGAAAAGAAAAAAATAAATAAACAATATACTTGTTAATATGAAATAAAAATGAAAAAAATTATTATTTAATTACAAAATTATTTATATATTTATTTTAGATTATTAGAATATTAATTAATGAAATGATAAGTTTTTAAAATAATATATATTTTTTATTATTTTTCGTTCATAAATAAAAATAAATAAATATATCTATTATACTAAAAAAATGATATTTTTGTTTATATTTTTATTATTAAATAAAAACATTATTACTTTTCATCAATTATGTCTATTACACTTTTCACTTTATACTTTTTTCTTATAAATAATCACAATCTTAATATCTAAGAATGGAATTAGAAAAATGTGAAAATCACTTTGATTGATTCTTTTTTAAAAATTATCTTTTTTATGTTGCACAAACCATCTTTCACTTTGTTTCTCCAGTATTAAAAAAAAAAAAACAAAAAAAAAAACACCATAAGCCTCCATAGTAATATTTTAGAATAAATAAATAGTCCATGACACAACACATGCTTACCCTTTTCCTAGATATCTGTCAGTTACCAATCAAAAGTACTGCCCAGGTCAGCATTGGTGTCTGTTTCAACCAAATTTTTAATCTTTATTTCATGAATGAGTCATTATTCAGAGAACCCAATAAAAAATTTGAAGCAAATTTTGTTGCCATTTTTTACCCTGCTGCAGGCATTGCCTTCATCATGGGAGGGAGCCAAAAACACTGCCATTTTATTGGGAGGCTTTTTCTTTTTCTTCTTCTTCTTCTTCTTTTCTCATAAATGCAGAACTTTCACTTTGAATTCTTCTCTATTCTTTCGTTTTAATTCTTGACTTTTAAAACACTAGTCTTGATTTCTGTAGTTTTTTAAAATACTCAATCCTTGACCCTTAAATAAGAGGAAAAAAAAAAGTTTATTTTAGGAACTAAAGTTTGAGTTCTACTTTGAAAATCAAGAGACAAAAACTATTAATTTTAAATCCTTTTGATAGTAATCAGATTTGAGTCTTTGATGGATGAAAAATATGGTTAATTCTAATTTTTGTCTTTTCTTCTCATATCCACGGTGAAAGTTTTAGGATATTAAATACAGTTATGATTCATAAATAAATATAAAAAATTTCATTAAAGACTTTAATAAATTGGATTATGGGAATAAATTGTTATAATGTTAATCATTTAAAAATCATGCTTAGCTTAACTTCTAACATAATTACCAAAATCGAGAAATTTATTAAGATTTGACGATAGTATAATAACATTTATGAATAATTTTAACGCTATCCTCAAATCATATTATGTGTGTAAAGTTATTAACTTTGTACGAAAACCAGCTTATTTTAAGATTTTTACCTTAATGTGCTTTAAAATTAAACTTAATATTAAAGTGTTTACTAAACATGTTATGTTTAATGATAAGTTCTTTGTCAAATTTGTAACTTTTTTTAGCATTTTAAGGAGGTATAACCCAGTTAGCTAAATTGGTGTTAATTATTGTAAATCTCCTTACATGTGTTTCATTCTCATAAAAAAGTAATCTTTAACAAATTCTGTTATGTATTTCACTTACTAACACCGAAAATCAGAATAAAAAAGCAGAAAAAAAAAAAATAAAGAGAGAGAAGAAAGCGTGTGTGCAACGACTACCACAACAGGTGGTGTGGTAGCTTGACTAGAAAGTCATCCACTTGCCATCTTTTGACTTTATGTGGGAAAACAAAGAGAAAACAAGGTTTGGGTCGAAACGCAATATTTCAGCTTCATTCATAGCTTCGTTATTTCGGAATACATGTCACATATTTTCAATGGTTAATTTGAAGTTGTTGTCTGTCAGGTCAGAGGTGGATTAGGTCGAAAATTTTGACACTAAAATTTGTCCCTTTTTACAAGTGTAGGGAAGTGTTTGACACGCTTTTCTTCACCCTTATGGATTCACAAATCTGTTTTTAATGATAATAATAAAAAGTTCTCCAATCTTATCAGTGTTGTTTAACTTTATTCTTTCATTTTTGGAGGTTATTTTTAACTGTGGAAATTGTTTATTAGGCAATTAATTATTACCTTTACACGTGACCAATGACGTTACCAAGATGGTTCATTCCTCACAGTTGATGACATGGAGTGGACGTAGATTTTCAGCATGTGTTAACGTGTGAACGCCAAACTTGAAAGGGGTGAAAAGAATGATCCAATTAATGGATGAATATATGGCTAAAGCAACTAACCCATCCAAGCTCTTATTTTGTTTGTTTGTCTTGAGAATTAGTTTTAGAGAGATGCCAAAAAATCTCAGTGTTTCTGTTGAGGTTTGTTTTGGCTTCTTGCTCTTTAAGAATGCCATTTGACTAGTCTCAATTGTTTTCATACGTGTGTATATATACACTTTTGTGCACCCAAATGTGGCTATTCAAGCTGAAGTTCTTTTGATTAGAGAGGATTGAGAAGGAAGATTATATGACACTTTTCATGTGCAATATGCAGTTCTGCCAATAAAAGGATTTTGGGTATCCTCTGGAGCCAGTGAAACTTCTGGCAGGGTCTTGGAGAGAATTTCCAGCACCTTTCATATCTCAGATTATAGAGTAAGTTATTTGGAAATGACCACATGCAGTTCCACAGTCAAAATGTTCTTTCCTTGTACCCAACTCATTCTATGTGAAAGGAAAACTTTAAAAAGCTCCAAGCAATTACACCACAGGAAACTGCTACAAGTGCACTGCACATGAAGAAGATTGCTTCTTCTATGTATATCTAACATGCATATACATATTACATCATGAACCGTTATTAGAAACTCCTTTTCTCTACCCTGCTTGATTGCGTATGTTTATTTCTAGTTCAGTTACAGAACAAAATTCTTTGAGCTGAATTGTAGGGAGAATATCTGAATAATTCTTGGTTCTTGATTTGGCAGGTTAAAGATGGTCAAAGCTAACAGCACCAACGGCCTATTATCTATTATAGTTATTGCAGTCTTGATTTTCCCGGAAGTTGCATCACAAGCCCTCTCACCCAGTGATTCTGCTGCAGGTAAGATTTGTTCCTCATAGACTCAATATATTCCTTCAGATTATTTCAAATTACCATGCAATTATGGGGGTATTCAGGTATATATTGATCTGGAAAAGATTGGGGATGTATGAACTTGTTAATGTTATTCATATGATTGAAAAACCAGTTCCTTGTCTAATGTCATGAATTGCCCAATTGTGTAATTTTAAATAACGTACACGACTAATAGACATAAGGTGGAAAGCAACTACTGTAAATTGAGGGCATACATTTAAGGGAAAAATCAAATGGAAATTAGTCTATGTGATGTGAATATGATATTCATTAATTATGTTGTCCTTCACGCTTTAAAAAGCCATTAAGAGCGTGTCTGCTACTGATAAAGAAGTGTATAGTAATTTTAAATAAATAATCTATCATCTATTATAGAATAAACGTAAAGAACGCATCAGAGCGTCAACGTTGAAGGATTTCTTGGACAAATCGTAGTAAGTGGTAGAATATTATTTTGTATTTGATGGTCCAAAGTAAAACAATTATGGTTTATCTTGCAGAACATAAATTTTAATTTTGTATTGACCAAATTAAGTGAATGATATAGATATATATGATACAGATTCCACTTGTTTCATTTTTTGCTATTGGCTGTGTCATTGAAAATGAGAAGTATTATGTTTATGCTTGATGCAGATAATGTGTCAGATGCCATTAGACAATCCGATAATACTATTAGAGTGGATCCTTTAGATAATTTCGAAAAATACAGAGGAGGGTTTAACATCACCAACAAGCATTATTGGAGTGTAAATCTCTCACCTTTTTGTTTCTGAATGTGATTTGTAACATCAACGATGTTGTTAACATGCCCTTAACATTTTTGTAGTCGGTGATATTCACTGGAGTATATGGATATGCAATTGGGTTGCTCTGCCTTTTGTGTGGAATTGTATATGGAAGCTTTTTGGTAATAACCTTGGCTTGTCAAAAAAATGACGGAAGAAGAAGGATTAAGAATGTCTCTCCTTGTAATTACAAGAGTTGTGATCTTTCACTAATTCCTTTGGCTATATTGCTCACCATTTTTGCTATGTAAGTGATTCATCTCTGTCTCTCTAGCCTAAGTAACAAGGACATTTCTGAATAGGAGCATTTTTTATTTCCTTTCCTTCCAAACCTCAAAAGGGTATAAACCAGTCCACATAACAGTCGTGAAAGCTTATTGTAAAGTTGATAATGTATAAAATTGTGGACAAATTACATCCGTGAAGACTCCAAAAACCTTGATATTGACCTTTTTTAAAACTTTAGGCAAGAACTAAAATAGTCTTCCAAATTGAAAGGGAAATGCTCTTTAGCTTGAATTTATTACCATGATTCAAAGAAAGGCATGAACTGTGTAAATTAATACCGTGAACAAATTTAGTTTTGAAAGTAATAACGAAAATGACCTCTACATTTACTTGATTGCTCATTGAAGATTGGCACATCACAAAGTGATGTATGTATGCATGGCTCTTTGTTTTTGTAGAGCTGCAACTGGGGTAGCTCTTGCTGGGAGTGCAAGGTTCCATTCTGAAGCGAAAACTGCAGTCAATATTATAATCAAGACAGCGAATGAGGCATCAGAAACGATACAGAACACAACAGGAGCATTAAAGGACATGGAAAGTAGCTTCATGGAAGCCAATGTCAGTCATCAGACTACTGTAAATCTTGACTCTACTACTGAGAGGCTTGATGATGCATCTGCAAACATTGAAAAGCAAGCCAGGAAGAATAGGCGCCTTATTAACAAGGGCTTGAAAGTAGTGTAAGATTCCCCTCTATCTCTCCTATTCCTGATGAAATGTAAAATGAATTACGCATTCATGGCAATAAGGGAGATCTTTTGATTGCAGATTTGTAACTACCACAGTGATCATAAGCATGAACTTGGTTGCTCTAATAGCTTTGGCAGGTATTTTCAGTTGTTTTATATGCCTAACATCAATGATTGTATCTTTATATCAATGAAATTCAAATCTGTACTTCTAGTTTGGATTTCTACAGATGATACATCATTCTCATAAAATGTTGAAATTTTTTGTGAACAGTTTCTGGAGTACTGAGGTTTCGGCGGGCACTATACCTGTAAGCAATCTAAACTCTATTAGCTTGAAGTCATAGAAGCAAATGAATTCTTGCGAACATGTATGATTTGTGTTGCAAATCTAAAATTTTGTTTTATTGTGTGTCGTCTTCTTTTTCACAGGCTTGTCATATTATGCTGGTTGATGACAGTGATATGCTGGTTATTCTTTGGAGTCTATTTCTTCTTAGAAAAGTAAATCCAAAGTCCTTTCTGAATGACATATTTTCAACATTGTAAAACTTTTTCCTGCAATAAATATGTTTGTAATGTGGAAGTTTGAGCTTAAATATTAAGAGTTCTTTTTTGTTATAGATTTTCTGGTGATGCATGCACAGCTCTTGGCAACTTTCAAGAAAATCCCTATAACAACAGCCTAAGCTCAATCCTCCCTTGTGATGAATTGCTCTCGGCAAAATCAGTTCTATCTGATGTTGGTGCGGGGATCTACGACCTTGTTAATAAGGTAACTTTTGCAAATCACAATTCACAAACATCAGCTCCCTCCTCCCTCTTCTACATGATGACTGCAAACCATAATCAATAATAGAAGCATAAACTGAGCCTTCTAGTCATATAAATACGACTAAACATCAACTTGTTCCCTCAAGTGACAACCAATCAATTTGGTAAAAAACAAGTCTAGTTCCTTACATTAACAATTGTGTTGGTCAATTTATCACTAGCTAATTTGATCTGTTAAACATTAATGTCAAGAACCAAATTGACAAACCAGCACAAATATTAAGAGCCAAATTGATTCAAAAGTTGCTAAGGTGAGGGAGAATAATTTTTTCACAAATCAAGAACTAATGTTTTGGAGTTTGAATCCTACGGTTGCACTGCATTATAATTTATACAACATTGGTGTTCAATCGAACGTAGTCAGCTATGAAGGAGGAGGAGTAATGTTTTGGTTTTGGTCATTGTCCAGGTGAATGCAAACATTTCAGCCATGCAGGCAACATCAGATGTGAATCTTGTTCATGTTTGCAACCCCTTCTCAGCTCCACCCAAATACTTATACCAGCCAGAGAACTGCCCTGCTAACACTATAAGAATAGGAGACATCCCAAAGGTAACATTGTCTCTATGAGTTCTATTTCTGCTATTAATTACAAGACCATGATATACTAACACCACCATTTCACTGTCAAGGTATTGAAGCCTTTAACATGTTCGAATGACATTGATGGAAACTGTGACAACCTGTATTACATAACTGGCAGTGAATACACGAGAGTTGAGGCTTACACAAATTCAATTCAGAGTCTACTGAATGTGTATCCAAGTATGGAACACTTGTTGGAATGCCAGGTGGTAAAAGATGCATTCTCTCAAGTCCTTGTCAACCACTGCAAGCCCTTGAAGAAATATGCTCAAATGGTATGGCTAGGAATGCTGTTTCTTGCAGTGATCATGGTGTTGTTAGTTGTGATCTGGACTATAAAAACTCGTCATGAGCATCATCATAATAATCTTTCAGATGGTTCTGTGGAGCCTCATTGTGCACCAACCAAAGCCTTGGAATCGGGACCAGTTAAAGAGATTGAGATATGACAACAACCAAATTGATTAATACTCAATTATTTTATTACTTTTAGTTCAAAAGAACTTAGGAACAGGGTACTGGAATGCAAATGCGCAAGCAGCTTCCAAAAGAACTTAGGAACAGTATAGTGCAACATTTGTAGTTTGTACATAGTCAATACATGCACAAGTCAAAAGATAGAACAACGATGTTTAGAATTTGCCTTTAGTCATATATTTTTCACACACCTTTTGTTAATTGGGGACCAAACCCGAATAAAACACCTTACAGATGTACACAAACACAAATCATCAAACAATAAATGAACAAATATTTTGTCCACTGGATTAGGTTTTCAAAGGATTCTACTAGATTTTATTTTTTAGAATGACAACAAAATTTCTTAGATATTTTTGTATTACTATTAAAAGGTTTTGATGATATTTAAAAGTATAAATTTGGATAGATTATTTTCTAAGAATTTGTGGTGCATTTTTACAACTTTTTACTTATTTAGATTTTTTTTCATCTATCATACATAATCTTTTTTTCTCTTTTGTTGAAAATAATATGTATATCCATATATACATCAATTTATTTTATTTAGAATATTGTTTTTAATGAATTTCTAATAAAATGAATAATCATTATCAATATTACTGATATTACTAGATGACAAAAATTATAATTTTGAACCTAACGAGAATTAGTATAAGAGGTAAATTATTAATAGATTAATGTTTGATAAAAAGGTGAAATAGGTGTAATTTTAAAATTTAAATAATACAATTTATGAGGTATTAAAATTCACAAAATATAAAAGCTGAGGGTAATATATATTTTAAAAAATTGGAAGTGTGTTTAGCAATAAGGGTTGGGGGAATAAGAAACCCTCCTGATTTCATGAAGATTCTTGCACTTTTTTAATTTATTCTTTTTACTTCCATACCTGAAGTTAAATATTTAAAATAATCTTTTTCTAATTTTGTTTTTTCTCCTATTTTTTGTTTCTATTTATATGCAAATTCTTTCCATTCATTGTTTGACTGTTTGATTTTTTTGTATTATCACTTATGTTAAAGGTATTTTCTAACAATTAAAACTAAGTAATAATTAATATTATATATGAATGACATGTTTCTACATACTTAATTTGTATAAACAGATCAAAATTGTTTAATATAAAATAGTTTTACAAAAATAAGATTAAATTTTAGAAAAATCTATTCAAAAATGAATTCCACTTTAAGTGTTTTAGAATATATTTTTTATAGGTGAATAAAAAACATATTTTAGGATGTTCTAACAAATTTGAAATATATTTTTGGATTTGTCATTTTGAAATTACATTAAATACCTAATATAAAATGTATTTCGGAAATTACATTATGAAATATCTAATATAAAATGTATTTTTGGATTGATTTTTTCAAAATCTTATTTTAGAAAGAGAGATTTAGAATACGTTTTCAAACAAATCTTTTAAGAAATATAGTAAGGATTGAGTGTTTTAAAATGAATTTTTAAGAAAGTTTTTTCAAAAATATATTTGAAATTGGGTGGTGTGAAATCTAATTTTGGAAAAGTCTTTTAAAAAATGTCTTTTAAATTGGGTACTGTGAAGTGTGTTTCCGAAAAGGTTAATTATGATAATTGCATGATAAAATGAGTATAAAATGAGGTTTAATATAATTAGGGAGTGAATTATGGGGTGCAACCATGAAAGTGAGTAGGTAATACAATAGAATACAACACATAATGTCCTTCATGTAATAACAACAGAATTGAATGACAAATGGATAAGGATGAAAATGGTGATGGTTCTTCCTGTCCGGTGAAGCTGAGTGATTGTTTAGAGGAACTTGTAAGGTTCACTCTCAGCTCTCACTCTCATCTTCTCAATCTTTCCACCCAATTCTGCTCCACCCTTCTCAAAGATGACCCAACACAACCATCATCTTCACACTCACAATCACAACCAAATGGTACTTACCAACTATTCTTTTTTGTGCGTTTTGAGTTTAACAGATGGTCTTTATGTGGGTGTCTTCAAACAAGGATCTTCACGAGTCAAATAGTCAAATTCCTCATAGATTTCTCTTTCTTTGTTTTGGGTGGGGGTGATTTAGATTTTTGAGTTAAATAGATATGTATTATCACAAAAAGTTTTTTTATGGAGTCACTAATTAGAAATTATTTTGATGTGATTTTTATGGTTTGTTATTATAAAATTCAACTCGTGTACCATCGCGATTTGATGAAGTGTATATGTTATGTATTCTAGCTTTTCTGGCAAGAAAACATATGTGCATATTTTCACTATTTTGCAGATTCTATGGAAGGAGTGCCAGCGTATCCCTTATACAAGCGTCTGGCTTCGGCTTTGTTGAGGTGTATGGATTCTGAAACGTTTTGTAGGACAGGCGGCAATTTGGCCATGGTCCATGAATTTGAAGATTCTTCCATACAGCAGAAACAGCAAGTGTGGCACAAATTGATTGTGGAGAAGGGGTTTGAAATTTTAAATGTAAATAATGCTGTGTTAACTGATCCATTTTGTTTGCTCTGCTCCACTATATCGACTGCATAAGCTGGTTTCAAGATAGTGTTCTGTTTCAACAGATTTTGAAGGGTGTTTCCTTTGAACTGCATGTCCAAGAGCCTTTCTTTTCACAACTAAATGGTATTTATCACTTTGTACTTTATTTGAATATGATGAAGTTCAATGTAATAAGGTCTGAAAAATATGTTCTTTTGCCTAAACCGTGTTGTTGGGTAGAAAAAGTATCTATTGCCACTTAAAAAATAATTAAAAACTGCACCCAAAGTACCTTGAATATTTGAATATGACATTCTCATTCCTATTGTAATTCATCTGTTTTAAGTCTTATGGAGTATGATTTTACTACCTGCAGATGGCCTAAAAACAATTGAAGGGAGGTGTGCTAGTGGGAAGTACAATAGGTTTCAATTTATTTATGTTTAATTCAAAATATATTCTTAGATAAACTCAACTGTTATCTTATTTCAATTCTTGATCGTCACGTCACATTTCCTCCACTAGAAAAGAGTGTCACACTCTCATGTTTGTGATTCATCTAGATGTAATGTTGTGTGGTCTGAATTTTTGGAATTGATTCCTCTAGATGTAAAATACATATGAAAGTAGCATTGGGTAATCAATGGGAGGCAAACTCAACCAACTGAACAAACAGCTGGCTTATTTATTTGAACTTTTTGGATATTATCTCTCTTAATATTTTGCTACCAATCTAGTATGAGCTGTAGCAGGCCCTTTTACTTTAAATTTTTTGTTTATCGTTTTTCCCCTTAATTTGCTTTCCAGGATCAAATCAGGGAATCTGATTCTCTTTAATAAGTCTGTGGTGTTCGAAGTTAAGGTGCTGCTTTGTGTGGTTAACAATATTGCTTCAGTCTGTAATGGCTTTGCTTTGCATTGCTACTCTTAACTGCATCAATGCTTTGCTATGTAGGGAGTAAGACGATATCCTACATTCTTTGCCATGTTAGAGGCAGAGAGCCTTGGAAAAGTTCTTCCAGGAGTTGAAAGTGGTGAAGAAGGTAATAAATATACTTATAAGAGACAAAGAAGTGGAATCAGATTGTGTATCTAGACAAATAGCCATTCTGAGAGCTATTCAGTTCCAAATTAACAAACCAAGTAATCCAACTGGTTATTTGTCTCAAAATTTTGTTTATAATCCAAAAAAGTTTTGATGAAAGAACCACCATTTAATATGTATTTATATGGATTCTTCTATAGTAACACTTCGATAGCATTACAGGTGTAAAAGTCTACCGGAGGTTTTACACAGAGGAGAAGGAACATGAAAATGGTGTTCTTGCAATCATTGTTTCAAAATTCAGTCCTCAACCAAACGATTCTTTGGCTAGCTTATTTTGTGTGGGTTCATTTTCCTGTGATACAATAGCAACTTGTCTCTTATTGTATTTGAAAATCATGTATAACGTCTTTAAAAAGGCTGCTTCCACCTTGTTGTATAAATTATTAATTATTGGTTTGAAGTTGTCTTTGATTTGCTGAAGTTTAATGCTAAACTCATGACATGATCATAGTATTTATTTCATATTCAGGATAAGCAATGGTTAACTTAGTAAATAGTAATATTAATTGATGTGTTGCATAGGAGTTACAGAAACAGCTACCACAGCTACTAATGCATTCGTACTTACATGTGTTAATGGTAATACCCTTGCGTTCTCCTATAGAAAACCTTTTGGATAGTTTCTGACTATTATGTTGTCCTACTTTTGAATAGGGATTAAGCTATGATGGTGTTCAAGGCCTTCTAGGTCTGATGCAGACCACAGGGACAATTTCTGATGCACTTCCTCCGCCAATATCAACTCTATTTGCTTCGTTTAATTTTCCCTGCAATCCAAATGTAAGAACCTTAAGGGCAACAATGCTCCACATTAACAACGAGTGTTGAGATTCTGCAGGACTTTCATCTGTTTTCGCTATAATTTTTCTTTTTTGCCTCTATAGGATGATGCTAATGATGACCTATGTCAAATTATATATACACACTTATATGATCATTATTCAGGAAATTGGACTGACTCTTGGAGCTCGTGCATTGGCCAAGCATGCTTGTAGGAGTAGCAGTGGTTATTGGGGTTCTCTGAATGGAAACGGTAAGGATTCTTTTTTAAATATAATAATTTAGATATATCATTGCAATTGTCTTTTGATTTCCATTCTGCCTTGGTTGTCGAGGTTGTCTGCACATGGGATCTGTTTCCCATGGAAGAATTTGATAAGGTTTAGAACTGGAACTTTCATGGATTCCAGAGTACATACACACAAATTTGGTCAATGAACTTTCCAACCAGCCTTATCCAAGGCTCTCCTCTAAGAAAACAATTTTCAGCTCTGTAATATGGAAAAACAAAATAGGCATGAAGCACTGTTAATGATGTTGGGAAAACTCCCACCTAAGGATCAATAATAGGAACACATACACAACACCAAAAAGAAAATGATAGACACCACATTGGTTTGACACATCTTGTCCTTGACTATTTACAAAACTCCAGTAAACGTAAGTTCTGTGAGAACTTTAAAATCTCCCCTAAATGTGTATGATCACCCTCTCACTTGACCTGAATATCTCTTCACTCGAGTTACAAGGAATGATAAATACTCACTTCTCATTTCACAAGAAACTCTTCATCTCTCAAATGATCTCTCCCACTTGTGGATTCCTCACACTTCTCCTGAATTTGAATGCATTAACCATTCACTAGACCCCCTTTACATAGTCGGTTTGTCCAAGGATGAACTAAGTTACTCTTCACATTTCCAAGACTCTTGAAAAGTCACATGTCTTCTACTATGAGTCTTGATTGAATTTCACATTTGAACCACCCATATAACCCTTATCCTTCGTTACTTCATTTCATTTGGAAATTTAAATTGATATTTCCAACAAACCATACTTCCTATTGTCAAAATAATAATACTACTACTTCCTTTAACTACACCACATACAATTAAATAACTGCTACATAATTGTCCTGCCATATTATTTCCGTACGACTACCCTATACATTTAGATAACTGTGCTATAACTAAACCACATTCAATTAGTTAATTACAACATGATTATCTAACGATATAAATGCCCTATTTCTAAATTTGGCCTACGTTTTGGGCTTGCTCATGGCATGATCGAAAACTAGGCCAATGTCTTGACTTTGGGCTCTAACAGAATCTGTCTGAAGATGCTTTTCTGAGTTAGCTGCAATATGTTTGCGGGAATTTCTAGTTAGTATATTAATAGTGTGTATTGCTTTCAAATAAGTTGATCATGTTTTCACAGATCCTGTCTTTTTCAATATTCTTTCTAGATTCTAATAAAAATAGGCTTGCAATGGATGTTATTAACCGCTTAATAGCACATTGTTGTTGGCTGAATGTGCACATTGTCCCACCACATGGAGTTGTCTTTGAAATAAGGGTTGCTGATGGATATGGTGCACGCTGGACACAAGATGGAAGTAAGGTGTGTGGACACCCACTAAATTATGGTATTTATATTACTGGTTTATGCATGGTATTCTGTCCTAACTTGTCTCATAATTTGAAGTATGATAATATGTTCAACCTTAAGCATTTTGATGTAACTACTGTTACACTCATCCAATATTCAATGACTGGGAATAAGGTTTCAACCTGGAGAAAAGTTTTGTACTTTTCAACTTGCAGGATTCGTTTTCATCAAACTTACTTCTTTTCAATGTATTTTTTTATTTTTTTTCAGTTTATTGGATTTTTAGAACCCTACATGCTAGATGGTCACTCAAAGGAAGGAAGCACTAGTAATGCTAGCCAGACCACAGCAACTGCACCTTTGTAATTGAACGTCACAACTTTTCCTTTTTTTTATCTTGTGATGGAACTGTGTTATGGTACAGAACTTATTTTATCTCTTGACTATAGCTAACAATCTAGTCTATATCTCAAGAGTAATCTACTGGAGTAGACTTCTGTATATAGATAGATGATGGAGTCAGTATAACTGCTACTTGTTTCATCTTGTACTTTTCAGAAAGAAGTATCCATTTAGCTCGAGTACATCATTAAAAGTTGTTGACATGTTCCATTATGACTCCTTTTAATTGGGTCCGTAAGCTCCTTTTTATCTTTATCCATATGACTTCTAGTAGTTTTGGGTCCTTGACATTGCCATATTGGGGCTTCATGGTCGGTTTTATATCTTGTGTCTTTTATTCCTTTTCTTGTCGGCGTTTACATGAGCACATGTTATGAAACATTTATTTACAACGACGATCATGAAAGCCACCATTCGCTAGGTAGAGGGGGCTAAATAGATAAGTTTTCATTAAGCTCCATTAAAATCCAAGATGTTTACTCCCGCTGTAAAAAGCAGAATATAAGCGGTGTTTGTTTAGTACACAGAACTTTTGATTTCTAATGAAACTATTTTTTCTGGGAATGGGATTCTTTGAATAAGATTTTAGATAAGATTTATAAATTGTATTCAACTTTCTTAAGAAAAATATCTTTACCATTAATTACTTTTGACAAACTTTTAGTAAAGGTGGGAAGATATATTCACTTATTCCTAAATTAGCATTGCCAAGAATTGTTTTTATTTTTAAGTAATATATGAATTGTGCTTCAAAAGAATTGCTGCTAGTTGGTTTGGCAATTACTAAGAGGTATATTCATTTTGAGGTTGAAAGTGATAAATCATTAGTTCAAGCCAATACATCAAGACATATACTTTTCTGTTGGAATGTATTGAAAGTTATGAAACATGTAAATCACACACTAAATGAGAAGACCATGGCCTGTGTTTGAAGCATTGGCACAACACAACAGCTGGAACCTATCAATTTGTGTTGTTCCAAACCTATCACCATCATTACCTTTAACTCTGCCATGGCTCACATTCATTCTATCCTTCCCATTGTCCTGCCCCTCCAGTGAATTACAGTTATACATGAGACACCACTTCTGTTTCCTGTTTATGGTTGTCATACCTACAACTCTGCATAGGGTTGCACGGTTGTTGTAGTACAAGTTGGGAGGTAACTAAGTTGTAGTTGTCTCTCTTTGTTTGCATGCATTTATGTGTATTTGCGTGACTAACAAGCATGCTGGTGTGAGGTTAGATAAACTGTCTCTAGCACTCTATCACCATGCATAGAGACATCTGAATGAGGCATGAAATCGATGTCTTCTATTCTAAAAATATTACACTTTAGTGTCCTACTTGGTCGTGTTTAACTGAAGATTCTAGGAAATAATAAAGAAAGAAACAAAATAAAACAAAGGTATGTGCCTTAATATACAACGTTTAGTGAAATTAGAAAACCTTGGACTTAAGGTAATTATTGTGCAGGAAGAGTCCAGAGGAAAATAAAATTAGATTTGGAGACATCTCATTCTTGAATGTATCAATCAATCTGTGAGGGAAGTTAGTGGAGGCACGTAACGTCAGCCTCCTCAAAGTGCTGCCTCCATCTCCCAATTTTTGAAACAAGTCATGTGACTCCAATTCTCCATCAGCTTATGTAATTATTGCTTGCTAGTAAGAATTTTATATGATATTAAAAGCTTGTTTCGAAGAGTTTTGTATAAATATTTTTAGCAAATAAAAAAAAGTTTTTAAAAATTCTTTATAAGTTAAAATTAGTATGATTTAGGAAACATTTTTGTCATAATTACTCTTCAAAAATATTTCTGTGCATAAGTTCTATTAGGAAATACATGGATCACTGAAAATTAATAGGAGAAAAAAATGATTTTGGGGGGTGACCCAAAAGTATTTATTCATGGAGTAATAAAGGATTAGTTTTTATAATATATACTTAAATTTATTTACTAAATTTACATATATATATATATATATATATATATATATATATATATATATATATATATATATATATATATATAAGAATTTGAATATTGAATCTTTAACATGTTTATAAGATCTTAAAAGAATATGCAGTTAGTTAATGGCAGTTGATGAAATACACTTTGAGAAAAGCTTTCATGTAGATGCATCAATTTTCTTTGTAAAACTTCTATCTGCTTGTTCTGTGCATTGAATTAAAGAACACAGAGTGAGAAAAACAATTTCATGACCCTTTAATTAGCTATTTATTTTGTTATGGCAATAATTAAGTTTAATTAGTCCAACATTCAGTGGTGAATGACGAAATTATATCATCAATATTACGAACAAAATGGTGGAATTTAAAAAGGTTAAGTTGGAAAATCATGTCAAAAAGTAGTCCTTTTTACAAATTTATGACATAACTTTATATCTTGTTGAATGTGGATGAATAAGGCGACACATGTAGTGGACAAGGAAAAGTTGCATAATCATGGACCACCATCAATAGGATCGCCCAAAACCCTTTTTAACAAAGTTAAATAATTATTAAGAAATGGATGACCCTTTTCTCCAATGATTAGATGGTATGCTGGTATAACAAGAGCTTTTCTCAACCTTGTCTTCTTCCCTAATCATTGGTGGGGAATAACTTCCATTTGATACCATTTTACTTTCAGCTATTGTTAAATAATGCAACTTAATGTAAACACGCATGGAGGCTAAAGTTCTTCATTAATTATACAACTTCTGCAAGAACTCTAGTTCCATATTTTATATTTGTACTAGTTTTGCTAATACTAGAATTATCATTTCTCTCCCATAGGATCTCTAAAGTAATGAAATTATATGAGTATTTTTAACTATTTAAGCATCCATTGTTGCAGTCCTTATGCTAATATATTTTTTGAGAAAGTTTAGGGACTATTTAATATGACTTTTATACTTCTTGGACTGCTACTTGAGTAGTTTTTCTTTTCACACTTTATAGGCTATTTAATTAACACTTCAAGAACAGAAGTTAATACTTTCAGATTGAAACTGATGGTTATTCTTCACTGTGATGTTCCAATTACTTTTTCTAAAACAAGTGACCATTTTTTCCTAGAAAAATCGTGCATGTCTCCTAAAGTTTACAGTTCAAGCTTTTGCAAAGTATCTAAGTTCAGTACATAAACAAACAACACATGTCTTCTGGCTTTTGATATTTAGTAAAAGGGTCATATGCAGAAAAATTAGGCAGCAATAAATTTGGTGTTCTAGAGTTGAATTATAACAAGCTCAATTAAGAGGATCAAAAGGTGAAAATAAGAAGCATTTTTCATGGATGAAAAAAATACCTGAAACCATATTTCTTTGACTAATTTTTCTGCATAGAATAATATATTTTGATACATAAGAACTTTACAAGGTGACAGATACCTTCAAGATGCCAATCCAAGCAAGAGGGAGGTCATCATCAGGCATCTATGTCCTTATCATCATCATCTTATGCCATAATTTTGTTAATTAGTAAGCAATTGACAATACATATATATATATATATATATATATATATATATATATATATATATAAGAATATAAATATTAATGTTTGTGGGAAAAAATGAAAAGAAAACATATAATAGCTTTCCTTAAAAATGAAAAGAAATCATAATAGTTTTCCTTAAAAAAGAGAGAAGAAACAACTAATCAGTGGCAGGCATGGAGAATGGATATATTTATGTGATTTAAGATTAACATCGAAGTCAACAAATTTAAAATATCTAACAACATCAGGTACCATTATAAAATGTTATATAGCATTTATCTGTATCCTTTATCATCATCTATTTGTTTGCATTCACTAAAGAAATATGTTGTTTGTTATTTTTCTTTTAGAATGATCTTATTGCCCTATTGAGTGATTCAGGATGCTAATATTTTATATCGGAATTCATGTTCTATCAATGAATTGATGGGTTCCTTGCGTCTGTCAAACTCTTCCTCATCATCTTCATTCCTATATATACATATTAATCATGCAAATTGCTGGTAAATTTGCCATTATTTTAATACATTTTTATTATTATTGACTGAAATTATTTTCTCTCTTTGCTCTATAATAAACCAATCCATGATTCATTTGTTTCAATTTTACAAGCTTCTTTGTTTAATTTTGCTCAATTAAGATATAACATAATTATACTATAATTTTCTCACTTTATATTTATAAAAAAATTATTATACATAAAACAACACAATAAGCCTTTTTAGACGAAAGATTATATAAAGCTTATTTTCAATCAAACTACAAGGCTTAAAATGTTTTAATCCTTATAAAATATTTTGATTACTATTTTGGTTTCTCTACAAAATTTCTTCTCAGTTTGTCTATTTATTAGTTTTATTTATTTATTTGAATTCTTCCCAAGTCATTCATCTCATTATTTTAGCTTGTTTAAGTCTTTTTTTTTTACAAATAATATGATCAAGAAGATATATCATTAATCTTACAAATCATCAATTATTTAAGCAACAATCTTTTTATTAAGCAGGGAAGGTAAATAAAGAGAGAATTATTTACGAAATTCTGTGACCCAATTAGCAGTTACAAGGTCCTTGTACTTGAGAATGTATACTAAGTATACACATATATACAGACGCAAAGTGATTAAAATAGTAGCAACGAAACGATGACAAGTTGTGACAACGACCCTGTATATAATTTCCAAATCACGGTTTTGTGTTGGCCATTTGAGCACAAAAGAGATTGGAATGAACATCTCCTCGACTTGCTTCCATCCTCCTTTTCAGTTCAAAGGGGCTGTCAATAGTCAAAGAAGTTGCAGGACAAGTCCATTGTTGTCCACAACACACATACCTTCCTAGAAAAATTAGAAAAAACACACAGCAATATGCACATAAGTCCTTACACTACTACTCCAAAGAAGCCATCACCATACTCCACCATCCACTCCAATAACCACCGCCATCACCACCACCATAACAACAATATTGTGGATGAAGCTGCAGTGTTAGATAACAACAACATGCATCGCAGCAACCAGAGCCACACGTCCACCAGTCGTTCTTCAGACTCCAGTGAGCCGAGTGAAGATGGGAAATGGGCTCCAAAGCTTCTGAGAGAGTGTGCAAAAGCAATATCAGAGAGAGACTCAACGAAAACACACCATCTTTTGTGGATGCTTAACGAGCTCGCTTCGCCCTATGGTGACTGCGATCAAAAACTCTCTTCATACTTCTTGCAGGCCTTGTTCTGCAGAGCCACTGAGTCCGGTGAGAGATGCTACAAGACACTCTCCTCCGTGGCTGAGAAGAACCACTCGTTCGATTCCGCGAGGAGGTTGATTCTCAAGTTTCAAGAGGTGAGCCCTTGGACCACGTTCGGACATGTGGCCTCCAACGGGGCCATCTTGGAGGCCTTGGAGGGAGAGCCCAAACTCCACATCATCGACCTCAGCAACACGCTTTGCACACAGTGGCCTACTTTGTTGGAAGCTTTGGCCACGCGAAACGACGAAACGCCACACCTCAAACTCACAGTGGTGGCGCTTGCGGGGTCGCTGATGAAGGAGGTTGGTCAACGGATGGAGAAGTTCGCAAGGCTCATGGGCGTGCCCTTTGAATTCAACGTGATCAGTGGCTTCAGGGAGCTCACAAAAGAAGGTTTAGGGGTTCAGGAAGATGAAGCTATCGCCGTGAATTGCGTTGGGGCATTGAGAAGAGTGGAGGTTGAAGAGAGGGAAAACTTGATTCGCGTGTTCAAGTCTCTTGGTCCTAAAGTGGTGACCGTTGTTGAGGAAGAAGCTGACTTTTGCAACTCGAGGGAGGATTTTGTGAATTGCTTCGAGGAGTGTCTCAAGTTCTACACTCTCTACTTCGAGATGCTGGAAGAGAGTTTTCCCCCGACGAGTAACGAGAGGTTGATGCTGGAGAGGGAGTGTTCGAGGAGCATAGTCAGGGTTTTGGCATGCTGTGGTGGTGGTGGTGAGGAATTAGAAGATGATGAGTTTGACAGTTGTGAGAGGAGGGAGAGAGGCACACAGTGGTGTGAGAGGCTGAGGAATGTGTTTTCGCCGGTTGGATTCAGCGATGATGTGGTGGATGATGTGAAAGCATTGCTTAAGAGGTACCAACCAGGGTGGTCACTTGTGGTGTCTCAAGGTGATGAACATCTCTCAGGCATTTACTTGACATGGAAGGAGGAACCAGTGGTTTGGGCTTCAGCATGGAAACCCTAGAATGTTACACTTGCTACTACTTACTGAAATGTACTTGAATTGAATGAATGAATAATGAATGAACATGTATGTATCTGTATCATTGTATCTATGATTATTATATATATATATATATGCATACATGTAGCTGGCTATATATAGCTAGCTAAAAGCTTATTAAAACCAAGGGATTGAAGAGAGGTACACTGGAAATTAAGGTGCATGGTTCTGAGGATATATAGCAATACCAAGTAGTAATGAGATGGAGCTATAGCAACGGATTTTTCTTTCAACTTTGTCTTGTGATTCTTTGCATACTTTGTAATCTTTCTCCTGTCCAACTCTCCTTTAAGGGCAAGCTTTATGCTTGGGAGTTTGTGTTGTTAAACTTTTACACTTTTTTCTTGTAATGAACTTCAATTCATTGCTTCCTTTGCTCTTGTTTGAAGGTGTTTGCCCTTGTTCTCTTTTTATGAATTCCATGCCTACCTCTCTTCTCCTTTTTCTACATGCATTTTTTGCTCACCTTCTTTTCTTTCACTGCTTTGGTACACCATGTCAGATTTCAAGCCCCTCACATATCTCAATAATGTTCTGTTCAAATTATTTTATCCATATATATATATATATATATACACACACATTCAAGATACTCATATAAAGAATGTTTGGTTGGTGATGGGTTTATATTTTGTACATTATCTAAGAAATTTTGTCCATGGAAGTTCATGGTTGATCATATATATGTACAATGATACCAATGGTAAATCCATACATAACTCACCAATTCTTGAGTTCGACACTATCACATATTTTTCCTATTTATAGAGTGGATTTGCACAATTATATATTCATTAATGCTTTAGATGCTAATTAATTTGATATTGTCTATCATATATAACTTTTATCTAACAAAAGTTAACCATTCATATATTATTCTAATACAAATACATCACATTCAGTAATAATCAATTCATCAACATGTCAAGTAGAAACAGCTTCACAAAATACTCCACACAATTACATTCTTCAAAACCCAAATTAGTATGCTACTATAGTTATTATTATTATTGTTTACAATTAGAATTATAATTTTATATTAGTAATTAATGTTGATATTATTAATTATATTAATATTAATTAGTAAGATAAAACTACAATTCTAATTAAAAAATATCAAAAAGTATTTTAAAATATGACATATATACATTCTAAAATAGTACCTTGTATCTCCATTTTTTTCAAAGGAATTACCATAAATTTTCTCTATTTTGTTAATTTAGTTTCCCAAGAATAACTTTGTGGTTAACATAATTGCAACTAAATATTTAGGGAATTAAAAAAAAAAATATATATATATATATATATATATATAATCAAACAATCCCAACATGTATACATAATTAATATGTCTGGTTTCAATTTTTGAAATAAATAATAAAATAATTTTACACACTTACATTGTTTGTTATATTTTAATTATACATCACTATCACCCCATTCTAAATTAGTTTCAATTCCACACAATTAATTTATAGATTTTATTTAATATTTTATAAATTTTCTTCTCTTTCTATATATATATATATATATATATATATATATATATATATATTCCTACTGTTAATGTTTCAGATTAATTAAGAATACAGCAAGAGTACTTGTTCTAATCACAATTTGAACTAGTTTTCTAGGGTGAGAATTGAATCAATTGGTTTATAATGACATTAAAATCTATCAGTGATTTAATATTCAGGCACCTGCATATACTTAAGGAACAGTTAATACCAAGTGAGAAAACAAGAGTTTGTAATGAGTATCTTACACATGAATATATCTGAATTAAAATGTTGAAGGACTCTACTCTACCCTTCTTCAGGCTTTCACTTTAAGCAACTTGCTGAAAAGAGAGAAATGGATGAGTTAAGTGGGAAACATGGAATCGTACATGTGCCATAATTTTCAAAAGTTATGATGCATGAGCCTCTACACTTTCTTCTTTTTCTACATGGGCCACTCTCATGCACAGTCTTCCATCCCTTATATACCTAAATGGAGTTGCTTTGATTTGCATCTACCTCCAATTATGAGTAAACACTATACATTTTAAGCATCAACTCCACCATTCTTTCAAGCACAACTCTTCATTCATAATTACTGGTTTATAGGGAGAAAAAATGTGTTTCGGTTTTGATTTCTATGCTTTGAAAGTGATAAACGAAAGTGTTTTAGAATTGGGAGGTAGAATGAAAAAGAAGAAGAGAGGGGCCCCATGAGAGAGCTACCTACTGAATGGTATGTGTGGTTTTTGGTGCAGTGATTTGATTTGAATAGCATATTTGCTTTAATCACTCACCTCTTCCCATCCCTGCTTTTTAGTTTCTATAGCCCAACATTACATAGTGGCAAGCAACTTTTTGGATTCAGATTGGACTTGTTGGTACTATCAGTACTCTTTTATACGTTACTTGCTTATCACACCCTCACAATAACCTACATTCTTGGTTTCTCTCTCTCGTACGCATGCATATATACATGCACAAGAATGCAAAGCCTGCATAAATACACTACATGCATGACAACCAACATAATGTTTTTCCATTTTTCTCATCACTTTCCAACACTGCTTATAACCATCGTTTATATATTCCTTGCTTCGTCAAATAAAATGGTCCTTTACAAAAACACTTCCATGCACTATACAAACAGTATCTCAAGAACAACAACATCAGAGGAATATGTACATGCTCTTATTCCCTTTTCCAAAAGTCGATTACTACAAGTGAAGTCACTTTTTGTTAATTGAAAGTAGAGGGAGAAGAAACTCAACCCAATATATCTGCAGCCAAATTTTACGGTCTACTTTTCTCTAACAACTCAAGCTACACTTTTTGGTTAAAAATGTGTTTGGTTTAGGGGTTTTGTTGAAGAGAAGTTATTATATTTTTGACAACTTTCATCAAACACATGGTGTCAAAATATCATTTCTGTTTGTTGAAACCCTAGAAACATTAGTTAAGACAGTTTAAAGAAAATTAGAATATTCCATATCAGTTTTAAAATTAATATTCTAGCTTTACACTATATATAAAATTATTAATATAAATATTTTGTAGCTATAACTTGTTCTATAATGTTTAATTTTCAATGATTAATCATTAGTTATAACATTAAGGATGTGAGATAAGCTTTACAATTTGTATTTAAAAAAACAAACTATTTTGGTTGGAACAAATGGTATCGATATTATCAATTGTATTTTTTTAAGTAATTAATCAACAATCCCATTTATTTTATTTTTTTTAATTGGTAAGTCACTTTCATAGTGCAACCTCATAAAAAAACATCATTAAACATTTGAGACATGAGGATACTATATTATATAAAAAAATTTATTAAACATAATGTTCATGACGGAGAAAATAATTATAAACTAATTACATTCAATGGTTTTATTTTTATACATATTATAAATAATTATTTGGGCCATAATTCTGAATCCATTAACAATAGTCCCGAAAGCCATCCGGGCTAGAGCAGGACGAGTTATACGAGCCCATATGTTTGTGGGCTGAACCCTGATTAAGAGAGGCCCATTTCAGTTAAGGATACGAGTGTCATTTGGTCAATACTTCTGGCGGAAATAGGTAAGAGAAATTTTTAACCAAGGGTTTGGTTTATAAACCCTAACAAGGTGGATTTTGAATCTCTAGCGCGAGAGCATCGTAGTTGACGTGCCAAGATCGAGCCTTCGAGGAGGGAATCGCAGCGAATTTCACTATGGTATTCTTTTTCAATTACGATTACCTTCGATATTTTGTGTAGCATTTTGCAGTATCCTCTCTCTGATGATTCGCATTTTACAAAGTAAAAACAAAGGCTTTTGCATTCCCCTTTTTCAATTTATTAGGAACAACCAGCTAACTCCCAACGTGGATTTAGTATAGTACAATCTTTAGTATAAGTACAATTGTGATTATGAAACTGAAACAAAATTTTGATTGGTACAGTGTGACCCATTTTGCTTGTGTAATTCTTTCGGCGGGAGACATTAGAATCATTAGATACCATTTAATTTGTGAATTGCTTGATTAGGATTCCATATCCATGGTAAGTAGTGGTACATCTCAAAAGCTTTAGCCTTTAACCGAGTAAAATAACTTGTTATTGTTTTATTTAGATTGTGAATTCTTGTAGTATTGTGATTTTACCATCATTGTTCGGATCGTGCCCCTATGGTTTTCTATTTTCTTTTGGTAGTTGATACTGACGTGTGGTGTGTGGTGTTTTGTGTAGCCGAAGCAGATTCATGAGATTAAAGACTTCCTCCTCACTGCGAGGAGGAAGGATGCACGTTCTGTGAAAATCAAGAGGAGCAAAGATGTGGTGAAGTTCAAGGTTCGTTGCTCCAAGTACCTGTACACCCTCTGTGTGTTTGACTCTGAGAAGGCTGATAAGTTGAAACAATCACTTCCTCCAGGTTTGTTACTCAACCATTTCTGCTGATATGTTTGATGCTTTTATAGTGCTATGTGTTAATATGTGAATATGCAAACTTTAGGTAGGCGAATTGGGTAAATGGTGTATGTCTGTTTTTGCCTTTAGTAGTAATTGGGTAAAATTGTACCATGGCCAAGAAAATTAAACACTTTACATTGCATGTCGCAACTGGGTCTTCTTTCTTTCTTAATTTTTGATGAAGTGCGTTGTTGAGGAAGTTTAACTGAGGATTCTATGTCATCATCTTACATGTATATGATTTACCTTTGCAGGTTTAAGTGTGCAGGATGTATGATTCCGAGTGGTGTTGATGAAGATCAGGTTTTGCATTGGATTTTGGGGATTCATATTTAGTAAAACTGCTGATATTTTTCTTTTTGTTGGTTTCTTTTTAGATCATGTTAGTATTATGTTTAAGGCGGATCCAACTTCTTTCTGGATTATGTGGCTAGTTGGTTACACTTCCTTAATTTGACGTCAAAACGTTTTGAATCCTTGTCTACAGAACTATAGACCACAAAAAAAACAGAGATGATATTTTGAAATGGTAAAGGACAAAATTATTCATCCACTTTTATGTTTTTATATTATTATTTATTTATCTTATTTTATTTTCTCTTCATGGATAAAAAAATATATTTTAAAGTTATAAATGTTGGTTGTCAAAAAAGGAAAAATCATATTTTGAAGATTTAGAACTATTCTTCCAAGAGTAGTGATATTTTGACAACTAGAAACTATACAACCCTTCAAACAACTCACTTTTATTAATATAATAATCTATAGACTGATTTAATAAAAATAAAAATAAAGTAAAATTATTATTATAATATTAAAACAGAGTTGTTTACAGGTTGTATGAATTTGGATTATCATTTTCCCTCTTCCAATTGCCAACTTGTCATCTCGTTTGTAAAAGTTGTCAAAATCACGTTTCAAATAGATGTTTTTAAACAACGATCATCAGAGTCAAATTTACTTTTTTCCAGAATTAAGGTTAACGAAATTAATAATTTCAACAAAATTGGGGTTATGATTATTTTCTTCCAAAACAAGTTTAGAAATAAAATTGTAATTACAGAAAATTAAGTCGTTTATATTGAAATTGAAATAGTTTGAGAAACAACGCGGAATAAACTGAAAACAAAATAATTGTTGTAATTGTTTATATTTGTACAACTAACCTTGGGCTTTTGTTGCACACGTCAATGTGGGGCTATGACGGTGTTCTTTTGGAGTAGATTATATCAATTATGTGTTTTGTAGATTTATGGAGGTTGTGTTCTGTACACGCCAACGATAGACAATGCAAAATCATTGGAATGAGTTTTTAAATCAATCAATTGTATAGTTCCTGAAATAACAATCAATCTGCCTCCCTCTGTTTCTGTCATTGATTGCTTTGAATTTAGGATTTTACTATTTAAATTAATTTTTTCCCTACCAGCCATGATTTTCATACATTACAGTTTTCGTGTTGTATGAAAGTTTTTATTTTTATTCTGGGTTGAAGCATTAACTGTATGTTGATTATTGGGTGTTTCTTGACCATTCAACTTTCCACTTTTGTATTAATAATCAGAGTAAAGGTTTTTCCACCCCATGTGCTTTATGCCACTTTAAACAATTCAACATTTAAAGTATCTTCATGCTCCAGACTCAGTCAATAACGAAAAATAAATTCAGCACATGAATTTAACAAGTAGGAAATGGTAAAAGTAGAGGACCACACTCCAAAAAATATTTATTGTATTCATTTATAGTGAAAAAATTTATTGTATTCATTTATAGTGAATTCCGTGAGAAACAAAAATCTGCATGATGTTCTAAACAACAGGTTACAAATTGGGTATGGGATGAGTAGGGAAAGTGTGCTATTTTGGAGATTCCAGATAAACTCCTGCATGACAATGCTCATAGTAAATGCCATACCCTTTATCCAAATCCACTTTTTTTTTTTCCTTAAAAAATTACTCGAAACACAAATTAAAACAGTTTTATATAAATTAGAGTTCCCACATGGACAATAAATCAACTTTATCATTTTTTATACTGATCAATTTATCTATTTTAAGACCAGATCAACTGATTTTACATAGTCTTTTCTTTCTGACATTGATTTTAAGAAACTAAATAAATATAATTGTGATATACTTATTTATTACATTATTATTCACTCCAATTCAAACACTTTCAATGTGAGTCCATGGGTCTAGACTTGTTCACATTGAACCGAAGTAAACTACTATTCAAACACACACCTTCAATAAAATTTAGTGAAAAAATTTTAGATGTGAACGACAATTTTCTAACCTGTGAGACTTTGATGCATACAGCAAAATGCACCGATTTTATGGATCAAACCCACACTACACAGGACCACACAATTGAAAGAAATCACACCCTACCCATTCATCCTTAGATACCAACTCCCCAACATTTTTATCCGACTTTTTTTATTTGTCTCTTATAACGCTGAATCCTTGATAGATTACCTTCCTAACCAGATTTGTAATACATTCAGTATTTTATATAATCAGAATACAATAATGATATCTATTTATTTTTCATATCATAACCATTAAAAAATTTAATTACTTACTGATTTTTTTCAATATACTTAAGGAAAACCCCCCAACAAATCTTTTATAAATATATTATATAAAATCCTCCAACATCATTTTCAAATATTAAGATAATAATTTGTAAGTATTATTTTTATAGTATAGGATTTTTACTTGTATTTTGTTTGTTCGTGTCTTTCATTATTCATTAACTAAATCAATAGTGTTTAAAAATAATAGTTATTGGTGTAAGTGAGACATTGTTGATATATGATGACAAATTATTGGTAAAGATAATGATGTGGTGTAAGAGTAAGAGTGAAGTGATAATGTTCTTTCTTGTGTTCTACCAAAAGCAATCAATTAAAAAAATATTAAACTTAATATTTCATGTATATTAATAAAACTAATAATATCATGATTTAGTTGTTTTAATGGGGTGAATCAAGTTCACATCCACTCATACCATTTTTTTCTAATTTGTATTTCTTCTCTTTTTGGCTACTATGCTTTATATTTCACTAATTTTCTTTTGTAAAGTCCCTTAATCTTTTAGATTATGACAACTTCTTCTTCAAAAAGTATAGCAATTGAAGTAGATCTTAAGCAAGGATCATTAACAACACAAATAATCATAACCTTTTTCATAGTTTGTTATAAGAAATGGTGATCTCATAAAATAAAAAAATAAGATTAATTAATATAGACTGCAAAGAAAAATAAAATTGAGTATCCGTAATTAACTTTCAGTTTGCTAATTTACACAAAAAATAATTAAAATAGTAAACTAACGAAGAAGTTTACGTTACAATGTATGAAAATGAATTACGAATTTCAATGAAAAACTAAAATTAAAAATTAATGTTATACGTTGAAATACAAAAGTCTTCTGGTTTATTTTATAATAATTAAAATACACTCTTTTGACTTTAATAAATAAATCACCCGCAGTTCAAATAATCCCTGACAAATTTATTATTGTTATTTTTGTCTACAATAAAAAATTCATTAACTTAATATTTTTTAATACAGAATTTATTAAAAAAATAGTGTTATTCTCCTTAATTATTAATTAATTGCTGAATTATTGTTAACTATGTAATATAATGTCATTCACATGTTGTCAGAGGATAAATATCATTTTTTTCTCAATAATGTGCAAATACATGCATGTATGATAATACAAGAAATGTATAAATATAATATAAAAATATAATAATATGAAAAGGTATAAAAGATATTTTCATTTTATTATAAATTCATTATTGCTTATTTATTATGTACCCCTTTAATTATTTATTTAAAAGTGTTTTGTTTTAATTTAGGTAATATACTAATTATTCTATTATAAATTATACATTTGCAATTAAAAAAGTCCATCCAATCCTTATTAATTTACTAATTAATTATACAAATAAAATATAATTAAATTCCACAATAAAACAGCTTATTCCATCCAAATTTGTCAATTTTTTTAAATATTTATTAAGATAATTAAAATTCCAAAATTATACATTTGCGTCATGACAACCTGAAAAGAAACGTAAAAACAATTTAATTTTTAGAGAAAAATCTTAAAATATTATTTTCTTTTTTTTATTATTATTATTATTATTTTCTGACACAGTGACTCAACTCGATGACGACATTCCCAATCCGACGCCACCAATCACCAAACAAATTTATTATCCATAAAATAAATAAAAAAATTGGTTTCACATGTTATTGTTTTTACTAAATTAATATTGAATTTAAATCAAATTATTAAAATAAAAATAAAATATATTAAAATAATTTTTTTAGTTTGAAATTGTTTTAGAAAGTTCAAAAATAATATGTTTCATATTTTAAATATTAATTAACCACAACACAAAATACAAGCTTTAAGGTATTCAACTTCCCTTGTGTTACACGTGCCTCATATTTTGGATATGAATTTTTAAATATTATTCAAAACGTACGCTAATACGGCAAGTGAGACCCCTTAAATTTTATATTAAAAAGTCAAGAATTCTTTTTTTATATAAAAATAAGAAAAATTATGAATTTCTCTTAATTTTATAATATTGAATACATTTGAATGAATAAAAAATGGTTAATATACGAGTTGGTAATAGTGTGTTTGTATTAATATAGTTCTGTGACCCGTATAATGTTGGTAGCCGACAACCCATTTACCTTGGTCCTAACAGTAATGCTACCTCCCACATGCACCCATTTACCTATGCAGACTTCAACCTTGATAATCCCACAATGATAAGAAGAAAAAACCAAACCAAACTATTCACGATCTCCCATTTTTTTCAGAGAATTAGAAAAAAAAGACATGATGGTAGAAGAAAATAGAATCAGAAATTTAGCCCTAGCTAGATAGGAAGAAAGCACAGTACCCTTTTGTCCCTGATAGAATTGGTTAGAAGGTTTGGATTGAGTGGGTTGGCTACAGCTCCACCACAATGGTGTCTATGAAGTAGAATCTCTTCAATTCAATTCAATCCAACCAAAAACAAAGCAAAAGAGTGGGTCAGGTGAAGAGCGTATTGTGTGAGTTGAAGAGCATGTGTTTGGAGATGTGTTTGTCAGACACTGACAACTCTTTGCGTATCAATCATGCAATGCAATAACCCTGCCGCCAATTATACCTCTTCTCTTCACTCTTCTTTCTCTCAACTTTTCACATCTTTTTTCTTTTTTCTTCTTCTAAAACTATTCATTTCAGTTTCACTTTCATACCCTCTTAGTTTTATTTTCTTCTTCCAAAGAGAACCCGTACCATCCCCCAAATAATTTATGGGATTTTCACCGAATATTTGGTGCAGGTTGTTTGCTATGTTATGTAACTTTATGTACACCAAGCTGTAGCTGTAGAGTACAACAACCAAATTCCATCCGTTTATTTTATATTATTTTTTTTGCTTTTGGTTATTCGATATTAATTATGTTCCTGTTTAGTGAATACTGTCTCATTCGTTGGTTTTTGTTCTAAAATTTGCTACCTAAACTGGTCTATCCAAATCCGATTTTTTTCTTAATCTGAAAACTCTCTATCCTTTTTGGTTAACCTATGAATTAGGCTATATTTGTTAAAAGAAAATTAATTCCCCGAGTTATAGTTTGTAGTTTTGCGCCTTAGTTTGTTTGAATCGAGAAAAAGAAGAGGGTTTTGTTCTCTGTTGGGGATGCATATTGAGGGTGGTGGAAGAAACAATGGCAAATCTGGTTCCGGGTGTGCTTCTGAAGCTTCTGCAGCACATGAACACGGATGTGAAGGTTGGTGGTGAGCACAGGTCTTCGCTGTTGCAGGTTGTGAGCATTGTTCCGGCACTTGCAGGGGGTGAACTTTTCCCAAATCAAGGTTTTTACCTCAAAGTCTCTGATTCATCTCATGCCACTTATGTTTCTCTCCCTGATGAGCATGATGATCTCATTCTCAGTGATAAGATTCAGTTGGGTCAGTTTGTGTTTGTTGATCGTTTGGAGGGTGCTTCTCCTGTCCCCATTCTGAAAGGGGTTAGGCCTGTTCCTGGGAGACACCCTTGTGTTGGAACCCCTGAGGATATTGTTGCAACTCATTCCCTTGCTTTCCTTGACAATAATAAGGTCAAGAATGGGATTTCTTCTGGCGGTGCTGACATGGATAGATCGAAGTCTCCGAGGAAAGTGTATAGTGTTGGGGTTGGAGAGAAGGAGAAGAAAGAGAGGGTGAGATCAAATGTTGGTTGTGGGAGTGGTAAGGAGGAAGTACAATCCAGCAAGAGTGGTGCTCTTTTGGGTAGGGGCAAATCTCAGTCTCAGTCCCAGCCTCAGCTATTCAAGCCTTCACTCAAGATTGAGGTGAAGAAGGAGTCCTTGACTAGATTGAGGCCTACCAATAGCCGCTCCATTCCTTCGTCCCCAAGTAGTTGCTACTCGTTGCCGACCTCGTTTGAGAAATTTGCCAATGGGGTCAGGCAACACCAGGCTAAGGTTGGGACTAAAGTGGGAGTGGTGGAGACGGGAAAGGTGGTTCGTGGGGTTAGTAGTCCCGCTGGGAAGAAAATTGTGAATCCGATCAGAGATTTGGTGCAGGGAATTGAGCTGGGGACCAAGGCTCTGCGTAAGAGCTGGGAAGGGAGTATGGAGGTCAAGACTAGAGAGTCTTCTAAAGCCAGGGTTGCAACCAAGTTTGATCCTAAGCTTGAACCCAGTGTGAGTTACCATTTCTCCTTTTCAGAAACTCTTAATGTCCAATCCCAAGGCTTGTTAGATTTTTTGTCTTTTTCTATTGTTTTCCTTTCAAAATTTTATTCTGAATAATCTGCTATTAAGTTTAGTCGGTGTCAGTCTGAGAGACTTGGATTTCATTACCTCCACGTATTGAGTCAATTAAGCAATTAGATATATATTTTCCCTTCATTTTATGTTCTACCAGACTCCTAGGAGAAGATCAAACATTTCAGGCGAAAAAATACCACCATCTAAAGAGGAGGGGAAGATCCAAGCACCAACAAAGCCCTCTAAGGAACAACACAAGACTCAAACGTCCACAAAGAAGGCTAATGTTAATGGAACTTCAGCAGAACCAGAAAAGTCGAGCAAACTAAGAACTTCCATTGGGAAGAAAGCAGTAGAAGTTTCTAACTGCGGACTCCCTGGAAATTTGGTCAAAATTTCACTAAGTAATAGAAAAGTGACAGATGCAACTGTTCAATGGGCTTCACTCCCATCATCTATTTCAAAGCTTGGAAGGGTATATCCATTAAGAGATCTTTTTACTTTCACATTTTATTTCTTTGGTTATTGGCTGTCAAAGCATATATTGTCGTCTGACAATTGCATTAGAAAAGAGAAAGGAAGGCGAATGTTTTTTTGAAAAAATTGTCTCTAGATATATAAAACAACTCAAATAAGTATAATTTATACTTTATAATAAATATGATGCTGGTATTAAGTTGGATCATGTGATTGTTCCAAACATATATCCTTACTCACAGGATACATTATTCAGAATATTATGCTTCATCTTCTGCTCAGACGAGAAATTCTTTCACCATATTGCTTATTTTTTTATGAACTGATATGCAAAAGCATCACTAACCATATTGTTTCATTCTTATTCTATGTTCACATTTGTGACAGGAAGTAATGAAGCAGAGAGATGCAGCACAGATAGCAGCAACTGAGGCTATGCAAGAGGCTGCTGCTGCAGAGAGTTTACTGCAGTGCCTAAGGTATGAATATATTCAAATCAGTAGATTAACTTCAGTGAATTAAGTACGGATAATCCTTCTGGACTGCTGAAAATATTTAGATCAGGTCTTGGTGTGACTCAATGTGGTCAAGATTGTGAACTGTGCACACTGGAGATTACAACCTAGATATATTACTGATATCTGTACTTCTGATTAATTCTTCATATATATATATATATATATATATATATATATATATATATATATATCTGTGTGTGTGTTGTTTCACTCCTTGGGTAACCCTTAACATGCGAACAGTTGTATATACTGCCATTAAAACTCCTGCTATTGTATTTGTTCAATTTATCAACCCAGAGCTGATCAAATGTATCCTTACATTTGAATTCATATACCTAGAATGATATAGCACTTTATTCATTATTCTCAAGTACAAGTAATCATACTAACTAGGCTTGGAATAGCACCTACCTGACAAATCCTGGACCTTTGTCCTTCTATTAGAACCTTCAATCCACATATGTTCCAACAGCCAGCGTAAGCCTATTTATTGTGATCAAGTACCTGTTAAAGTAATTGGTAGAGTCATGATACAAAAAGAGATGGGTCTGGGCCCATATATTTAGCTATTTCTAACAGTATCCATGCTTTATGGCATTCCCACAAGACTGCAACCACATGCTACATAAATTGGAACTTATTTTTCCTTATTGAAAAAGTGTACATCATTTAAGTATCCAACTGGACCTTTACATGATCTCCCCTACATTGTCTATCTTTTTCATTCCTAGTGTTCATTTTAGCTCTACATGACCCATGGGTAGTGGTTTATGGGTTATTCTGTTTGCATACCTGTAGTTTCTCCATTACAGATTTTCATTTAATGGAAAAATTCAAGACGTGGGTAAATGAAATGAGTAATTTGAACTGACTTGTAGAAAGGAGAAACCACATGTGGAGAATGTGAGATGTTTAAAATCCAAGTTAGGCAAACCTAAACTCCTCACATCCAAGTTATTTGTAATTTTCCCTTTAACAATTATGTATAATCAAGAGATTTCTTGGACACTTGTTGGAAATATATGGACAAAAAGGAAAAAAAGTATGTACGAATCTATTCATATCAAATACTATCAGAATTGGTTTCTTGCTTGATTTAAGGGATAAATTTGATAGACATATGATGTATATATTTCACATTTTTAAAGATGATTTTGTTATTTAATCCATGGTAAGATGCTGAATATACGGAGGAGTTCAGGTTTATCCATAGATATATTTAATCCATTTGATGGACTACTATGTTGAAATGTTCTAATTCCGTGCTACATTCCAAGATGTTGCTGACTTTTGTTTGTGATGTTTCTTGCAGAACATATTCCGAGCTAACTAATTCTGCTAAGGAACATAACCCACAGCCAGCAGTAGATCAGTTTTTAACTCTTCATGCTAGCTTGAATAGTACACGGACAATTGCCGAATCCTTAACAAAACCCATTCCAGATTGTTCATCTCCTGATTATGAAAAGGGTACAGCGGAAGAAGCAGTAAGAGTAAAATCAGATAGACAAAAACAAGCGGCTTCTTGGGTCCAGGCAGCCTTGGCCACCAATCTGTCATCCTTTGCTGTTTTTACTAGAGAATCTCAAACATCCAGGCCTCCAGCATCAAGCAACTCTCAAAATCAAAAGACTGGCGTGGGAAATCAACCCATGTTAGTTCTACACAACTCCAGTGAAGATGCTTCATCAAAAGTTCATGCAAAGACTCGTCAGACAGCTAATTCCAAACATGCCTCACAAGGAACTCTTCGCAAACCAGGTGATGGTTTATTAAATGGGCAGAAGCAGCTAGTCCAACCACCCCCTGAATGGGTTAGAGGAAATGGCCTCAATGAGGTAGTTAATTTGATTGAAATGTTGCAGTTACAATCCCGATACTGGTTTTTGGGATTTGTTGAGAGGTTCTTGGACAGTGATGGGGACGCTAGCTTGTCAGATAATGACCAAATAGCAGGTATGCTCACTCAACTAAAGAGTGTTAATGATTGGTTAGATGAGATAGTTTCGAGCAACGACGAGGGAGAATCATGCCAGATATCATCAGAGGCAATTGACCGGTTGAGGAAGAAGATATATGAATATCTTCTAACACATGTTGAGTCTGCTGCTGCTGCACTCAGTGGTGGATCACAATCATCACCTCAGATCCAAACAACACAGATTAAGGCCAAAAGGTGAATGAGTATATAGCTTAGCTTAACTATGCAGGAGTAGTAGGGATGAATGGGTCTAAACTTGGTCACTAAAGGTTGTCCAAGGTCCCCTTCAAATTTCACTTATTTTTTGGCCCGTTTTTCGTCTGTTTGTACATAAATCCTACATGGGGTTTGAGGTATAGATGGAATCTAATTTTTACTAGGGGAGATAGCAATCATGACTTGTGAGGATATTTTCTTTCATTTTTCTAAATATTGTTCAGGTGAAATTACACAAATTGAAACAATGGAAGTATAAACAGACATGATATTTTCTAATGCCCTTCCTGAGTTCTTGAGTAGTTTCCCAAATCACGTATTGGTGTCAAATCAGTTTCCCAAACCATGAATCATATCCAACCATGCATGACATTCTCATGAAGCGAATATTGCATAGCAAAGCTATTAACTAGTTTATGAATGTTAACAAGGGGAATGTAGAATTGTTATTTATGCAGTGAGTGTGAATAAGGTACTAATTATGCAGACTTTTTTCTTTTCTTAATATATATTTGTGTATCATCACCATTCACACCAATACTTAGTAATTAATATCTTGAAGAATATCAGTCAAGCTATGATAATTATTATTTTATAATCAAATGAATAAATGTCGATTAAGAATTTTATTAGTGAAATAGCCACGCCGGGATAAAAGGTCAATGGCCACAAGTTATCAAAAAGCATGTCACTTGTACTCTTTTTTAGTATCAATCACATGCAACGTCTTAATGGTAGGCTGCATCATGACAAATGAAAATCTCCCATCTAGTTATATCTGCTCACTTGCGAAATTTTCTCTTTGAACAGGGTCAAATGTATATATAGGTTTGACATTAGGTGACATTTAAACGTGTAGTGCAGGACAAAATCATGCATAATTTTGTAAAATAAACTTCGGTTATATGATTTGGAGAAGGTCAAAGGATTTAAGGTGATAAGAATGCGTGCATCAGAATTTTTTTGTAAGAGAATAAGAACATGGAAACTGAAACTTTCTCCGAAACAACGATAGAGTCAGCCTGTTCAAATGGGGGAGAAGAGTTGATTTTGACTTCTATATACACAATAATAATATCTTCTTTTAGTTGTTTATCCTTAACTGGAATATTATTTCTGCATTTGTCTAAAAAAATTGAAAATGGTATTATTAAAGCCTAACTTACGAGGTGGAAAAAATGGGTAAAAAGAAAAGAAAAATCGTGAGATGGTTAAATAATGGTAAAATGATGGTCCAAAGCTTAGTACACCCAGCTATGGTGGGCTAAGGGTGCAGGCAGCCTGCTATCCCTCCACTGCTGAGAGCCGAAGGTTGTCGCTGCTCTGTGAAGCCAGCCTCACGCTTTGCCCTTAAGTCTAGGAGCAAGGAGTCCAAAGCCTACGCTAAAGGCCCATTGCTCAACTCTCAGCTTGGAGTGGGCAGTCCACACAAAGTGACCAGCAGCCCAACTGAGCGTTAGACCAAACATTGTCCCACCATCCTACTGCCCTTACTTAAGTTACAAGCTGGAGTTACCCAGCTCGGCATGCCAGGCTGTCAGAAAAGGGTTTATAACAAATGATTTACATAAGACACTAGTCAGTGTGGGACTTATTCCTTCAAAATAGTGATACAATCGTGAAAACAAAATTTCCAAACTCGCTTTACTTGTAAGCACAGAAATATCAAATTCAATTACAAACCATCGATTATTTCACGAACAAACTACATAGTGTGGATACTTCCCTCCTCTGCACGAACAATTTATCACGAGGTTTTGGATTATCATGCTTTTCCAGTCGTTGATTTGGAGACAAATAATTCCAATCTTCTCCAACTAGATGTATTGGATACAACCCTATCCTTTTACAATACAACTCAAAACCGGGATGTGATTCAATTCAAGTTGACATTCCTGATTCACAAGTAATTCAGGTGAAGGCTGGTTCATTTCTTAACAATATTTTAATTTGTGATAACCGAAACCCAGTACTCAATGTGAAAGCATTCATGGCTAAAGGCTAGTAACATGGAGATGAGAATTAGCAATTCTAGCAAGGGCAGTGTATATTCAATTTTCAATCATTACTTTACTGATTCTTTAGTTATGATTGGTTGAGTAATTTCAGATTGACAAATCATCTTTTGGCATCCTTTTGTTCCTTCACAGCCCTTCTCTTTCTTTTTCTACTTCTTCAAAAGCTTCTTCTTCCTTTGCAGAATAAAAAATATGTGATTGACCAAAGCCTAATTGCTTCAGCACTGACTTAATCTGACACTTACTAAATAGCTCAACATGACATTATTTTCACACTTTGAATGGGGAAGATGGAAGTAACAATCCAATAGCAGTATTTCTTCCTTTGGAAAATATGTGATTGACCAAAACCTAACTATATTAATGAGACTTCATAAGTGGCTGTGATGCACAACACAACCACATGGCGCACCAAAGAAAGAGGACCTTTGACAAGAAGATCAATTATAGAGTCTGGTTTCAGTGACTTCTATAATTGGTAAATATGCAGAGTACAAGTAACACAATAAACACCATGTGTTATAAACGAGTTGCTTAAAAATCAGCAATGTTTTCTGATATCATATGTATTTGCTGCATAGAAAGTGCCTAAAACTGTCAATTTTTAGTTCTTCCTAGCTCCAATATGCATTCCTTGGTCATACAGAATGAACATTGACATGTGCACTATGATTGTGGCAAGTTGTCTGGTGCATAATGGAAGCAAGCAAATCTTTGTTTCCATCTTTCATTGCGTTGTGCATCGTAGGACCCAAGCTGCAATTGCACATTCGTGCCTAACTGGCAACTGTAGTGGATGTTGACATTAACCATAAAGTTGAGTAGAATCATCTCATTTCTTTTGGATCACAGCTGCAACTTCACTGGAGGATCGAATTAAACTCTCCCTTACATCAGATAGTTCCAATTTACTTCTGTTATGATCATAAACAGTCTTTAATTTGGGATACCTTTTTCTGATTTGACACTTTCTCGTTTTCATTCACTCCTCCATTCTCGATCCACCTCCGGGAAAAAAAACATGAAATGTAACAATCCACCACCACCTTTAGTGTTGCTGCAACTTTTTATTACTGATTTTGCATACACAGTCGTATTACAATTTTAGTTAAATTATGTTAAAATTTTACTTATATTATAATAATGTTCTGTTAACTCATTTTCCTATTGTGATAAAGGTTATAGAAACTGCTTTTTATTATGTAAAAATTCAATTTTTAATTTTATGACATTACCATCGAGGTCGAGCTCACAGTAAAATTAAGATTCAATTGATAACATTATAATTCGAGTAAGATTAAAATTTAGTTTAAAATTCTCAAATTTAAATAACTAAATTGTTTTTGTAAAATTTAAAATTCCCTTAACAAAAGCTCCAAAAGACTTCTAAAACCACAAGTAACATAATCCAAAGGGATACCCGAATCATCTTTTCTTTGATTTTGTTGGTGTTGTGATTATAATCTTTGGTTTTACCTTTTGCAACGAAGGAAATCTTTGGTCACATAAAGTAAAGAGATAGAGAGAGAGAAGACACTGATGCAATGCAATTAGGAAAGGAACGTTACAGAGGATGAGGGAAGATGATGATAATAGTTGTCCACGTGGCATAATTAAGAAGGGTGTGTGGTGGTGTGAATGAGAAATAAAGTTGATTAATATCTGAATGTCTTGGTGTTTGGGGTGCCATAGCATTGCATTGTTTTGCCACCTCAGAAAAAACAAGTGAAAGTGAATAATGAGGGAGGAACATGAAGAAGGGGTGGTGGTGGAGGACACGGTGGTGCTAAGAGAGTAAAGCAACTTCCTTTTCAACCAAATAGTGCCAACCCACACTCTTAACTCTTTCCCTTATCAACCATTACCGGTACACCATACCATACATAGATGCAGCAGATTCTCTCTAAGACTTCATCTGCTATGGCCACTTTTCCTTGTTCCAGGGTTTGTCTCTCTTCCTCCTCTTATCTCTTCTCTTTTTGGGGTCTTTGATTTCGTTTCAGGGCATAATTATCTCCCCAAATTTGGGGTTTTTATCTGTTAGAGTCCCGGAGGAAACGAGAAAAAAAACAAAAAAACAAAAAAAGGCACCGTCCGATGATGTTTTTTATTTCTTGTCTGAAAAACTAAACCAAACATTTTTCGTGGCAATTCGTTGTTTGCGTGTTTCTTCCGGCATTCAATGAATGATAAGAAGGTATCTTGCTTTTGATCGCTGTAACAAATTGTTTTACTTGAGATTTATGAGACGATGTCCTTGCTTATTGTTTGATTCGGTGTGTTGTCCGCCTCTGTCCTTTGTGATTTGGAATTAATTGAGATTGGTATACTTTGCAATATGTAATTCTGGAACTAGTTGCGTTTATATGTATTATTTGTTTCTTCGATTCTTGGTTTATGATTATAACCTATCTTCTAAAGTGGGTGTGTGTGTTTCATGATACTTTGGGAGAAGAGGTTGCTATTGAATGTTTGGTGATGGAGTTTGATTATTCTGTGTTTCTTAGGTGAAAAGTGGGTGGTGCGTGTGGCCAAATGTGAGACAACTTTGCCTTAGAAAAGGAATTCTGTATGGATTTATGCGATTGTTTTCTACACCATTGAAAACGCTGCGTGGAGCTAGTCGCACGCTGAGGGTGGGTCAGTTTTGCAGTGTTGTCAATATGTCTTCCTCGTTGCAGATTGAATTGGTGAGAGAAGGTCTCTTGATAGTCTTTTTCAGTTGACATGGTGCTGGTAGATTACAATTAGGTCACCCAAGATGATAAGCTTTCTGAAGAAATATGCCGAAATACTAACTTTTCATGTTATTGTGCTTAAAAAAATTGATAGGTACCTTGCCTGAAGGACAACTATGCGTATCTTTTACATGATGTGGATACGGGTACGGTTGGTGTTGTTGATCCTTCTGAAGCTGTGCCTATCATAGATGCCTTGAGCAGGAAAAATCGAAATTTGACATACATACTCAACACTCATCATCATCATGATCACACTGGTGGAAATGTGGAATTGAAAGCAAGATATGGAGCAAAGGTATTTTGTATGACATTTTATGAGTTGTTATATCTTTTGGATTTAAGGATTAAGAGATTACCTTTACCTTTACCTTTACCTTTACCTTTTAAAGGAGAAGTTCTCTTCTACTTTAACCAAACTAGCTTTCATGCTAGACTTGATAACTGTGGAATTCAGCAAAATAGTTTTACGCAAATTTCATTTGATTAATTATTGGCAATTTGACATATTAGAAACTTTGATGATTGCTCTTACGGTGTTACTTTGTGTCTTTCCATATTAAGCCTCTTTGTCTAGATTTTCTAAAAGCCATTTTTGATGTACTTTTTATATGCTTACTAGCTACTACTTTGTATAGATGTTAACAAGTCCCATGCTGCAATACAGGTGATTGGTTCAGGAACTGACAAGAAAAGGATTCCTGGGATTGATATCTATTTGAATGATGGTGATAAGTGGATGTTTGCTGGCCATGAGGTGCGTGTAATGGACACACCTGGGCACACCCGAGGTCATATTCATAACCCTATTTCCATTCATAATTCTTCTTAATGTTGAAAAGGGTGAAAAAAATATCAGTTTTCTACTGTGTCACACATTTTTCAAATTTTTTTAATTGATTTATACCCTAAGCAGGCCATATAAGCTTCTATTTTCCTGGATCTGGGGCAATTTTTACTGGAGACACTTTGTTCAGCTTATCATGTGGCAAGCTGTTTGAAGGAACCCCACAGGAGGTTAGTTAAATTGTTCTTGTCCATTTTTATTTTTTTTCTATGTAAGGTTTGAGATCTCTATCCAGTAAGCCATTGCATCATGGGACTTGTCTTATTTTCTAATCTTTGCTTTATTCTCTTTCCATTAGCCCTTGAAAATTAACATACCTGCACAGAGGGAGTTGTTATTGAAATTGCTATTAAATGAGGACTTTGTGATAACCATTATCCTTTTCTGCAACTCATAACATGTGAATTTAAACGTTGTTATATGGTACGATGAGGTTAGGACTTATGAAAGTCTTTTCCGTAACCTATATTTGTGTTTTTTTTTGTTTTACTTGAGAGTTGGAGATCCCCCAATTCTGCAATCTAAATGTATGAAAATTTGAGTCAAAGTATATATATAACAAATCAATAAACATATTTATATTTGTTTAGATATTGGTTAACTATGATTTCTCTTTCTACCTGTTCTTTTTGTCGAATAATGTATGGCTTTATAAGCAAACATCTTTAATATTTATTCGTACAAGTGATGTTGGTGATACTAAGTGTGTCAAGTTTAAGCTTGTAATTAGGGTTGGATCTTCAATTGTTGACAATTTCATCCATGTTGCAGATGATGTCTTCTCTTAAAAAGATCATGTCCTTGCCAGATGATACAAATATATACTGTGGACACGAGTATACATTGGTCAGTTACATTTACTCTTGTCCTTTATGTTCTTTTCTTCCTTTTAGTAGCCCAAGTGCTGTGAAATTGAGTTTGTTACTTTGGTGTTGGCAGAGTAATACAAAATTTGCATTGTCCATAGAGCCTGAAAACAAAGAACTTCAAGCCTATGCTGCTCATGTAGCTTACCTTCGAAGTAAAGGCTTGCCCACGGTGAGTTTTAGAATTGCACTTCTTTAAATTAATGGTTTTCCTCCATCTTCCTCTCCCTCACAACTCTTCTTTTAACTATTGCTTGGACCCAATTAATAAGTAGTGTTTGTTCAGATTCCCACCACACTGAAGATGGAAAAGGCTTGTAATCCATTCCTTCGAACATCCAATGCTGCAATCCGGCAATCATTAAACATTGCAACCACAGCAAATGAAGCAGAAGCCCTTGCTGTCATCAGGCAAACAAAGGATAATTTTTAGATTTTTTTTTTTTTTTTTATATGTTCAAAGTCTGAACACACTTGTTCTATATAGGGTAGGCTATGAATCCATCTGTCGAATAATATATTCTTGATGCTATCTTCTCAGTATGATTTCAGATTTTTGTTCTTGAGTTCATTTGGGAGTGTGTACTTGCTGCCTGCGAAAATTGTTTTGCGATTCCGAGGTGTACCATCAAATACACATGAAGGAGGTTCCCAAATTGTAACGCGAAAAATTAATCCCAAATTAGTTCCGCGATATTATGTATATTTCTCGATTAAAACACGAATCGATTCTATTTCCTGTAAAGTAGTCAAGTTCATCCTGTTTTTCATATTTCTCAACTTAAAAAGGCGGTTGGAGACTATAAAATTGAACCTACGTTGCCAACAGAGTTAGAAATTTACCTAATTTACATAAAAGAACCAGAAATAGTACTAGCATGCAAGTAAGTTCTGGTCAAGTGATTAAACAGTGGCTCCTTAAATGGAATGGTAGGTATGCTGATGTCACTACTTGGGAGGATGAAATGTTAATCCCCTTGACTGCACCTTGAGGACAAGACTATTATTAAAGATGTGGGCAATGATACAGAGACAATAATATAAAAGAGAATGATGAGTACGTAGAAGGAGAATTAGTGAAGCTCAAATTGTGACAAGTTTATCCTAGAAGGAAGATGATGAATCCTAAGAGATAGAAAGTTAGTTGGAGGGTATAATGTGACAAGGGAGGGAAGAGATATTCTTGGAGGAGTCACTGACTCTGAAAAAACTTTATATACTATTTAAAGTTTTTTTTTTCTCATTAGCATATATTCAATTATACACAATTCTATTAGGTGATCATAATTTTTTTTATTAAATTATTTCAAATATTTTAAAGTGAAGGTGTTGATTTACAGGGATAACACCAAATCAATATTTCTAGTCATAATAAAGATATAATATAAAATTATTCATAATTAAAATGTTAAATATATTGATATAATAATGACAGTATGATTCAAATAATAATATTAATAATTTTATTATTAATATATTAATAAATTTGAAATAACTTTACTACTGTCTTATTAATAAAATCAAGTAATTGTTTATTGAAATTGAGATTATATTTGTAATAGTTGTCATATTAATAATAATAATGGAAATAGATATAATAATAATAATATAAATGGTTAAAATAATAATAATAATAATAGGATAAGTGATTATAATAATAATAATAATAATAATAATAATGATAATAATAATTTAATAATATTAATAAAAATATTGATAAAAGTTATGATAATGTTAAATATTAATAATAATGGTCATAAAGAAATAACATATAATGATTGTGATTATAGTATCAGTGGTAACAAGAATAATAAATTAAATGTATTAAAATAAATATGTTTTTTTTAAGTTTAAATAAAGTTTACAATTTTTTAAATTCTCAATATGAATTTTTTTTTACATCGTTAGTCATAGATATATAATGATAAATATTATAGACTTTTTATAATGATTGATGAAATATTATGTAAAACTTTGGTTGAAGATATTCACACATAATTTATCTCTTAAAATATGTTATACAAGTATTTATTGTTTAATAAATTGTAAAATTTATCTTTTTTCTATAAATAGACTTAAATGAATTAGAGTTATATAAGTTATAAATTTGTAATACTTCAAAAAATTAACAAGTTGTCTTAAATTTTTTTATTTCAATTTATATTAAAATTATGTAAGAAAATGGTGAGTTATGCATGTATAAGGATGAAGATGAAAGCGAAATTTTGAACAAATAAATCTGAGTTTTGTTGGTAAGAGAGGTGTGTAAGTTGGGAATGGGGAAGAGAAAGGAAGAAGATGATGGAGAGATTAATAGAAATAATGGAGTTAAAATAAATATTTTGAACTTATATAAAAAATTAAAATAACTAAATTGAAAATTTTAAAGGATAAATGATAAAAAAGTATAAAATATAAATTACCATTTTATATTTTGTATGAATTCCATGTGCGGCAAGAAAACAAAGTTTCTTCGTTTCAAGCAAAATCAAAATTCTATATCGTTCATTTCTAGGGTTTCAAACTCTCTTTACAATAATCAACTACTTGATTCTTGCTCCTACTTCTCCATTGTTGTAGTTTTCGGATTACGATGCTGCCTCCTACCAAATCCGTCGAAAGCGAGGAGTGGGGAACCCCCACCAGCAACCTCTGGATTGGAAATCTGCCGCCGGAGGTTGCCGATTCCGATCTCATGGACCTCTTTGCTCCCTACGGTTCTCTCGACACACAAATATCCTATTCCTCACGCACCTTCGCTTTCGTCTTGTTCCGACGCGTCGAAGACGCTAAGGCCGCGAAAACCAACTTACAAGGCGCGTCGCTGCGCGGGTATCAAATCAGAATCGAATTTGCAATACCGGTCTGTGAAAGCTGAACACTTCATTATTTTTGTTTATTTTTCATTTATTTCAGAATGTGGAGTTTCAGTGAGAATAGTATTAAAAATAATACTATAATTAAATAGTAAAATTAATGAAATTGTGTTTTCAGGCAAGGCCGAGTAAACAGTTATGGGTGGGTGGTGTTAGCCACGCTGTCGCGATGGAGGATTTGGAAGCGGAATTTCGTAAATTCGGGAAGATTGAGGATTTTAAGTTCTTCAGAGACCGCCGTACTGCGTGTGTTGAGTTTCTCAATTTGGATGATGCTTTGCGGGCCATGAAAGTCATGAACGGGAAGCGACTAGGTGGGGGCTATATTTGTGTGGACTTCCTTAGGTCACAATCTACGAATAGAGTAAGCTTCTTTTGCTTAATTTGTTGTTTTGTTCATTTTCCCTTCTTTAATTCGATTGCCTGTCATGCTACAAGCATCCTGAGTTGTCGTGTTTGTGTCTATAAAGTAATCTCATTCATGTCAGTGAAGTGAGTGTTTTAAACTTGTTTGGAATGAGAATGTTGTTTTTCAGGCAATGTGAAAGTTTGCAAAATTCAGATGAAGATTCTTGTACCTAAGATCGGGAGGGGTTATAGACTAAAAAATGTGAGATTGAAAAATTAATCGTAATATTCTTGCTTAAATACAAACGTGCTGTCACACTCACGTGTGCATGAGAGAGAGTCAGGTTTGGCAATATAATTGAATTGGTGCGTAGATCATAAGGTCGCACAATCTTACAAGTTAAATCTTAATCATTACAACATTGATCAATATTTACCATATTTCAGCAACTTCCTAAATCTTTGTAAATAGAGAAGAGGACTTTGGTTCCTTTAATTTAAAGCTTTGTCTGATTTCTTCAATGATGTCTGTTGGATGCCAGATATATCAGCTTCAACAACATTTGCTTTCATATTGTATATAGAAATTGTTGAATTGGGTTGTGTCCTTGTAAATCTTTATATGCCTTAGCTATTCTCTTTTTAGTTATTTAATTTTTGTTCTTCTGCATATTATTCTCATACAACTAATGTTTCCTTTACTGATTCTGTAGGATTTTTTGGTTGATCATGGGCAGTTTCAGGCTAGACCACAGGTTAGAGTACCACAGTCCTAACTGAGTTTGTTTGTAGGTCTGTTTATCTGTGATTGGATACATGCTATGTTTATGTTTTGGGAAGAAGTGTATGGTAATTTGTTAGGAAGAATGGGCACGGAAAATGATTGATATCTTCACTTTTCTATATACTTCTCACCTGGAACTTTATTAATTTCCTTATAAATACTCATTCTTGTGTCACAGCATTTACAACCTTCATTGGGGAGGAATAGTCAACCCAGTAACATTTTGTGGATAGGTTTTCCTCCTTCATTTCAAATTGATGAACAAATGCTCCACAATGCCATGATTTTATTTGGTGAAATTGAGAGAATCAGGAGTTTTCCTTCTAGACATTATTCATTTGTAGAGTTTAGAAGCATAGATGAAGCTCGTCGTGCCAAAGAGGGCCTTCAAGGACGACTTTTTAATGATCCTCGAATAACAATTATGTATTCAAGCAGTGATCTGACACCTGGCAAAGATTACCCTGGATTTTATCCTGGAAGTAAAGGGCCTTTACCTGATGGATTAGTTAGTGAGCATCCATTTCGACCACCACAATCAGATGTATTTGGTCAAAATCGTCCTATTGTTCCAAATAATTTTCCTGGGCAATTGCCATCCGGTGGTATTGGTGGACCTAATGTCCCAATGCGACCTTTTGTTCCTCAAGGTCTTGAATCTCTTAACTCTGGTCCTGATTTTAATGAGTTGGGCACACTTCACAAATTTCAAGATGGTAGCTCTAAAAGTCAGATGGGTCCAAGCTGGAAAAGGCCATCTCCTCCTGCCCCAGGAATGATTTCTTCTCCTATGCCTGGTATTAGGCCCACCTCTGGTCCATGGGATGTACTTGACACAAACCAATTTTCAAGAGATTCTAAACGTTCAAGGATAGATGATGCTTTGCTCACCAGTGATGCCCCATTTCCTTTAAGAAATATTAATGACCATGGATTAAGATTAGAACAACCATTTGGCATTGATCCAATTACTGATGGAGATGGTTCTGGTCCAAAGAGTCACCTTGGTCCAGCTCGTGCTAGGATCACATCTGGAGTACCTAGTTCTGTCCAACCTGATATTGATCATACATGGCGTGGAATTATTGCAAAAGGGGGAACTCCTGTTTGTCGTGCAAGATGTGTGCCTATTGGAAAAGGGATAGGGACTGAGATGTGAGTATAATTTTCCCTTTTCTTTTGAATGTCTTTGTCAATTTTTAGAAAATCAAGGGATTGGATGAAGGAAATAGTATTGTTCATCAGAATTGTTATTTTCAATCTCCTATTGCTAGCCAGGTCCTCATGCAGCATATAGTTTTTCCTTTGCATATTGTTTCTTTAATGTGGCGAAACATTTACCTTAACTTGAAATTTGACTGTTTTGCACTGCATGCAAGCTTTTCTTTATATTTTATTGTTCATCCTGTCCATGATAAGGAAGCGTAGTCTGTTAATTGTTCTTCCAATGTCTTGTGTTCCTAAAGTATGGTTTAAAATTTGTGAATGAAATTGGGTTTAACATGCTGTATGCAAACTATAATCCAAACACACATAATAATTTTGGTATGAATTTGGATGGCAAATTATTTTGAAAGTAATGCGAAGGGGCTAAATATCATTTTATACTATCTGTAAAATCTGCATGTGCTTATAAATGAATGTTGTAGCCTTCTCTATTTCCTTTATGCCTCTTTTTTTCCTGGATAATGTTTTGATATCCTGTCTACTTTTTCAGGCTACTTTTGCTGTTGTAATTAAAGTGTGTTCTTTGCTTTTGCTGCAGTCCTGATGTTGTAGATTGTGCTGCTAGGACTGGATTGGAGATGTTGACGAAACACTATGCTGATGCAATTGGCTTTGACATTGTTTTCTTTCTCCCTGATAGTGAAGAAGATTTTGCTTCATACACTGAATTCCTTCGATACCTTAAAGCAAAAAACCGTGCTGGTGTTGCTAAGTTTCTTGATAATACCACCTTATTTTTGGTACCTCCTTCTGATTTCTTGACCAAGGTTTTGAAAGTCACAGGACCTGAACGGTTATATGGTGTGATTCTTAAATTTCCGTTAGTTTCAAGTAGCTCATCTATGCAACAAACAATGCATTTTCCTTCTCCCTCTACCCAGTATGTGCAACAGATTCCCCCTTCACAACCCGAGTATGGTTCAATCTCTGTAAAGGAGGAACAGATTTTACCAATGGAATATAACAGACTGTTGCATGATGATTCTAAGCGTCTGTCAAAACCACTTCCTCCAGCTACCAGTGTCCCTCCTCCAGCTCATTCTGTTCCTCCTGATTATGCTTCTACTTATACAGCTTCTGCATCCCAAACTGGAGTTACATTGACACCTGAACTTATTGCAACTTTAACTTCTTTTCTCCCTTCAACTATACAAGCACAATCAGCTGGTGGTACAATGACAGTGGTTGGTCCCTCTACTGTGAAGCCACCTTTTCCATCTGTTGCATCTAATGCTGGAAATCAATCTCATTTGTGGAAACAAGATCAGCAAACTGCAGATCCACCAAGTTATCCTCCTCAACAGTTTGGGAGTATTCATAATGCTCAATATCAACCTTACCCACCTGCATCGTCTAGTGAGCACCCTGCTCAAGTTGTCTCAGGCAGTTCCCATTTCCATGATGCTGCTTCAAGTCTTCAGCAGCTAGGTGCTGTTTCGTCGTCTACACCTGTGACTAATTTCATTGTACCTCCTCAAAATGGACAGGTAGCTGTTCCCCCTCAAGTCAGTCAACAGTATCAGGTGGAAGTCTCCCACAGCACTGAGAAAGGCTATGGAGTAGTTCAGGGAACAGATGCTTCTGTTCTATATGGTTCTGAGGCATTCCAACAACCTAATAATTTTATTCCCTCATCCAACCAAGTTTCCAGTGCTGCTTCACAGCAGCATTTGAATTCAGAGCCCCCAAATCAACAACTTCAACCTGCTTTAAGTGGAGGTGGTCAGGGAATGTCAGAATTGGATGCTGATAAGAACCAGAGGTACCAGTCAACACTGCAGTTTGCTGCCAACCTTCTCTTCCAGATACAGCAACAACAAACACAAGGAGGACACGGCTCAGGAAATCAACAATAGGAATTATTTTCCGTGAGTAATTATCGTATGACTAATTCTTTTAATTGTTCTTGATATCATAATAAAATTAGGTTGATTATTTTCTTCACATTTAGGGATTGCGATCATATTGTATTATTTTCCTAAATTATAGATAAATCAGTTCTGTTTTCTAAATCTGAAAACCATCTAGTCATATGAGAAATATGCAATAAGCCTCGAGTATTTGAACTTAAAAAGATAAAATTACCACCTTTAAGCACATGTGAGTCTATGGTTTCATCCAGTTCCGTGTCGATGGTCTTCTGGAACAGGGAATTATTTAGGAGATTGGGGATGGAGGGATTTTAGAAGAAAATGAAGGCATAACTGGTAGATTTTGTAGGTAACTTGTTATTTGGCTGGGTGTTTCCTTTGGTAGTTTTTTAACTCAATTTGTTATTAGGTTGGGTGTTTTGGCATATTTATTTACAATGATACTTTTAAGTGTAGTTATTGATAATAGCATGTGGTAACCGTCCTATTGGCAGCAATTTCATGGTCACACTTCTGGTGCCATATATTCTCTGTTTCATTTTGTGTTGCAGTACATATGCTGTATGGAAAGTTATCCTTGTTGCTGTTCAGGTGATAGAAACTGAAAATTCTGAGTATTATTTAGCCAAAAAGAAGTGAACATGAATATAATATTATTCTTTTTGTATACTATTGTTATATTGAATTATTTTTATTACATGAAATATATAATACAAACTATGTTTGCATAAAGGCATACACCTTAAAAACTGTCATTTGCTGTGAATAAAATTATGGTTTTAAGTTGCTTTTTTATTTATTTATTTATTTATTTATGATCAGCATTTGGCAGCTTATCTGCACATTTCAGCAATTCAGAAGTACATTTTTGATACTCAAAAGTGGTTGTAGGCTTTCCTAAATTTAAAATTCTGACTTTGATACACTTAGAATACAATTACATTGAGATGTCATCAAATTTTATATTAGTGCTTAATTTTGTGGTCAGTAGCATATCTTATGTATGTCAAATACTCAAAAGTAGTTGTTAGCTTTCTTATTGTTAAAGAAAGTTTAATTTATGACTTCTGTGATACAATTAGAAGACAAACACGTTGAGATGTTATCAAATACTACATTGGTTCTTATTTGTTTTTGACATTTTATTTTTTGTAGCTTGCCTGTGATCCATATTTTTGTTCTCCTGAAATTAGATCTATGATGCAACTTCCTAAAAACAAATAAATAATGCATAGTTATAAAAGGGTAGTCTACCTCTTTTGTAGGTAGTAGTGTATTGTACTACTAAATTACTAATGGGTAATTTCATTTCCCCAAAATGGGATACAAGATGTAATTATTTGATTGATATTTATTTTATATAACATCCATTTGAATAAACTGTCATTTATTGTAATATATAATGTATTTTGGAGCTGTGGCCTTACCATGGATTAATGGACCTCAGAAATCGCAGTGTCCTGTATTTATGATGGCTTAGGTGAAAAATCTATAAGCAACAAATTAGCTCACCTTTGCAAATTGATGTGTTCTTTCAGGGATGCATTCTATGGAAAGAACTTGGTGGTTCCTGCATGCTGTTTTCTTCCTAATTTTGTGTGCTGTGGAGATTCTCAATCTCTTTAGCAACTTGAAGGGCCAGTTATGAGAAATTTATTCTATATTTTCTCTTTAAACTGAGAAAGGAAAATTTTTGTGGTGGCTAAAGATTATATCGCAGATTTATTTTAATTTTGACTGGGGATTAGGTGCACCTGAATAGTTGATTCTTTTCCAACCACGCATCTCTCAGTTTCTTTTTCTCCTACTGCTACTGTTATGCCAAGAGTCTCAGTTATTGATGATGTCAGCTATTGGTTTCACTCTATATATAGTATGGTTGTTATGTTGGTAGGTTTAACTATGGTGGTTATGTTGGTCCTTCTCTCTATATATACTTTTTTAACAGTATCCCCTTACTCATAATTTTTTTGTCATTTTGTTAATTGATGTTTGATTCTTAATGCTATATCTTTTTGACAAAAGACTTGAGATTTTATTGCCCCTGATTTCCTTTTTTTTTTTTTTTAATGTTATTACATCATTTTTCTTTCTTTTTTTTTGGTTCTTGTAATTTTCTGAAATATCTGACTAAATTGTTATATCAATAAACACTCTTAGTTTTTCATCTTCACTTTTTTTTTTTTACCACAATTTAAGAAAGACTTGTGTTTTGTTTTAAACATCATATATTATTTTTTCTCTCTACCTCTGTACCTTTATGCTCACAAATTTTTACGTTCATGTCTAGTTGGCAGAACAGATTTGTGTTCTTCTACTTTGCTCTTTTTGAGAAGTTATTCAACCGTTCTTTCTTGGCTATTTGTTGGGTTTTCTTCCCATGGAATCGCGTGTGTAAATGGTTTCTAATTTATTTTAAATAACTTGGATTTCTCCTTACTAACTTTGCTTCCCAATTCAGTCCTGTTAGGAGCTATCTTTCCCATTGAAATTTTTAAGGTAAATAGGTTTGAAAGTTACTTAAATATGTTATTCAAACCCATGGTCTGTGCTATATGGTGTTTATTCTTTATTTGGGTGAGAAATCTTTTATTGAATCCATATAGTGAAACTATTGATTTGGGTTTATTATGAACCTTATGAAAACCCCAAAGCTACCCATTATTTGGGTCAATTCCATATAAATCGCACATAAGAATCTCATAATTTTAATGTGAGACTAGAGCTCTATAGTTTGCAGTTGGCTCTTGATATTCCCCTGCTTCTTGAACCCCAACTTTCACGTGAGTTGGTTGTCCACTAACTCAGACTAGTCCTGGGTATACACTACTATTCTACTATAACCATTCTTGTTTCTCATTTCCATTAAGAGTTCGGAAGCTCTAAAGCCCAGTTTGGATAAACTTTTCACAAGTACTTATAGAATAAAATTGAATTGAAGATGGTTAAATGAGTCTAATTTCCCCCCAATAGTTAACTCAACTTATGAATCTCCCTTTTGGAAATTCCCTCATGTAACTTATTCACATGTTGAGGTGCATTAATTGATTTTCACTAGCCAGAAAAATGATTCAGTGTTTTCTTAAATTCTGTTTATTTTCTTTCCTTTGTTGGACAGTTGCCTTAATTATGGTCACCCCTGGCCCATCTTAAATGCTAACATGCTTGAAAGAATAATAGGATTTGCTTCAATCACAACATTCCATTTCTAAACCTAACTCTGTTTCAACCCTTCCTCTTTCTCCTTCATTTTGGTTTGCCAGTTTGTTTCACTAGCATGAAATCATAGTCATTTTAGCAAACTGTGCCTAGGTCAGCCCATTCAGCCCAGGCCACTTCTCACTTGCAGCGCTTGCAAGTTGTGGAGATGTGTAGCAGATGTAGCTCGGCCCATTCAACTGAAGTCACTCTGCGCATGCAGCACTCACAACTTGTGGGATTGTGTGGTGGGCCATGCCTTGGTGAGTCCATTCAGCACAAGCTATTTCACGTTTAAAACAATTGAGACTTACATGGTTGCACATCGGACCATGCTTTGGTTAGCCCAAGCATCAAGCCAATCTAATCAGGATAACTACAAAGGAAACAGTAGATTGCCCTCCATCACTTGGCCAAGCACCAAGACATTAATCTGCCAGGATCCCACAGAATCTGGAAAGATATCCTCCCCCTACCCACTACGCATAAGCCTTGTACATTAGAAATGTTGTTAAATGATGGCATGATGATGGAATGAGAAGATAGATTATTTTTACCAACCTCCATAGGCCATTTTGTGAATGGAGGTGCTATGGTGGTGCTACAGGCTGCAATGGTGTGTTTATGTGGTGGAAATTTGGCCTTCTTCCATGTTTCGCCATCCACCATTGATAACACTGACAGTAGACTAGGATCATCTGCATACACCTAAACCTAGTGGACTGACCTAGATAGTGAATTAGGCTAATCTCTCTGGAAAGTCTGTAAGAATAGCTGTCAATTCCAGATTTTGGAGTGGAGTGGTCAACCCCAGACATGACCTAGCACATAGCAAGATGATCGTTTTTCTAATGATTTTTTTCATATATTAAAGTTAGTACTTTATATATAAATGCCCAAAAATAGAAATACCCAATTCATTATTTTTTTTTTAGTAATAATAAAATATTGTAGCATTTGAACAAACGGACTAGTAGATAACAACAAAAGTCAATGAAACAACAAAAATTGAACCTCTAAAAAACAAATAAAATGGATACTAGGTGAGAGAATAAGTGAAAAGCAGAACACAGCAAGAGTGGGAGAGAAAGTGAAAATCAGGTCTGTTACTGGAAAGGTAAGGGTTTTGCTGGGATTTTGTTTGTGCTTCTCAGTAGTTGCTGGGCTGCCTCCAATATTGTGTCTGCTATTATGCTCTGGTGCAATATTGCCACTATTTGCTGCTATTGATAAAATTTGAAATGTTATTTTTATTATGTTAATTGTGGAATATATGGATACCAAAAATTGTTGTGTTCTTGTAGATAAATAAATAAAAGTTTTGCAGACATGTTATTCTACTGTAAGACTGTAAGTTTTATTTAGATTTCAATGTGTGCATTATGTGAAAATGTGTGTGGGCATATCATGGGTAGTCTAATATTATAAAATTTCTGTCATAAAATTGGCTGTTGACCACTTAAATTATGCAGTTTTATACATTCTGTTATTTTTTCTCCACACATGTGTTTGTCTTTATATTTATATTGTGAACTGATGTTTCCTTTCATAGAATTGACAAGTTCACCTTCAATTATAAATAGAATTTCACTGTTATTAATTGTAGTGTGGCATTTATTTTCTGTCTTTCATATGCTGTATTTAGGAATGTACCTTTAGTCTTTGCATGGTTGCCCTTTGTATGTTTATATCTTACAAGTATTCTGATTACAGTTTTGCCCCGGGAATCTGTTATATTCCCTGGGATGCTGCTTGCTGCTTGCAAAGTGTACATGCTCGTCCATCATCTCGGCTATCTTGTAGAGTTGCTACATTATCCTCTCACTAACATTTGGAAAACCCTGTTCAGGTATGTTAAGAAAATTGGTTACCTTGTTGCAGTGTTTTAAATTTCTGTTTATGGAGGTCATATATGCTGTTTTATGTTAAATTTTTGTTCATGGAAACCATATATGCTGTTTTATATTCCATATCATCAAGTGGTGTAGGTTCTGTATATCATATGTGCTATATCTCTTCATATTGTTTTATTAAATATTTAAACCCAGGACACATAATTTCTTGTTGTAGAAATCATAGACTGTGTTTAGGATTTTTGATAATTTTTCTGCAAGGATCTAAGGAAAATCCATCAAGATAGGTCCTGTATTTGTGGGAAATCATGATTGGTGGATGATTAAGTATATAGTTATGCTGATCAGTATGCACTTTCTTTTCAATCTCTTCTGACGTTGTCTTTTAGGTTATATTTGATTGATTTTGCAAAAAAATGTTATCAATTAGAAGGGGCAGTCTTTTAGACTTCAGTTAATTTTAGGATTAGGGATTTTAAAAAAATTGTAAAAATTGACAGCATTTGATCCTTTGGGAGAAAATAGTATCTGTAATGCTTCCATCATAATATTAATTGTATAGTACTGTAGAACAGTAGCATTAAATTAATCAATTCTGATTTGTTTAAAATAGTTGTCATTAAATTCTTTAATATATGTTTGACTACGCGGCAATGATGTTTCTGTGTTTGGTGTCAAATGCTAATTCCGAGTTTCCTTTTATTTTTTTTTTACTACGCCTTTTTTCATAATTCTTTCGTAAGTTACAATTCGGTTTGGACTATTGAAGGGTATTATGAAGATTGTTTTGCATGCATACATTCTGTAGTTACTGAATCTGTCCTCTTTACACAACTGAAACAGGTTTTTTAATTGATCAGAAGCTTCTGCTAAATGACTTTGTTAATTAATTGATTTTTTTGTCCTTTATTCCAAACAAACATTTGATGGAAAATATGAATCCCTATAATCGGCAATGCACAAATATCAAAGTGCAAGAGACGTCAAGTGAATCGTGATTAAATCTCATAAATTTCTTTCCCAATGTAATAACGGATAACTCAATGTAGAACTATTAATACCTTTCAAAAAATTAAACACCTGGATCGAGTTTGTTTACTCTTTCTTGATACATCGATTTTTATCTAAACAAGTCATTGCAATTCTACGTGCTATGCTGGTTGTTATAACTGGCATGTAAATTCATCAGGATGACAAATACGTAAATGACATGATTCTGGTATAAATGTTTCATGTCCTAGGTATAAATTTATGCTTGATTCAGTTTATTTAGGTAGAGCTTGAAAAATAATTTGGAGGACCAATAATAGATATTATTTTTATTTTAAATCAAATATCATGAATACTATATTTGTTTCATTGTTTTATCCTTTATTTTATTTTATTTTTTACATTTCGTTCCTTGTATAAAATGTTTAAATCTTTTATCTTTTATTCATAATATATATTAATACAATTAAAAATTTGAGGTAGCAAAGTGGTGGTTCGTATATAGTTCTACTTCAGCATTATATATTTAAGGGGATTTATTTTGGTTTCATTTTAGTTATATGATCCTGAAATTTCACTCTATTTTCACCAGTACTTTTCCTCGATCAGGGTTGGGTAAGAATACGAAACTTAAGGAATCTTGTTGAAAGAATTTACATAAAATTTTACTTTCGATAGTGCACAATTTGTGTTATTTCATAAGGATGGTTGGTTGTTAATAGTTACAGTTCTCTACAGTATGAGTTTTTTTCTTATTCCTCTATGACTCATTTATCAATCGTAAAATTCTCTACCTGTTTATTAAATCGCTTCCAAATCATGAAAAATATGGATAAGCTGGATCTTGATTCAAGAATATTGTAAATTACGTATTTCATAGGCGTGCTTTAGAGAATCAAATGTGGTGAGTATTGTTGTTGATGTCTGTCGTCGATTATGCATTGAATTATTTGCTGTACCAAAAAAACCGTCAAGTTGGTTTTATATTAATGAAAAGGAGTATTCATGATTGAATGACACTAGTTTAAAAATCTAAACATTTTGACATTTTAAAAGCCTTTTGGTCGCACATTAATGGACATCTAACTAAACCGTGTATGGGCTCAACATTTTAACCCAGATAATAATTGTATATGGTTTCCTCCATTACCCTAAATGTTGATAAGTAATGTGATTACTTGGAACAGAATTGAAATGTAATGAATGAGAGATTTGGTACAGAAATGGACGAGTCCTAATGTAAGTTCTGTATGGATGTGTACGTGATTGCTGAATGCGTCAGTACTTAACAGATCAACATGTCCCTGTCCGCATACTTTCTCATATACCCATCCATTCTTTTTCTACTTTCTTCGTTACTCATTTTAACTTCCAAGCTGGGTTTGTATTTTATCCTTGCCGAGAATGTTCATCATAAATTTTCATCCCAAATCTAGTTCTTATCCTGAGCCCGTGCCAGAGCTTTTTGTTTTCTAGAAAGGGAGGGTTGTGTGCCAGAGGAATTGAAACCCATGTGACAATCTGAAAAGTGATATTCTGCAATCTTTTTATATAAAAAAATCTACGTTTTTCTGTGATTAATTGGGTAGCGATCGTTTACTATGATCTCAACCATGTGCTTTACAGAGAATATTTTTCAAGCACTGACAGATATCAAAATAAATTTTGACTCGTTCCAGTACACTATCCCTATGACCTTGCTTGAAAAAGAGATCTGTTACATTTTTTACTACCATGCTTCACTCAACTTTCTTTCACAATAGTTTAATGACGATTAAATGTAATTGATGCTGCAGAACTAAAATTCGAATGAGAAAAATTAAATCCAAAAAATTGATTATATCTTTAGTTTTTAAATTTTATTATTATTATTTTAAATGGGTTTAGTTTTGAGCCTAGATAACATTACTTCAATTAGCAATTGATGTATACGATTGGTAACATGAGTTTAAACAATTGGGATGATTGGTCTTCAATATATACAAATTAATAAAATTAAAGGCAAATTAAGTTCCCTTGTGCAATACTGGGTGCATTGAAATATAAATATGGATGCTGTTGTTTTCAATTGTTCTGAATCTTTTTGTAATTCATTCCATATGATATGATATGATGCAGGTTGCAAGCCCACAACTCCAACCACAAGTACAATACATATTTTGATTTGGATCTGATTAATGAACTGGAATAGTATGAAACAACTTGTCCAATTTAATCTGATGTCCAATTTTTTTTCTGTTTGGTTGTTTTTTTCACTATTTTTGTTTCTTATTATTTTACTAATTTAACCCTTTCTTTTCTTTCCTCTGTTGTACCACTAGGCTTCTTCTTCGTAGCATGACATCGAACACGTGGTGCGAATCTTTATCTCCCATGAGACTGAGACCCCGTTCTCACAGTGCAACCCAAAATTATGAAGACCAGCACTAACGACCAACCACACCATCAATTTCAAATAGTGATAACAAAAGGTTTAACAGTCCGTGTCTGAAGGTTAAATTGATAGTTCTAGTCACGTTGAGTTAGGACGGGATTATCTTCATTTTAAAATTATTTATATATTAAAAATATAAATATTATATTATATAAATATATTATAATATTATAATTTAAATCATAAATATTAATTATTTTAATTTAAAATATTAATTATAAATAAATATTTTAATATATAAATATAATAATTTTATCAATTTATTTAATAAAAAGTATTAATTAATAAATAAAATTTAAAAATATTTATATAATTAAAAATATATTTTAATATATATATATATATATATATATATATATTAATAGTTTAAACCGTTAATATATCTCATATGTTGTCCACCTTAATTATAATATACTAACTCGTTACACCTATGAATTAGAGATAAACTAATCAACCTGTTTTATCATCCTATCGTTCTAATTTCAACTACGTTAACGTAACTTGCACTAATTCAAATGACTAAAACCTAACGGAAAGACATTGCAAAAGAAAGCAAACAAAAGTTTTAAACTGTGCATTCTAAAATAATATTTTCTTCAAGGCCCTTTCCACTGCTATTATAGTTTTTTTCATGTCAATGCCATTTATTTTATTTGGGTTCTAAATATTAGTCAACATTTTTATTACATATAAAATTAGTCTCTGGGGATATCCCTGATTTTCCGTGATGAGTGGGGGATAAATTGAGCTAATAAAATCTTATTATAATGCCTGCTGCATATCTCTTAGACTTGAAAACAAATTCAACTATTAAAGAAAAAACGTAAGTAAATAAATATTTATTTCACTTTCATATAAAAAAATTCTTTCACCAAACACGTTCTGTAGTTAAATTATATAAAGTATTTAGTTTTGACAGTTTATGTATATTTTGTTGTTATGGTCAATATGAATTTAACATAATTATTATAATTTCAACGCTGAGTATCACCCTCATTCCTTTTTTTTTTTTTTATTGTTATTATTCAAATAAATAGAGCATAGTTGAATAAAGCACCGCCATAACGAGGATGAAACACTTGGGCACATGAAGTTGGTCCAATAAAAAAATATATATTAAAAGATGAGAAATGGCTAAATTTAATAGGGTAGAGAAGAGTGAGTATTTTTTTTTTTAATTTTTAATCTTATTTAATTTTATTTCATTCCGACATTTAATTATGACTAAATATTAGTGTCTGAGTGAGCGAGGGAAGGGTATGTCTATGTTTAATGTATAATGTATTAATGTCTTAAATGTCTAATGTCTTGAGCTGGAAGTTTTGGTTTCGTTTTCTCTCTCTGTCTGTGAGATCTCTTAGGGTTTTTCACTTTCAACGTTTCTCCCACTGCCGATCTTCCACCATTTTCGCCTAAAGGTACTACCGCGCTTTTCGTATTTAACTTTAAGCTTTTGTGTTTAATTAAATTCGCGCTTTCCAAATTTCATTTTCCTTTCTTTTCTTCTCTAATTAGATATTGCTAGCTAGGGTTTTGGAGTAGTGGATTAGCTCGTCTACGATTAAGGATTCTGTCTCCATGGATAAGGATAAATCTCTAGGTCACAGTGGAGGTTTGCCACCTCCGTCGGGACGTTATTCGGGTTACTCACCCGCTGGAACTGTGTTCAATGTGAAATCGGAGCCACCGACGTCGTCGACGTCGTCGTATCCGCCACTGGCTCCGGGAGTCTCCACGCCGGAGTCTAGTGGGTTTAGTCATGATATTAGCAGAATGCCCGATAATCCCCCGAGAAATAGAGGTCATAGGCGTGCTCATTCCGAGATTCTCACTCTACCGGATGATATTAGCTTTGACAGTGACCTTGGTGTGGTTGGAGGTGCTGATGGGCCTTCGTTCTCCGATGAGGCCGAGGAGGACTTGCTGTCTATGTACCTTGATATGGATAAGTTCAATTCGTCGTCGGCGACGTCCACGTTTCAAATGGGCGAGCCGTCTGGTGTGGTGGGAGCGTCGGGTTCAACGTTGGCGACCGGGGTACCCACCTCTTCTGCAGAAAATATTGCTGTTGGCGGTACTCATGAACGGCCCAGAGTTAGACACCAGCATAGTCAATCCATGGATGGGTCAACTACTATCAAGCCTGAGATGCTGGTTTCTGGTTCGGAAGACATGTCTGCGGCGGATTCCAAAAAGGCAATGTCAGCTGCCAAGCTTGCTGAGCTTGCTTTGATTGACCCCAAGCGTGCAAAACGGTATGCTTTATGGTTTCTTGGTGCGTATTTCTCGTTCTTCTGTTGATTGTAAACGTCATGCTTAGCACACTTGTTCTCAAATCCCATTGCATTTTTTGTTACCCTCATTCATTCTTGTTAGGGCAAAACTTAGATACAGAACTATAGGTTGGTCCTGATGGAACTGCAATCTAATCAGAGGAAGAGAGTTTCACCTCGGTAATATGCATTCACTACTGTACTACCCAGATTACTGATGCAGAGTCTGGTCATTTTTCTTTAGTAGTAAATTAACATTTCTGGTTGTCTGTGTGGCATCCTCTGGAAACTGGACCTATTTTGTTTTATCACTTGCACTTGAAAAATGGAATAACAAACAGGTAAACACTGCTTTTAATTGTCTGTAACAGGATATGGGCAAATAGGCAGTCTGCTGCGAGGTCAAAAGAGAGGAAGATGCGGTACATTGCTGAGCTTGAAAGGAAGGTGCAAACATTGCAAACGGAAGCAACATCTTTGTCTGCGCAATTAACTCTATTGCAGGTATTGACTTTTGTGGCTGTTATTTAGACAAACGGTGTTTTACTACTATATTACCATTTCACCTTCCAGTTGAAAATCTAATGGGAGGAGTATAATTAACACATGGATGTTGATTATGAGCAGAGGGATACAAATGGCTTGAATTCTGAGAACAGTGAACTGAAGCTGCGGCTACAAACCATGGAGCAACAAGTTCACTTGCAAGATGGTAAGATCATACATTTGTAAATGACCTAAAGCTAATGCTAAACCTCTTCCATTGCTTTTTTTATTTATTTAAATTCTATCTTTGAAAATATCAGTTGGTAAACGATATTAAACACTATGATCTTTGTATCTTGCGATGGATTAATACATTTATGTGTCTTGGATGAAATTGCATTATAGTGTATATCGAGCAGCTAAATTTTGTTGTTGGGTTTGTGGGTTATTGGGTATGATTAAAAGTGAAACTTACTGGCTTGGCCTAATTTTGATATCTATGTTTGAGCATATGGGAAGAGTGGACAGTTCATCTTGATCTTTTCTCTAATATTAAGAAAATTAATTGAATCTTGTTCTTGTAGCACTAAATGACGCATTAAAAGAGGAAATTCAGCATTTAAAAATACTGACTGGGCAAGCTATGCCACCTAATGGAGGACCTATGATGAACTTTACCTCTTTTGGAGGGGGGCAGCAATTCTATCCCAATAATCATGCGATGCACACCCTTCTAGCTGCACAACAGTTTCAACAACTCCAAATTCATCCTCAGAAGCAGCAGCATCAGCATCAGTTTCAGCAACTTCAACAACAAATGCTGCAACAGCAACAGCGGGATCAACAACACCAACCATCAAGCGACTTGAAAATGAGAGAAGCTTCACCTTCTCCATGCCCCAAAGACAATGCGTCGTCAGATGTAAATCCTTCTGGGGCGAAGGACTGTTGAGAATTTAGACTGTTCATTGTCTTATATGTTACCTCGGTAGATTTTTCCTTGTTTTGTGTCCTAGTGTTAGATAATGGCCTTTGTTTTATTTTTTCATTCTTAAACAGTACAGGAGGTCCTAGTTAGAGATTGAGAATAATGCGTTTGTATCGTTGCTATTGTGTAATACTAAAATTCATTGATACTCTAAGTTAATTTCTATGGATATACAGGGCTAGGTAAGTGTCAGGTGTGTTCGGCCGTCAGTTCTTTTGCCTTCAACTATATCGAAATAGGCTATGTATCGTTGAGAAAGTTATGTCTTCGTACAAACTAGCCTGTCACCAGAGCTACTAAAATTTTATAATATGTTTCGACCATTGTTAACGCCGTTTTAGACAAAAGAACGATTGTCAAAAGTCTTTGGTGAAAAGCTAAAACACACAGCTACGTACCCTAAAACAAACGATGGCAAGAATAAAATAGCATATTTAGGATGAAAAATAAACAGTGAACAAGTTGATAGAATAATGTAACATCCGATAACTGTGCGTGATCTCTAATACTTCTTTTAATATCTACCTTCCAACTTTTGGGGAGGCCACAAAACATAGTGCCAGTTTTTTTTTTTTTTTTTTTTTAATTTTATTTTTGTTTCCAATGCAGAGGATAATAATACAAACACAAACGTATTTGTGGGAAGAATTGAACATGGGATGACTAGATTCTTGATCTACATGACGGAGTATCCTGGGCCTCCACCCCCTTCAGGCACTGTCCACTCAATGTTTTGCTTTGGATCTTTGATATCACAAGCCTATTAAAAAAGAACTGAATTAAACCGTGTAGGATACACAGATTTTACTGGTGAACGAAGATAAACACCTAATATATCTTGAGCATATAATATTAATCACTAAACTCAAACAATCATCCAAATTGTTTTAAAAGTTTACCTTGCAATGTAAGCAATTTTGTGCATTAATTTGCAACTTCATCTGATTCTGCTCATCCGCAACATACCTGTAATTGGGAAAATAGATCAAAATATCAACAAATGATTCAAAAACTGAAAATCCTTTCAGAAACCAATCTTTGGTAAATAGGCATTACTCATATACTCGTGCAGGACAATATCTCGATTCAGGTGCAGCATACACCGGTAAATTTATAAGTTCGGGAGTTTTCGGGTCTCTCAAACGAAGATGAGGAGGTTGATCATGCTCATGATTTGTGTTGCTCCTGTGAACAAACTAAATATAAATGCCTATAAAGCAAGAAAATGAACTGCAAAATATATTTATTGACTAATAAATCCATAATTTCCGCCATTATTTGTTAAAACCTTAAACAAAGAAGCTGACAAATTATTACTACATAAATCCGTGAACATTGATTTATTTTTCATTCACAAAAAATCTGTATTAGATGAAGTACTATCTTACTAATTTGGTTCTTACACAGTTGAGTTTACCCTCTAACTTCAATTAAATAACAATGACATTGTAATAAAGAAGATATCCCCCAACTCAAGAGTACCAAGACGATTCTTAAATGAGAAGAAGGTTATATCACTTTCTTATAGAAAGAGATGGAACAAGAAATAGAAACCTACTTTTATAAGAAAAAAATAGAAACAGTTAAGAGTATTTAGCTATATAAATGATCTATTTGAATATTAATGACTACACTCCTCTACCACCCTCACTATTATCTTCTGTCTTTTTGTTAATTTCTTCTAGTAACGAATTATTTTGATACAAAATCAGAAATACAACCATGTAACTTTGTCTATTTTAGAAACGAACACTGTAACAACCCTGCCACCCTCCCCTGGTTTAATTCCTATTAAAAATGATTGTTTGTCTCAACTCTCATCAGTAAGCAACAGAAGGGGGGTTAAATATTCCAAAACCTGTGCAGAGACGAAGGTACATCAAAGGACAAGACACCATCAGCCTTTGGATAGTGAATTGGAGAATGCAACCTTGCAGCCTGCATGAATGACAAAATATATATAAATATATTACACCGACAGGCTAATTGCTATATTTGTCATTATTAGACAACAAAATGAACGAACAAGAAAAACACATTGAATGAGCAAAGGTCATGAATCTCTGCATATTCAATTAAAATAGGCTTCTAAAATAACCTTTTTGATGGAACAAAAAGAAAATGCTTTATACCATATAAGAGGTAACATGAAAACATAAATCTTGAAAATTATGCCATTCTTCTCTAACCATTCGTAACAAATAATGACATTTATTTCACACTACCAAAGAACCACGCTCTTTTATTCCATCCAGAATATCTAAAATAAGGAATGGAAATTTTACTCCAACTATCTAGTTAGTTATTTCTTGGTTTTCTTTTTCAACCTAAGTAGCATTCAACAAGAGCCCTTATGGTGAAACATGATGATACAAAATACTCCACAAAAAAAATTAGATGCAAATAAAAACATTAGTCATGATTCAGGGGATAAAAAATCTAAAGCTACCGAAAGAATGAACATTGGGAAATTATCATGCATAATTTAATGATGTGAATAACAATCACACTTGCATTATAATCAATTTCCAAAAGAAAATACGTAAAACTACACTATTTTTTTTGTGTACACCTAATTCCTCGAAAAATGTTTCTTACACTTGTAGCTTCATGATCAGGTTTACCATGCTTCAAAGTAAATGAGTGTCTCCCCTTGAATATGTAACTGATAGGAATAACACAAGGAAAGTGAATTCTCAAGATGATAAAGGAATTACAGGAATGACTAGTCTACAGTGTTAAAGTGACGAGGAGAGAACCCTTGAGAAAAGTTAGATCTTACTGTTCCAGACCACTTAAGGCCAGTCCTGGAATAAGTCCGTATTCAAAGGCCTACAATAAAAGATATATTTATAAGGACAATAACAAGTAGACACATTAAAATATATCATATTTTTCTACATCAACAAATTAATTAAGACACCTATGGGGGATTAATTATAATAATCATGCATTGGTCGTTGTACAATTAGTATAAAATTTTGGAAAGTAATACTTCTAAGGATTTTCCAATCTTTATATATATATATATATATATATATATATATATATATATATATATATATATATATATATATATATATATAAAGTAAGTCTCATGGAAACCCTAGCTCTTTTCCCACCTATATTATGAGCATAAATGACTTTTCATATGATAACCATTTTCCTTTTTTAATATGACGCTCTTTCATGATTTTATTTTTTAAGCATAAGGGTCAAAGTCTTACAAAAGTAACATTCCCATAAAATAACATTCCTGCTTTTAACAAATCTCCCCTCTCCATTATACACGGACAATATTTTATGAGGTTTAGTTTTCACTTTTACTGTCATTATTATTATTTATAAATTTTAAAATTAGATTAATATGTATTTTGATATTAAATCATATCTTTGTAAAAATTAACATTAAAGTATCAAGAACTGAAATTAAGATTATAAATATATAATTCTTTTGTATGATATTTTTATGAAGTACAAAATATTATATTAGAAATATTTTAAAAAATAATGAAAATATGAAATTAATATTGTTATAACGAAAGTAAATTATAACTTCACAATATACTTTTGAATTTTTCCATTCGACTAATAATAAGTTCAAATTTTCCTGGTTTATTAGAAGAAGAAATCCATGATTTTTTTGGGATTTTTGCCTAGGATCCTGACCGGAAATCCAGGTATTCTCAGAGAATGTAGAACTGTAATTCATGTTATTATTGCAATGAGAATTAATATCGTTATTTTACAGCAATCTTACATTTATAATGATATAATGTACTCTAGAAGTTAGTAGCATAGCCATCTAACATGAGATGGCCTATCAGCTCAAGGTTTCCAAATGGAAGTAAACTTCAACACGGACGTAAGGCAGTGACAGAAACAAAGGAAGAACACAATAAAAACCAAAATAGAAATTAATTGCTTCACTAACCGGTCGATAGTTCCGAGATTTATATAATTCTTCCCAAATCCAAGAATTCCTCAAAGCATCCCAATATGTATCCATATCTAGGCCTTCATTCAGTGCACTAAATGTAACTTCAGCTGCAAGCATTCCTACAAAAAATAAGTATTAAATACACGTAATAGTAACTCTGAAACATTGCTATCTGCACGTCACATGGAGATATTGAGAAGTCCACATGTCCAAATATGGTTCATTAGTAAGAATGAATCGATGAGCTCACTTAACAAATACAAGAAACAAGATCGCTCTAAAAAATTAATTCCTTAAAATTGCAGATCAATATTTTAGATCCATGTCAAGTGCCGATTAATTTCTTGAAATCATGAATATCCCTACATATTACCATTGAAACTCTCGAACATTGATTGTAATACGAAATTCCTTTCACCAAAACTACAAAATTAACTTCAGTAAGAAAGCACTAATTAGCAATATGCTGAAAAATCACCAGTAAAAGAGAGTAAGCCCTTACCTGATTTCATTGCTGTGTGAGTTCCTTTTATCTTAGGCACATTCATGTAGCCAGCTGAACATCCAATAATTGCTCCTCCAGGGAAAACTGGATATGGGATAGACTGAAATTTAACTAGAATCACATTTGTACTTGTATAATAATGTGTAATAAGTAAAGAAATAACACACTGCAGCAAATAATCGTTAATCAAGTGACCCAGTAAGATAACAGACAATGAATGTAAGGGGCAAAATGGAAAAAGGAAGATGCTACACCATAGGGTCAATTTAGTCAAAATAAAAGAATGGAGTATGTTAGGGAAATGGGACTGGCACATGATCCAGTACAAGTGGGTGTGCTTAGAGGTGAAAGAAAGAGAGTCCACAATAGACAGTTAGAGGATTACGTGATAGGGGATGATATATGTCAGATAGGAGGGAGAAAGAGGAGAGGGGGGAGGAATATTTTCTCTTTCTGCATGGTTCTCTCATGGCTTTGTTGTATGATGTTGAAGACCAAAACATTTCACTCATGGAAAGGCTTCACTAAAGCTATAGAAACAGAATTTGGTCCTTTGTTGTATGAATGTCCTCGTTCCACTTTGTTTAAACTCGTTCAATCTGGCTCGGTGAGTGAGTTTTATCATGAATTCACTACTTTGTCTAATAGAGTCACGGGGTTAACAACTGAGGCATTACTAGACTATTTTTTGAGTGGATTGAAACCAGAAATTCAACGGGATGTTATTGTTCAAGGCCTGAATTCGGTGCTAAAGGCCGTGTCATTGGCCAGATTATTTGAGGATAAATATGATAAGAAACCTGCTATCTACTTTTATCCCCAGAGTCTCCACAAACTTTCCACCGTTAACAACCAAAACACTACATTACCTCACTTTTACATACCCCAAACACCAAATCATTCCAACACACTATAAAACCTACCACTATTAAAAAGATGACCCCTGCAAAGATGCAAATCCGAAGACAGAAAAACTTATGTTACACTTGTGATGAGAAATTTACTCCCAACCATCAATGCCCTATTAGGCATTTGCTTTTGTTGCAAGTTCATGACTCAGAGATAGAAACATTGGAACCCGATCCTCCTTCTGATACGGAGTTGGTCCAAGAACCGGAGCATCATTTATCCTATAATGCCTTGAAAGAGCCAATGGATTACAAACACTAAAATTTCAAGAACAAATTCAAGAACAATTGGAAGCTTGCTTAGCTCACACCAATATAAATCCTTATTTTGATGTAAAGGAAGGCTTGTTGTATTGGAAAAAGCGAGTAGTAGTACCCCTGGATGAAACTCTTATTAAAGAAATATTGGCAGAATACCATGACTCTCCAATGGGTGGTCATGCAAGAATTAAAAGAACTTTGGTAAGAATTCAAAAGGAATTTTATTGAACTGAAATGAAAGCGGATATCACTCGCTTTGTACAACAATGTTTGATATGTCAGCCGCCAAAATCCCGAAATGTGTCCCGTTGCAACCGTTGCCTATTCCGACACAAATATGGGAGGATGTAGTAATGGATTTCATTACTAGTTTAACTAATTCCTTTGGGTTTACAGTAATTATGATGGTAATACTATCCAAATATGGTCATTTTGTTGCTCGTAAAACAAATTACAACATTAGAAATGTCGCTGAAATGTTTATGCAAAATATTGTGAGATTACATGGCATACCTAAATCTATTGTTTCTGATAAAGATAAGGTATTTACTAGTTAATTCAGGAAGCACTTATTCAAGTTTCAGGTAACCTCTTTGGCAATGTCTCCCACTTATCATCCTCAATCGGATGGTCAATCTGAGGTATTGAACAAATCTTTGGAGATGTACCTGCGTTGTTTTAAATTTCAAAACCCCAAGAACTGGTTTAAAGTGTTGGCTTAGGTTGAATATTGGTATAACACAGCCTTCCACAGCAGTCAAGGGATGACACCCTTCAAAGTTGTGTATGCCAGGGATGTGCCTACCTTCACTCGGTACAGTTCAGAAGTCAAGGATCCTCCTTCACTTAAGGAGTTGTTTCAACAACGGGATCTATTGTTGGATCAGTTGAAACTGAATTTGGAAAGAGCTCAAATGCAGATGAAGCTACAAGCTGATAAAAAAAAGGAAGTATTTAGAGTTTGAGGTCAGCAATTTATTATTGGTGAAACTACAACCATATAGGCAACACTCGTTGGCCTTAAAACGCAATCAGAAGTTGGGAATGAAGTATTTCGGACCCTTTGAAGTGATTGAAAGAATTGGGCCTATTGCTTATAAACTCAAATTGCCTACATCTTCGATGATTCATTCTGTATTCCATATTTCTCTACTCAAACCCTTCAAAGGAGATATATCCCAACCGTATATACCTTTGTCTTTGATTAACAATGAAAAAGGTCCATTGTTACAACCACTTACAAACTTAAAAAGTCGGGTGATTATCAGGAACAACAAACATATTCCACAAGTGTTGATACCATGGGAAGGAGTATCAGCCATAGAGGCCACATGAGAAGATACAACAGTTATTCAAGACCATTATCCCAATTTCAACCTTGAGGACAAGGTTATTTTTAATGGAGGGGGAATTGTAAGGGGCAAAATGGAAAAGGAAGACGCTACACCACAGGGTCAGTTTAGTCAAAATAAAAGAGTGGAGTCTGTTAGGGAAATGGGACACATGGCACATGATTCAGGACAAGTGGGTGTGCGTAGAGGTGAAAGAAAGTGAGTCCACAATAGACAGTTGGGGGATTACGTGATAGGGGGATGATATATGTGGAATAGGAGGGAGAAAGAGGAGGGGGGCATAAGGAATATTTTATTTCTCTGCATGGTTCTCTCCTGGCTCTGTTCTGAATTTCTTTCTATTTCTAAATTTCTCTCTTCCGTTGATGTACTAAGCCTCCACGGTTTATTTCCTTGTAAGGTTACACTCTAGTAAATAATACGTTCAGAACACGTTTCTTTCCCTTGTTTTTAACCCTTACAATAAACTAGCCTCCCTTCTACAAAAGCTAGCTCTTCATGGGTGAAAAACTTCGTTATCAACATCAAAGACATTAACCAACCCTTATATCGTTGTAACAATAAGCAAACACATTGCCCACAGACAATGAAGCATTTAAAAAAGAATGTTGTTGGTGTAGACATAATGCAACAATTTAGCAGTACTTGGATGTCTCTTGAACAATTTAAACTTTGTTGTGTTGTAATGTCCAATCCTGTTTTTGCATTTATGCTTCTAAGTTCAAGGATCTTTCCAATCTTAAAATTTTAATGACCCACCAAATACTCTGAAATTTTACAATTGAAATCTTAAAAATTAGAAAGAGTAATCGTTACACACTAGATTTTTGCTAATACATAAACACTTCATGAGGCTGGCAACATGGTGTACACAAAGATAATTTTTCTCTACATTCTTTTATTTTCCTTTTGATTGGATATAAGAAAAGGAACTGTTATTATTATTGTACCTGAAAACCACCTTCATTTAAAGTGCGAGCTCCATACTGGATAACTGTTCCACCTTCCAGAAATTGTTTAATTGCAGGATGATGCTTAAGTTTCTGGTGAACCAAGAGAAACACAAGAGAGAGGGAAGAAAAGAGCAAAGAAGATAATTAAACAAGAGTAGAGATCAGGAATTCAGCACATGTAATGTAACTTAAAATATTCTTAAACAGACATTATATTAACACAACCAACCAGAAAATGTTTCACAAAAAGAACCAAAACATAATTGTTAATTTGGTTTGTCAGGTCATACATAATATCTACTACCCTCCCAATTTGCTAGGGACGGTGAAGAAAATATTTTGTTCATTTTAACAGCTTTAACAACACCTAGGGTATGTTTGATTCTCCTCACTTTTTTGTTTTAAAAAACCATGTTTTTTAAACAATTCCACAGATATAATACTCAGTTGTCAATCTCATTCAAAATGTATCAAGTTTTGAAAATTATTTCCAAAACAAGTGTACACAATTGTAGAAAGATGTTTTTTATTTTCTTCATTCTCTTTTTCTGTTTTCTTCATGTGCTTAGGGAATGACTTATTTCATCTTCTTGAAGCCGCCACTTGTTAATATCTTTTATAAAATAAAAGTGTTTTTAAAATAATAAACAAGTAAATCCTTAACCTTTCCCTTTTTCTGTTTCCATATTAGTAAAATGTGAAGCAAGGTCAAGGCTGAGAACTTATACTAGATCACAAATTTTTTAAACATGTATATATAAATATCATGGAAATAATAAAAATTACCTGAAATTCCTCATACGGATTCAAGAAAGGGTTTTGATAGTTTAAAGCAACCACAAGGCCTATAGATATCTGTCAAATGGTAAATGAAATTCTTAAACTGAGGAATATATTGTCAGCAAAAATAAATTAAATAAGTAGAGCAGGAAAAGTTGAACTTTTATAGTTCAGTCAAAGTCTGCCAAAACAAATGCATGACTTCTTAATAACTTGGTATAAGATGATACTCATTAAAACGGAAAACCATTAAGAAGTTCATGACACTCAAAAAATGGGAGAACAGTCTTACTTGATTATCTTTCATGTGATACAGAAAAGATCCTCCATATGTCTTATGATCCAAAGGCCATCCCAAAGTGTGGATTACAGCACCAGGTTGATGTTTTTCCTCATCAATTTCCCAAACCTAAGAGTATAATGTTACATGATCTAAGCTAGGGTGACAAAAAAAAATGTTTAATGAAAACACATAATACTTGGTTGTTAGAATAGTCAGCAATCAATTAATCTTCAAGTATGTATTGAACAAATAAGCACAATCCTGACAAAATCACAGTTTTTCAGGAAAAAATGAAGATGGGAAGTTTTAGTTTTTGAGAATTTTTTTATGAAACACATGAATACCTCTTTAATTCCCAAAGCATATGTCTGGTGTTCTGCACCTCCCTTCTCTCTTAGGTTGTACTTTTTCATTATTTTCTGTAAGAAACACAGGGATAGGGATTGAACGTGTTGCTATCAAAACAGTAACTGACAGGGAAGACTTGAATCTGTTCAATCCCAAAATTTGATTTTCAAACCTCTGACAATGATCCCCGACATCCCTCAGCCAGAAGTGTTATGCGCCCTGCATGTGATGCATTCAATGTTTATATGGTTAACAAGAAAAAATCAGCAAGATTCAAATAACCAATCATACGCAAGGACATAAATATATCTCATTAGTTATATACACAAGAGTATGATTCATGGAGCTTATAAGGGAAAACAGCGAAATTATATGCTTGGAGTGCGTAATGCAATCTGCCAAGTGCACTAGCCTGTGTTTCATATTTAAGAATGTCATATGCCATAAAAATGACAACTGCTTAACTGTGACTGTGTCCAAAACTTGTTTCTGTCAACAACTAATAAGTTCAAAGTGTGCCACTTCCATTCTCAAAAAGATAGGAAAATTCACAAGGATTTGACATCTAGAGCATCTAGACAGACATTAAATAGGGAAACCTTTTTGCTGAATAAAAATGAAATAAACTGCATAAATATATGTCTGAAAGAAAGAAAAATATGTGAAGTGAAAACCTTTGATCTCAACGCCACGTTGAAAATTTTCCTTCTTTGAACCATCTTTTGCAACTCCCATATCATTAGTTCCAATACCAATAACTTTGTTGTTTGCATCATACAATATCTGGCCAGGAAAAACACTTGTAAACAGCAACAAACGTAGAGAAGCAACATCCAACCAAAAGCAGAAATACCTCACTAGCAGCGAATCCTGGGTATATTTCCACTCCTAACTCTTCAGCTTTTGCTCCCATCCAACGTACTAACTGACTTAGACTGTAACAGATGGTCCAAAATAAGAAGCTTCTTCAAAGAGGGGGGGAAAGATATGTGAAGAAAAACATTGTAAACCTAAACACAAAGAAACTATTTATTTACTAAAAAGGTAAAAACTATTTAAAATAATCTGTTGTTCTTCTAGGAATACAAGGAAAAAACTATTTATTTACTAAAAAAAGTAAAAACAGAAAATTAAAATAATCTGTTGTTCTTCTAGGACTTCACATCAGCAAAGACAGATTACGGATTGTATTCCACTTATACTCCTCCCCATGTTAAAATTCTAATTTTGCAACCTTATGCTATGCCTAGTACAATCTCCAGCCATTTAAATTTCTAATGGAACGTACCAACTGATCAATAAAAATTTAAAATAATGTATTTTTTTTCAGTGAATCAAACATCATTAAGCTTGAAACCATTGTCATCAACTTCCAAAGAGAAAAAAAGAAAAAAACAAGGCACAGTTGCAGAATAGGTGATTCAGCAGTCAATCAAGTAAAAATCAAAATTTCACACAATTGTTTCAGCACAAAGCAAAAGGTGTTGACAGCTAAGGCAAACTCACAGCCTCTAGCCGTATGAAATGAAAATAGAATGTTGCAGAAACCTTATTACATAGTTGCCTTTGTTGCTGAAAGGAGACGGAAGCGAAATTGCACGACCTTGGGTCAGAAACCAAAACTTGTCAGAAGAAACAGGAGTAGTGATCGGAGCCTGTAGCAGATGAAAACAAAAACCTCAATCCGAACCAATAATCAAAGGCACTACAAACTACTTGGTAACAGAATCGAACATAGAACATAGAAAACAAACCGACCGCACCTCTTCCTCCTTCCACCGCGGAAGAAGCTCATTCAGTGAGCGAGGTTCAAAAACGTTTCCAGAAATAATGTGAGCACCTAAGCGCAACATCGCAGAACTCGCAAAGATCAACGAAAACGCATTCACATAAAGAAATAAAGTAAAATTAAAAATTCAATGAAAAAAGGAAATTAAGTAAGTTAACGCTACTTACCAACTTCGGCACCTTTGTCGAGGACACAGACGGACAAATCGGCGTTTCTTTCGCGGCACATTTGTTTGAGGCGAATCGCCGCCGATAAGCCGGCGGGACCGGCACCGACGATAACGACGTCGTACTCGATGGAGTCCCTGTCAGTCGAGGCGGCGCAGAAAGTCCGAGAAGTCGGAGCCCTGGCACGTGCAGGTGGCTTAGAGAATGAGAAGGCGCGGTGAGAATAGCGACGAGAAAATGGATGATGAGAATTGTTAGCATCGGGAGTGTGGAGGGTGGTAACGTTGGTGTAGAGGCATTGGGATGTAGTGGCGGTACGAAGCAGAAAACCTGTGCTGGCGATTTTGGATTTGGATTTGGATTTGGAGAAAAGAGAGCGAAAGTTGAGCATGATGCAATTGCAGTTGATCTACAGCTTCGAGCGTTCGCGCTGAACTTGTTCGTTCTTATGTCAGTGATCGTTTTTTTATATTATCATATCAGATAGATGAGTTTAAACAAAGCACGTAACACGTTCACGTGTTGTCGTGTTGAGCCTATCACTTCATAATATCGGCATAAAGTATCCATAAAATAATTTCTAATGAATTTTTAACGAAAATTCGACTCTACAAATCTTTTCTTACAATATTTTTTTTATTTCATAAAATTCGAATACAAAATTTTAGTTAAAATTTAGTGCATCGCATTCATTTTTTATAAAGCAAAACACATTAGTTTCATTAGTTTCAAGTTTTATAGATATTGATAAGCATGACACGGAAGTTGCAAAGTCTATCTTATTGATTACCATTATCAATGTAGTGAGACACAGATAGTGCAATTCCACCATTTAATAATAGAAGTTAAGGAAAATCCTAACCAAAATACAGCACAGAAAATAACAAATTACTATTACATATATGGTTAAATCTAAGGGTAAGATAAAGTGGCAATGTGGTTATGAGCCACAGTTCCAATCCAAAGCTTCCCTCGTTCCTCTCTGACTTCACTCACCAGCTTCATAACCTCACCTTCTCGATCTTCAAGAACTTCCAAAACCTCTCCCTTGTCATCCAGAAGTGAAATCACAGTGTACATTTTCATTCCCATTGCTCTAGCTAGCAAGCTCATTCTGATGGGCAAACGGAAGTAGATGTTCCTCAACCATGGATTATGACTCAGAACTTCTTGTGCTGGAGTGCGACAACAATCTATTGCCACCCAGAATTGCCCTTTTCCGTTCATTCTTACGTTGTCAGGGAACCCCGGAAGGTCAGCTAAAAGTTCTACAATTCCACTTCTTGGACCTTCTAGCCAAAACTTCATTAGCCTGTCATCATGTCATTCAGGAATGGTTGTGTTACACTATGACACATGCATGAGTTCAATTTCTATCAACATCTATACACGTATCAGTAATATTGAAATGAATTATAAGATAATTTTACACTCTCACTGCATACATTACTCTTGAAGTTAACCAAGTTCTTCCTCCAATTCGTGTTCAAATTTATCATCAATTTTCAAATGGGACCTATCTTGGGAGGGTTAAACAACACCAAGTAATATGATTCTTATAATTCTTTTATGTACTTTAAGGTGGTTGGTATAATTCTTGAATTGTACATGTTATCTGCTATGAAATTGTTTAACCTTATCTTTAGTTGTGGAAGTTAGACATGCAACCAACCCCATGTTTGGAAGATATAGTAACCTGCAATTGGTGGTTTCAGTGAAGAGAAGGAAGGATTGGTCTTCAGAAAACTGCACTCCGTTAGGAAAAGCAAGGCCATCCAAAACAACATGGGTTGCTTTAGTCGGAGGATCATATCTGAGAAGCCTACCAGTAGCTTCTCCTTCCAATAATATAAAAAAGTGTGCACTACAAACAAGTAATCAAGGATATATACCATCAGCACCTAAATCCATTGAAAACAGTATTAAAAGAATTGCATGAATATATATATAGAATGAGTGAAAAAACGTTTACACTCTGTTGTATCTTTTGCTAGTGTCTGTGAAAAAAATGGATCCGTTCCTATGAATGTCAAGGTCATTTGCGAAGAGGATGGGTTTTCCTTCTACATGGGTTGCCAATGATGTAGCAAGTCCCCCATTTGGTCCAACTACAAGAAGGCCATAGTATGCGTCTGCTATGTATAGATCTCCACTCTCTTTGTCAAATCTTAGGCCTAAGGGACGCCCACATGTTTTCTCATGCTTCCATTGCTTGGCAGTGGTTGAATCATTGCCCCTAAAGCAAAGCTTCTCCGTCCTTTAAATTAAGACAACCACATCCATGTCATAAGCATAAATATAAGTAGACATATAGAATAACGTTTTCAGAATGTTTGTTTAGCTAATATAACACGTGAATTAGGAGTTTACAATAACTGATGAAACCTGTTCAACCAACTAAGCTAGAGACTCCTTGTTAACTTACGTACTGAATTTGGATTAAGAAAAGCTGAAATGAAAGTAAGGTTTTGGTGATAGTTTACCAATTAGAAGTGACAACAGCAAATGTTTCCCAACCAAGTTCCTCTCCCATCCATCGAACAACGCGTCCATCGGCTAAACCAGTGTAAGGGCCACGACCCATGTTATCGAACTCGAGTGACTCTGGTCCAAAGACTTGATTATCAAATTCTGATTTTCCATAGAGTGATAACCTGCTCATGTTGTCCCTAGGCCAATTTTTCATGACTTGGTGGTATGGTGCAATGTCATGCTTCACGGGTCTGAATTCATGCTCAGACACAGGACCCAGATGAAAAGGGTCCATGATCACAAGGCCAAAAACCAGAACAAGTGTGAGAACAAAAGGGTGTTGGAGAAAGGTTTCATCCTTCATGAGTAGTTTTAGTTTTATTTTCTCCATGCATGGAACGAGAGAATGAGAAACTAAAGCGGAGAGCGTAAGAGTTTAGGTGCAATGGTGATGGTCTAACATGGTAGAAGTAGAAGCACTTGGTGTGAGTTTGGTATTTGAAAGGTTTGAGAAGTGATGAAAACATGCATTGTTGATGATGGCATTTAAGGTTGGAAGTAGGTTGTCTATCGTTGTCCATGATGTTCGCATTGGAAAACAACGATTGATTTGTGAAAAGTGTTGTGGTAGTTTATTCCCAAATGTCATGTGTGCTGAGTCGTGAATAGACAAAATAACATAACCGTAAGGATTATGAATTTATGATGCTGTCTTGAGTGAATCTCAGTTAGTGTCCAATGCTATGAGCAAACAGAACATGGAGAGTACCTCCTAACACGTAACCCAAACCAGAACGGATTTAAATCAAGTTGGGTTCGATTTTTTGTTTTTATTAAATATGAATCAAGATAAATTTGGCTCTCTTAGTCCATAATCCACATTATTTTTTAAATTTTAAAAATAAATAATAAAAATATAATTTCTTTCATTTACATTATTTTATATCCGTATTGCTAGAAAACAACAAATTTATTTTTATTCAAAATTGTTATACTTATGTTGCATCTACTATATTCACGTGATTATTACATTCACTGTATCTACCTTATTGTGTTCATAGTGTGTTAATAAGTGAACTCACTTAACCCATGGTCTATAGATTAAATCAAGTTGTAATACTCATCATAAAATAATCCAGTTAAAAGAGTGATAAATTAACCCAGATAAATTGGATTGTCTCCTCTTTTATATTTATCATAATTTAAGATTAGAGTGTAAAAGAAAAAATTAGATTGTCTAGATTATTGATTATTATTAATTCTCATATAATACTCTCTTAATTTATAACTAATTATAAGTTTCAATTACATAATTTATCAATATTAAAAAAAAATCCAGTCTCAAAGAATGTCATTTATTGTTCTAATTTCTACATTTAAATTTTACGAAACAAACCGTTCATATTTTTTATAAGCTACACTTATTTTCTTAAAAATAATAACGCGCATTTTTATAAATTCAATTATTATTTATAGAAAAGGAAAACATTACTAGAATGTTTAATTTTAATCAACAATGTCTCTCTAGAAAGAAAAAATTAAAAAATTAAAGTAGAAGGTGGATGACGTGGATTGTAAAGTTCGAGTTTCTCGCCTCTTTGTTTGTCGGTTGTGTTGTTCCCCAACACAGAAAACCTTTTCATTTATTTCTCCGGAAACAGACATAAAAAAAAAAAAAAAAAAACACCTTTTGAGTTCAGCTCTTCCTCAATTGATCTTCAACGTAACGAGGTTGTGCTGTTTTCTTCTGCTTACCCTTTTAATTTTTCTCTTCAATTCACTCTCTACACAGACACGGGTATCTTATCTCTATCTATCTTTATTTACTTCTCATTTTGAATTCACTTTGTTAAAGCTATTTCGCTTCTTCACTCTTTATAATTTGTTCTTTCTCTTCCTTTAAGCTTATCAGAATCGAATCCTCTGTCAATTTCTCTTCCTTTACTTCAATTTCTTTTTATTAATCTTGTTTCCTTGAATTGTTTAACCAGCCAATTTTTATGCTCTCATATGTTTTGCGTCATACTATTCTCTCTACTGTTCTTCTGTGAGGACTTAAATGTTTCCTAAAGTAAAGTAATGTTCTTTTCTAAGTGTTTTTAGTTATGAGATTAATGTTACCATCTTATAATTTCCAAATTTGATTTATCATTAGTTTAATAGTATCAATTGATGGTATTATTGTTGAACTAAGTGAGAAAATTGACCAAAAGAACTAAGATTTTGGGTAGAAGGTGGTGTTATATTTTGTGATTGGTTCGTGACCCATTCGTCGGTGTTTCTTTCCTTGTAATTATCCAGCATTAATTCTTCTTCATGTATGCGTTATTGGTTCTTTGCATTGTAATTGGTTGTTAAATGACACAAAGGGTTTATATATATGTAGAAAAAGTCAATGAATTATTGCTGTTGATCTGGTTCTGTGGTGCGTCTATGCGAGCAAAATTCAATGGAAGTTTTAAAACCCCACAGGAGTTCCATCAATGAAATCTACTGACAATTAAAGTCTACTTTGATTTCCGTTGTTGCTCATATTTGCCTATTGCGTATAAGCCCTTTTTTCTGGGAGTTCCCAAATAGAAATAGCCTTTCCTCAGTGAAAAAATCTGTCTATATTCAGCAAATCTTGTACTTATTGGAGTTCCGATGACCTTATGACTTATGGATGCACCATTCTTGTTTATCTTGTAATCATATTGATAATATTAAGTGTTTCCATTTTATTTTCATTACTATAAAGAAACTAATATTGTTATTACTGGGGAAGCAGCACCCATTTATGGCCAGTGTTGGTGATAGAAAGGAATGTGAATGGATAGATAGGATAATATCTGAAGGGGCCGTTCCACTTCTTGAGCCAGATAATTGTTCAAATGGTTGGGCTACCCCTCCTGGTGATGCATTCATGGTCAGAGGCCCTGAGTATTTTACAACAAGGGTTAAAGTTCCTGCTGGTGATTATCTGCTCAAGCCTCTTGGTTTTGATTGGATTAAAAGTTCTGTGAAAATAGGCGAGATATTAAAGGATCCAGATAGTCGGGTTAGGAGGGTCATTGATAATGAGTTTCCAGCAGCTGATAAACCCTTTGTATGGGCCTTCAATATTCAAGTCCCAGGCAAGGATAACTATAGTGCCATCGCTTATTTTACAACTAAAGAGCCAGTTGTTGAGGATTCCCTAATGGACAGGTTTTTGAAGGGTGACAATGCATTCAGAAACTCAAGGCTAAAGCTGATTGCCAACATTGTAAAAGGTCCTTGGATTGTTAGAAAAGCTGTTGGAGAGCAGGCTATTTGCGTAATTGGGCGTGCCCTTTCCTGCAAATATTGCACAGGAGAGAATTTCATAGAAGTAGATATTGATATAGGGTCTTCCATGGTTGCAAGTGCAATAGTTCATTTGGCATTTGGTTATATCTCAACTTTGACTGTTGACTTGGCTTTTCTTATTGAGAGCCAAGTTGAATCAGAGCTTCCTGAAAAAATTTTAGGTGCTTTCAGATTTTCTGATCTTGACCCTGCTTCAGCTAGAACAGTTGAACCATCAGCTGTTGTGAATTGTGACGATGTACAAACATCTTTACCTACTAGACTGTGGAAGTCAATTGGACAGGGCTTTTCCCATATTCTTCATTCAGGTCCTCAAGAAGATGGCTCCTCTTCTGGTTCACAACATGCTAAAATTGTAGTAGATCACAAAGATAATCCAACTGACGTCAAAAACTGGTGAGTTTTATGTAGTTATGATATGATAGCCATTTTGATAACACGATTACAGATGCTTTATAGCGTATGACCACCATAAAAAATTCTGTCTTGAAACTTGTATTTCTCAAGTTCCTCAGTTTATAAACGTACACCACTTGGTTTCTCATTTTGGGTTTGAAAGTGCCTTGATATGATTAGGCCTTAGATGTCTATTAAGTTAGTTGTCCCTCACTTTATATATATATATATATATATACTACTTGTTTAATCATTTAGCATTTTCTGTACAATGATTTTGGTGCAGATATACTGGAGGAATTGAAGGGGTGTGGAGTTCCATATGAGATGATTATTCTTTTAGCCATTTTTTATGATTTAGTTCATAGCATCTGTTGTATTACTTAATTCTTTCCTTTGGCATTATTTTGTAATACTACAGAAAGGTGGAAAACTTAAAGAGTGGCCACATATTTTTTGGCTGGTTTGTTATGTATATCTTTTAAAGTAAATTCCTCTGTTTATAGTTGACGAATTAGTCGTTATCTGGGTATTAACTTCACGATATTTGTTTGCCTGAGATTTTTTTTTTTTGTGGTTATATGAATTAGAATTGCTTCATCTTTTTAGGCTGGACATTATGTTCAACAATTCATTCTATAAGGTTATGGAAAATAAATCTGATTTAACGACTATATATTTTATTTAAATTTTTAATCTAACTACATTCGCAATAATTCAAATTCATGATCCTTAATTAAATTATACCAAATATTGGTAGTATGGTTTAGGTATTTTTTTTATATTTATATTATAAAAAAAAATTAACTACATTTTGCCCCAGAAATGGTTAATTGTGATTATTTTTCTGTATCCCTTAATTAAGTGGTGGAGGATTCAATTTTTTATTGGTGTTGTATTTAATTCTTACAAATAAAATGGACATGGTTATTTATTTCTTTAATGAATGAGACCAATTAAATAGGTAATTAATAATGTAATGACATGGTGAATCAAATTCAAACCTTGAAAACATAATCAGAAGAACAAAAAAAAAAGCTTGCAACTTTTTACTATAGATCATGAAAACCCCACTGCAAGTTTGTGCATTAATTAATTGTCTTTCAACGGTAGTTAAAGTTACCAACGAAATATTTTCCAAAGTAATCAAAGTGTCAGTTTCAAGAAGAATTTATACACATCAAACTTTGAGGTTTTGCTAATTAATCTTGATCTTGGGTGTAACCAAGCTACCAACCCAGTTACATTAGTTTCCTCTATGGTTTAACCACTATGTTAAATCTTGTCTCAAGATCAAATCAATGTGTTACTAACTATATATAAACCCTTTTGTTGCTACAAATGTTTCTTCACATCCACACATGTGGTTCTCATTATTTCCTAGTACTTTTGTGATGCGACATTCCAAGGTAAGTCCAAATGCAGCTTCTGATGAATCTCCCCACGTAGTACACAATCCACAACTTGATCACGGAGGGTGGTCTAGGCGTGGTCGTGAATTTTGTGAGTCAAGAAGAGCATTTCTGAACAGTTACCATTTGAGTTTGGAAAGAAACAAGAATGGGAGCTTCAAGGAAAAATTGAAGAGATCAGTGAGGGATGTTAATGAAGCAGCCATGGGAGTTGTTTTGGGCATGCATCGGAGGGTGTCTAAGAGACGTGTTAGGATAAGAGTTTTTAGGGTCAAAATGAGTTCACAATCTATGGTTCTTGTTACCATGAGATGTTTCATTCCATGGTTGAACAAAAATGACATCATGTGAAGGCAATGTTTGTATAAATGAAATGTCATTTCAATAATATATATATATATATATATATATATATATATATATATATATATATATATATTATCCTTTAATCTAAATTTTTATTCTAAGGATTTTTTAGGTGAAATTCATTTTCTAATTAAAGGATAACGCAAAGAACGTTTTGTCTAATATTATACAGATATTATGACAAAGAAGTATGGACCTGTAACTTTATTAAGTTCTGTGGATCATGCATTCTTAATTGTTGAACTGTTGTGTACTAGATATTATATGTATACTGATAAAAACTGTCCAATTTTGTTTTAGTAGTTTATCCATCCACTACCACTCTATTTTAGATTAATTGATTTTTTTAAATAACTAGGTTCCAAAAAGTGAAAGAGACAAATAAGTTTTTGGTACACCATAAATCATTAGAGAAAGACGAAGAACGTGAGTTAGCCAATGATCTTTCTATTTGATCTATAGAAACTAACATGATATACCCACCATAAACGGAATAAAATATCATGTTTCTAGTGATGAACAAAAGGTTAATGTTGAATTTATTCATACCTTATAAATCGTTTAATAAACATATTGAATAAAGATATATGTATATATATATATATATATATATATATATATATATATATATATATATATATATATATATATATATATTATCTTATTAAAAATATGAAAAAGATTACAACCTAAAAAATCAATCCATTTTTTATATGATTAAAAATTTGAAAAGATCTCGAATACATGTAAAAACAATCTGTCCACAAAAAAATATATCATTTTGTTGTCCAAAACTAATTCACAGACTATTTTTATAAAAGCAGTCATCATATATATGATTATCCAAAAGTTTAAAATTGAATATTTCAACAACAAAGTTGAAGTTGAAACTGTAAATAACTCCTGTAATATTCAGATTTAAGCTAATAATGAGTACATAATAACCAATAATCATCATAAAATTACATTTCTATCAGAAATAAGTACAACAATAAAAAATCCATTTAGATATTTTATTAAATAAGGTGTTACCAATTATGAGAAATTCCAGCCATTTTTTTGCCTAGACAGTGTGATTCTTGAACTAAGCAAAATTGATGTGTGCAACTGTGCAATTAGCATTCTGTAGTAGCCACAATTCTGTTTTTGAGTTTGAGGAGAAGGACACTCCTTCACCCTTTATATAAGAATCACCTTGGATGAAGGTAATAATAAATGTCTAAATCAATCTTTAAAAGCTAACCAAAGCAAAAAAAAAAAGAATGAACAAGGTTCTGTTCAATCAGAAAAGGCATTAAGATTTGATCTACCAAGCATCCCAGGTAAAAAAACAACTAAAATGTAGTAGAAAAAAAAGAAACAACAAAGATGCAAAATCATGCAGCTCTTCGGCTTTTGTTCAGTTCTTTGCCTTCACAGAGTTATTCTCCTTGATCCTTGCCCGGTTATCCAGCTTAACAAAGCGTTTTAGGTTGTCATAAGCTAGTGTTTCAATATTCTTCCTACGTAGTTCACTAAGTGCGGGGCGTTTATCGAGCAGATGCCACAGCCAGTCAGGGTAGTCTGAATCAGGCTGGATTTTTGGATCAGTTCCTTCCTTGAGAATGTTGGCACCTACAACTGTGCTTGACTTGACTTCTTTGCTAAGGGTTGATGCTTTGGGCGCATCAGCAGCTCCACCACCTTTGGATCCTTTCTTTGCTTTACCGGTGGCAAAAGTTCGTTGGCATGCAACCCCAAAAACCTCTTTGGTGGTAAGAATGTGCCTTATAGATCTGGCATGGTTCATTGCCATGACTTTCTTCTGAAAGACAATTTTATTTCACTTCAGGGTGGAACATAACTATATACAAAATTTCAGCATGAATAGTGATTCTTTTCACATTTGAATTCAACACCTTGATTGCTTAGAGCTAAGATACCTACTTTGTAAAACACATCAATCTAAATTTCTACTTCCCTATCAAAAAATCTCCTAAAGATTTTACTAAAAAAAAAAAAATCAATTGTCGGGGCTTAAAAAGTGCAGCTAACTAACAAAACATTGTATCATTCCCATCCTTCACCAGTCCCACACCTCCAGAACATTATTTTTGTGTGCATTTTGAAGTAAATTTACTAAAAATCAGTGGGCAAGAATACATCGGAAATATCTAGTTTCCATCCAAAAGCATGACAGTTGAGCAATATCATCTTGAAGTGTGTTTGATTCAGGGAGGAATAATCGCTAATCTTTTCTAATTCATAATAGAAAGCTTACCCGCAACCCCCAAGACGGAGACGAAGGGGCGAGATCTGCGGCGGAGACGGAGATGGTGGCGGTGGCGAGACGTTAGAAAAGAAAGAAGATGGATGGGGGAATTCGCTGGCTTGCGGCGCGGGTTAGGGGATCAAGAAGATGTAGGAACATCAGGAGCGACACTGGAAGAAATTAGGGTTTTTTTTTTTTAATTCACTCACAATATCAAATGCTTGATCATTTTACTAATTACTCCGTGTTAAAATATTTATAATGTTAGTTTGTAATCTTTTAAATTGATTCATGTCCGATCAACAATCTTATCATTAATATATTTAAAAAATTTGTTAAAAAATTAGAATCTTTATTAATTAATATATTATTATATATATATTTACATTTTTTTATTTTTCTCTTTTATTTCTAACTTAATTTTTTTATTAAAATTTTAAAAAATAATTAATTATTTAAAACTGTGATAATACTAAATATTTTTTTATTATAAACATAAATAATTAATTTAAAATTATTTTATTATAATAAATCAATTATTTATCTAATTAAAAAATATTAAATATTTATGAATTAAATATATTCTTATTTAATAATTTAATCAAATTATAATAAATTGAGTTATGAGATAATTAGATTAAGTAATTTAAAAATATTGATTAAAAATATTATTTTGAAATAAATATTTTTTTCTTAATAATTATAATATAATAATAATATTTATAATACTTGAAGTTTATTATATAATATTTTTAAAATAAATATATTAAATTGTAATATTTTTTAATAAATTTAATATTTTTATTTTTTAAAAATAATAAAAAATGTATTTTATCAAATTTTTATATAACATTTTTAACTAGAAAATTAAAATAGAGTGAGAAAAAAAAGGGAGAGAGAAAAGAAAACAATGTTAAGATAGAGAAAAAGAAATAAATAATGAGAGAAAAAAATAATTTTAACATTTCAGATGAATTTATTTTTTATTATTAAGACTTGTATAAATAATCAATAAATATAGTTAAATAAATAAAATTAAAAATATTTTATTTAAGTAATTTTTAATATTGATTTGATGTTTTAATTTGTAATGAAATATTATTTTATAACTTTATTTATCTTATAGAATTATTTTTAATAAATTTATTTAAAAAAATAACATATTTATTATTATTATTATTTATTTCAATGTTAGAAAATTGGAACACACGTTTTAATATAAATTGATTGATGATGGAGACTAACACAATTATTCAAAATAAGTAGTTGTATCAGATTTCAAAAGATACAATGCAGCTGTTTTTAGTTATTATTATTATTATTATTATTATTATTAGTTATTATTATTATTATTATTATTATTATTATTATTATTATTATTATTATTATTATTATTATTATTATTATTATTATTATTATTATTATTATTATTATTATTATTATTATTATTATTATTATTATTATTATTATTATTATTATTATTATTATTATTATTATTATTATTATTATTATTATTATTATTATTATTATTATTATTAATCATGAGTTAATTAATTCATATAATAAAAAGTATAGAAATAAAAAGTATAGAAATAATGTAAAGAAGAAAAATTTAAAATTATAGCATTATTAGACTTAGGAGCTGATATAAATTGTATACAAGAAGGATTAATTCAGACTCAATATTATGAAAAAACTTTAGAAAAAGTATCTAGTGCAAATGGATCTAAAATGAATATACAATATAAGTTATCAAATGTAAAAGTTTGTAAAAATAAAATTTGTTATAATACATCATTTATATTAATAAAAAATATGACTACTCCAAGTAATTTTAGGAACACCTTTTTTAACACTATTATATCCTTTTCGAGTATCTGAATTAGGATTAATAACTAAAGTATTAGATAAAGAAATTTGTTTTGAATTTATAAAACCTCCTAAAAATAGAGAATTAAATTTATTGAAAGAGTCATCAATAAGTCAATTAGAAAATAAAAAGAAACAAATAAATATGTTAAATAAAGAGATAAAGTTTAAAAGAATAGAAGATCAATTAGAAAAAGAAAATATTAAGAAAATTATAAAAACATATGAAGAGAAAATAATAAAAGAAATATGTGAATTAAATCCTACTGCTTTCGGCATAGGAAGAAATATACTATAGAATTACCATATATAGAAAATTTTGATGAAAGTAAAATACCTACAAAAGCTAGACCTATCCAAATGAATAAAGAATATTTAGAATATTGTAAAAAAGAGATAAATGAATATTTAGAAAAAGGATTAATAAGACCTTCAAAATCACCCTGGAGTCATACAGGGTTTTATGTCATGAAGGCCTCCGAAATAGAAAGAGGAGCGCCTAGATTAGTAATTAACTATAAACCTTTAAATAAAGTATTAAAATGGATTAGGTACCCATTACCTAATAAAAGTGATTTAATTAAAAGAGTATATAACTCGACAATATTCTCTAAATTTGATTTAAAATCAGGATATTATCAAATATCAGTAAAAGAAGAGGATAAATATAAAACAGCCTTTGTAGTACCCTTTGGCCATTATGAATGGAACGTAATGCCACAAGGTCTAAAGAATGCACCCAGTGAATTTCAAAACATTATGAATGATATTTTATTTCCATATGTAAAATTTGCAATGGTATATTTAGATGATATATTAATATTCTCAAAAAATATAACTGAACATATTAATCATTTAGATATATTTATTAAACTAATAAAAGAAAATGGATTAGTAGTATCTGCTAAAAAGATAAAAATTTTTCAAACAAAAATTAGATTTTTAGGATATGAAATATATCAAAATACTATTATACCAATACAAAGATCCCTAGAATTTGCAAATAAATTCCCTAATGAAATAAAAGATAAAACCCAATTGCAAAGATTTTTAGGATGTGTAAACTATATTGCCGATTTTATCCCTAACATTAGGATAGTATGTTCGCCGTTGTTTAAGAGACTTAGAAAAAATCCACCTGCTTGGAATGAAGATATGACTCAGGCTATAATAAAATTAAAAGAATTAGTAAAGAGAATACCCTGTTTAGGAATACCAGACCCAGAAGCCTTTTTAATCATAGAAACTGATGCATCTGATTTAGGCTATGGGGGGATATTAAAACAAAAAATTTCAGAATCTTCTAAAGAACAAATTGTCAGATATTATTCTGGTATCTGGCATCCTTCTCAACAAAAATATTCTATTGTCAAAAAAGAAGTTTTAGCTATTGTTTTATGTTTACAAAAATTTCAAGATGATATTTTTAACAAAAAGTTTTTAATTAGAACAGATTGTAAAGCCGCACCAAGTGTTTTAACCAAAGATGTTCAAAATTTAGTTTCTAAACATATTTTCGCTAGATGGCAAGCATTGTTATCATGTTTTGATTTCGAAATAGAACATATAAAAGGAAAAGATAATTCTTTACCAGATTTTTTAACTAGGGAATTTTTACAGGGAAAGTAAAGCATGAGTGATAAACCACTGAGTAGAGATCAATATGGTCCCCCACTGGGGCCTTCACATGCAGGTATGTCAATATCACTAAGACCAAATAGTCCACAAGCTAAGGCTACCTTAGCAGAAATCTTAAAAACACCTCCGCCAATATTGAAAAGTCCTCTCGTCAATACTTCTAATAGATATACTCCATTACAATATTCCCATACTCTTATCAGTCCAAAAGACCTTATCTCTCCTTCTTCTTCCTCTCATACTACCCAAAACCCTCAAAAACCTTCTCAACCAATAAATCCATCTGATGAATATTATGTTAAACCTGAAACCTTGTCTATAATCACCTTAGAAAAGTCCTGGATAAAACAAACCCCTAAACTTACTTCTCAATATCTTTTCCCTAAAGAATTTTATTATCTGCCAACAAGTTTAACCAAAGACCGAACCTTTTATGAATTTATTTTAGTAGACACTGATTCTGCTGAAATTATTCATAAAAGAAATGAACAAGGTATTATTCAATACTCTAAACTCAAGATCATGAAAGTCCTTTCCTCAGAGGAATGGAATAACCCTCCTTATCATTTAAAAACCTTCTCCAGAACCTTTAATCCACAAACCTATGACTATTACGATTATATGGATGCATGGTATAATACTTTATATGTGTATCCTGATAATCATTCCTGGTTTATTTGGTTCAAGAAAGGGATCTCTTTAAAATTCCCAAAATGGTTCATAAAATGGTTTTCTCACTTTGGACCTCTCCCAGCTATTTTCCCTTCCAAAGTCACAGAAGTTTATAATTATTTCCGTCAAAAAACCTCCTTTGAACAAGGGTATAGGTTAATCTCTTTTATTGCAACCCAGTCAATAACTTGGATCGTAGCCTGGGATATTGGCATAGAACAATTATATGAGAATGCTGATATCAAGGTATTATCAAGACAGTTTAAAATTAAATGGTGGAAGAAATTCAACTTGGATATTATCAATAAACAGAGAATTGACATATGGCAAGCTAATTATCAGCAAAGACAAGAAGGACCTTCATC